CACGGGCCCCTTCCTTCTCCCAACCTAGCTGCAAACCAACCCGCCAGTGCAATATCGACAAAACGACCACGAGAATACCGCTCTGCAGAGGAGGCGGTCCACGAGCTCGCGGGCGGACGAGAGGAGCTTCTCCCTAGAATCGTACACTACAGTGGAAACAGGACCAGCAGCCCTCGATCGCCACCAGGAATCCACAACAGCAACGGAAACGGTGATGGCCCTAATTCAGGGCACTCGTCCCACCAACAACATCATCCACCGCATACCAGCAGTGGATCATCCAGTAGCCAGTACCCCAATCAACCATCACTTGGATATCCTACGTCGAGCGCTCGTCGACGCACTAGAAACGAATATGAGCAAGATCACGGCAGCCCACCTCTTGGAAGTGGCCCCGAACATCGATACCGGCCTCCTCCCACTTCACACGGACCCTTCGGGGCAGGACGAGACTCGCCTGATACCCAACGGAGGAAAAAGGAAGAGTTCCTAAGCTTATGCGCTCGTGCGTGGGACTTATTCCATTCATAAGGCCATTTCCGTCCTTTACTCCGTTGCCTTGCACTCATTTATTCTTTATGTGACTATACTTGCCTGGTATCACTACCAGCTTCCCATTTTTGACGGAGTACATTCTCTCACGTTCTTATTTTCTTCATCCCACCTTTCATCCACTCTTTACCCATCCACTCTTCCCTGATGCTTTTTTTTTTTCTTCATCTTTTTACTTTTTTTCTGCTTTTTTAAGTGCCGTAATGCCCATTCACGGGCTGGCTACTGTGGATGCGTATGACGGCCTCTTCAACTTCTACTTCTTCTTTCCATCGTTTTCTTCAGCCATTTCATCTCCTTTTTCTTCCTCCTATCACCCTGTCTTGGTGCTTATATCTGAGATCCCCTTCCTTACTCTATTTTCCTGACGCAGTTCATTTTTCAACCATTTAAGTGTGGCATAATATTGGTATTCATGATTGGGATGGATGCTGGCTTGGACTAATGCTATCATATATATCTTTTCTTCTTACTCCCCCCCTGCCCTCCTACCACTCAGATTCCCTTCTTTACACTATTCCTCACCTCTCCTATGGACTGACTATATCACATGCCTGCTCTGAATTAATGATGGAGGAGTCAGCAACTTATTCAGATACCGTTTTATTTTACAAGCATTTTTCAAGTCTCTTCATCAGTGCGTTTACATAGATGAACTTTACAGACGACGTAACTAATTGAAAATAAAACCTACAACGATGTTGGGCTTGATTCCCAGCTTTAAGTTTTGATAATCACAAATGCTACCTTAATATAATATGGGTATCATATACAGAGGGACACCGGTGTCATCGTCACCCTTCGACCATCCTTCTACTCCTCGGCATTTCTTTCTTCTCCTTAGAAGCTACTTTCTTCCTTCGCCTCTCAATGCCTTTTTGTCTTTGTTTGGCTCCCATTGATTCATATTTCTCCTTAAGAGCCTCTTTCTTTAGGTCCGCTTTCTTCAAGAACCATGCCTTCTCCTTCTTTCCCTCCTTAATCAACTCTCTCTCCCTCTTCCGATGCTTAGATAGAATCTGTCTTTCTCTATCCCGATGCTCAAGCGCCCTCTTCCTATCATTCATAGAAGTAATCGTCTTCTTCAGCTGCTGCTTCTCATCTTCATTCTTAGCTCGACGCAATTTCTCCTCAAGCTCTTTCAGTTCAGCATCTCGATAGTCGTTTAGGAATGCGTAGTTCTTAGCTGCTGCTGGATCGGAATGAGATCCGAGTCGATGGCTGTGGCTATAGCTTTGTACCGCGCTGTCGAAACGTGGGTCTCTCGATTTCACCTGGGCTACATTCTCACCGTCAACAACAACACGCCGGCGACTAACCGCAAACTTGCTTGATTGGATCGCAGGCGCATGTTTTGAGAGCCGGGATTCTTTCTGTTTCTTGACTGCTGCTTCTTCGTCCTTTGATTGGCCTGATTTAGAAGCCTTTCCCTCCTTTGCTCTCCGGATCCGTTCACGCAGTTCATTCAGGGCGTCTAATTTGGATTTTTTATATTTGGTATTTCCATTATCTTGCTCCTCCTCCTCCTCCTCCTCCTCTTGGCCTCTGTGCTTCCTCTTTGACCCTTTTTTCAGAGGCCCTAGCGACCGCTGGACTTTTGCGAGAGCGCCGAATGAGATTTGCGACAGCGAAGATTCGATATCATTTTCTCCCTCTTTTTCGGAAGGAGAGTCCTCTAGGTCTGACTGTCCAATGGGCGGTAAGTCAGCTATTTCCAGCAATTCTTTATCGTCGTAAATCAAAAATGGCACGCGTACTGTTTCTGCATCCTCCAGCTCTCCGTCTTCATCCCCACCACTAGCGGAGTTCAATTCTTCAGAGCTCGAGAGCCCCTCGTCCAGTAAATCATCATCTTCTCGGGGCGCCCTAATCCTTTTACCCAGCAAAGACATCTCTCGTCTATAAGTAAACCGAAGTTGTTTATTTAATCTCTTCTTCTCTTCTTGATGTCAAAGGCGGTAAAAAAGTTGCAAAAAAGAAAAGTTTCTGCCACTTTTTCTGCCGCGCCAAATCAAAGGCGGTGACGGCTTATCTATTCTTCATTCTCCTTCCATATATAAACAGATATAACTCTGCCTCCTTTTATTATAATTCTATAGTCATGTCCTCTTCTCTACGGAGCCCTTTTTGGCCTCTCCATGTTTCTTTATAGGTAATATTTGTATACGTATGTCACATTGGTTTTTCTGTAAATATAACTACCTTCTTATCAGCACGTGATTTTCTATCTTTATATCAGAAGTTCATAAATTATGAAGTTTCGAATCTACAACTTTCAGGGTCTTGCAAGTCGACGGCCATGTTCAAGGGCCGTTCTGGCTTCTGTCCTTCGTTATCCAATTGTCGTTTGTTTTGGTGTGTTAGACTTGGTCGTCCCTCACTCCATTCTGGCCCTTGTCCTTTAGGACGTTCTGGGTACCAGGTGAGTTAATGGCATCTGCAAAAGCACCAATATCCGCCCAATTTATTAACAAATTAAAAACTATCAGGCTGGGTATTATTTTCAGTTAAATCGCTCGAAGAAATACCTTACTCCGAAGACGCATATCATGTCAGAGCTACAGCAATCGAGCAAATCGGAGAATCAGCATGCGCAATCGGAACCATACATTCCTCCTTGGAGTGGAAGCGCAAACCCTACGCAGCATGCCCCTATAAATAATGCTGTTCCTGCGCATGCGGAGCAGGAATCCACCGGTGTCAAGAAATCACCTTCTCCCGTCCCACAGCCTGTCGCGCCCACCCCAGTAGAAGAGTACCTTGCACAAGCTAACCTCCAGCCCGAAACTGCCAACATACAACAGCCACTCCTTGTTATCCTTGACATGAACGGGACCTTAATTTACCGAAAACGCCGTACATTCCCTCCCAAATTCACCAAGCGCCCAGGCCTGGATCCATTTCTCCGATATCTGTTTGATAATTTTAAAGTTATGATTTGGACCAGCTCCCAGCCACAAACGGTTACTGACGTTCTAGACAAACTGCTATCAAAGCAAATGAAAAAGCAGTTAGTTGGGGTATGGTCACGGAGAGACCTTGACTTAACCGCCAGACAGTACCGGGAGAAAGTCCAAGTATATAAACGTCTCGACAAAGTGTGGGAGAACGCACATGTCCAATCCCAGTATCCAAGACTGACAGCAAAAACCAACATCAAATCAAAGAAAGGGAAGAAAAAGAAGCTTCCACAGATCCTTGGTGAGGAAGGCCAAGTCTGGGATCAAACAAATACAATCCTCGTTGATGACAGCAGACTAAAAGCTGCTGCCCAGCCTCATAATATTATTGAGATACCGGAATTTACCGACGACCCTGATGTGGACGAAGTGAAGAATTTAACTATCGTCATGCGTCAGTTGGATATATTATCCCGCCACAAGGATGTTAGCCGGAAGCTGAGGGAGTGGAATCAGCGAATTCTGGATGAAGCTGGCGACATCACTCAGATAGATGCATTCTGGGAGCAGGAGCTGGTACTCTCTTCCCTTGATGTGCATGCACTTGAGTCCGCCCCTCTTCGAGAAGAGGACACTACCGCAAGGCCCGAGACTCCCCCATTCCTCAGCGTCGAGCAATTGATAAATGCGGCGAGGAAATCCCTTGAGACAGATTCAAATTCAGCAAAGAATAAACAGCTAGATCAATCCATGGACGCTGCGGGCCCGACATTGACGAGGGCCTCTGTTCACGGGCCCAAAGAGCTGAAAGATGATAAGCCGAAACTAACCAAAGGCCAGAAACGGGCCGCTAAAAGAGTTGCGGCCAAGCTCAGGGCGGCTGAGTCTGCTACAAGGGCTGACCCTTCGACTGTCTTACCCTTGACTGATTTACCAGAGATGCAGGCCCTGAGACACCTTGAGCAGAATGATATGGGTAATGATACGGGTTCAGAGTCGGATACGTCTATAGGGGGCGGAGTTGCGTTGCCCATGGGCAAGCCATGAGTAAAAGGCGGAGCTCCATTGCTTTTTACAAGGAGGCTTAGACTACAGATAAAGAAAATAATCATTTGTATGCGCAGCCAATTGGTATTTTGGTTTGGTGAATAACTTAAAATTCATTTCACATTAGGGTAGACAGATGAACTATCAACAGCCAGACATATGAACGTTAATATTTGGCAAAGTTCAAGGTCCTGGGCAAAACACACAAATCATGAACATGCACCTAATAGCTTTTACTTTACCGGATACCGTTTCATCTCTCATTTCGTCTTTTTTTTTTTCAGGACGGCCGTGGAGGGAAAGTTTACTTGCAAACCTTACCCTCGGTGCATTCATACTCCTTACCGTTGACGGTAATGGACTTGTCCTGAGCCCACTGGTCCTCAACGAATGCTCTGTCCTCAGGCTTGCTCGCATCAAGCTTGGTGAAAGTGTAACTGTCAATATCAGGGGCGACCTCGAAGGCGGGAACGTGGTCTTGGCCACGAATGACGAAAGCTCCCTGGATGACAGAGTCGTTGGTCTTGCCATAAACGGAGGCAGCTCCGAAAATGTACTTGCGAGAACCCTCAAGTCGGTTGAAGAAACCACCTATACCATCGAATCATTAGAGTTTAGCATCGTAAAAGGGTTGTCATATGGAATGCTTACCGATCAGGTTGTTGGACATGAATGTCATCTTCAACTCTTCGTTGTACTTATAATCAACCTTCCACAAGGAGTAATCCTCAGGGTTGTAGTTCTCCCAAAACCATGGCATGGCAACCGAACGGATATCCTCGTTGGAGAACTTGCGCTTCCAGTCGTCAAGGATCATGGATGGCTTGGGAAGAGCTTCAAGGGGGTGCTTTGCCTTTGGGGCAGGCTTCTCCTCCTCCTCTGCTGGGGCAGCAGCGGCGGCGGCCTTGGGGGCAGGGGCGGGCTTGGCAGCTTCCTCCTTCTTTGGGGGGACATTCTTCAATGGCTCCTCAACGAAGGGGGGGTTCGGTACTACAGCCTTGAAAACTGGCTGGTTGACAATGGTCTCGTACCATCTGGTGGTGGCTGGGTTAGACAGACGCCATTCCTTGCCGAGAACGTACTGGAATCCGCGGTAGCAAAGGCTAGCAGTGAAGATATCAGCGAGGGTGATACGCTCACCAACAAGGAAGGTATTGTTGGTGAGGTGCTTCTCAAGGATATCAAATGCCTTTAGGGCACGGACGGAGACTTCCTCAACAGCCTTCTTGTTGTAGGGCTCCTTGCCGAGGATGGGACGGAACCAAGCTCCAACGTTTGGAACAATCTCAGAGTTGGCGAAGCACATCCAGCGAAGGATGGAGGCATAGTCCTGCTTGGTCTTTCCAAGAAGGGTGGTCTTCTCATTCTGAGAGGCAACTAACGAAATGGTCAGCAGGAAAGCAGACCAAAAAAGTGGATGTCATTTCTCAATTGAGTATTAGGTGAAAAATCAGAGTTAAAGAAGTCAACACAGTATGGATTATGCCAGGGATAACTGAAAATAGTATTGAATTTCTCATCATGGAAGCCAGAAATGAAAACAGGATGCAAAGGGGAGCCATGTTGGGAACTTACGGAAGACAGCAATGGCCGTAGACTCAGTCAAGAGGAAACCATTGGCACCGACGAAGACAGGAACCTTAGCGAGAGGGTTGATCTTCTGGAACTCAGCAGTGGTAGCACCGGGGATAGCTTCGACGAGCTCAAGTTCAAGGTCATTGGCCTTTGCTACTATACGGCACGCAGAAACGCGTGGGTTGTCCTGGACGTGGTCTTTGGGTCAGCAAGTGAGCTACACTGCTCGCAACAAAAACAAACAAGAGAGAACGGTGAGGATGCTGTAACCGGGATCGAGCTTACAATAACACCATAGATCTTTCCAAAGGACATGATGGGCAGACTCGAGAGAAGTCGCACTGTTTCCAATGGCTTGTTGGATGGTCGGAAGAGAAGAGAAAAAAGATGGCGGGGTGAAAAAGAGAGAAGAATAAACGAAGTAAGAAAAAGAAAACGAGAGGAAGAAAAATCTTCTTTGCTTTCCCACTTTGCGCCCCTTATGGAATGTTTCTCCGAACCCGGAATATCATTATTCCATTTAAGTCATGTGATATGTTTTTCAACGAACTTTTCTGGTTGAAGAACGAAGAGCGACGAAGACGGCGAGGAAGCAGGAGAAACTGAAGAAGAAGAGACCCGACACTACGTCAATCAATCACATCTCACCTCGTCCTCGGCTCGTCAGTCACAACCATGGCCTGGCAGAGACCGGTTTTTGCAGCTCGAGCTTTCCGGTTTCCTCGGTGCTTGATGCAACCGGAAGCAGCTCGACATCAACCATTTTCGACCGTTGCTCCCGCTCCCTCAGATGGCACATCTGATGCTGCTCCTCCAATGAATTTAGACGAAATCACCAGACTACCGACCCGCATGCTACCCGCGTCACCGTCCTACTTTACCGGCTCCCCCAAATTCACAGACTACGAATTGAAACTTCAACATCTACGGGCCAAATACGTGGACTTGCCCTCCTACGGCCCCAGAGAAGCGCCACGTATAGCGTGGCTGGTCAGGACTCAGTTCTTGTCGAAAATCAATGAAGACATTTCTGTTTCGCGGTATGCGAGATTGCTGAAAAGCTTAAAAGTATTGAACAAGATCAAGGAGGATGTGATGCCACAAGAAGTTTCGGACTTTATCGCTGAATTTTCGAGGCCAAGAAACCTCTACCAGTGGGAACTTGCTCCCAAAAAACCTGATGAGAATGGCCGAGCCAGGGGTATGGGGAGACGAAAGACTGCCCATGCGACTGCTTATCTCGTCGAAGGGGACGGTCAAATTATGGTCAATGGGAAGGCGATTTCGGAAGTATTCCCCAGAATTCACGACAGGGAGAGTGCCATGTGGGCCTTGAAAGCTACAAACCGACTGCATAAATACAACGTCTTCGCGGTTGCGCGTGGGGGTGGTGTTACTGGCCAGGCCGAAGCGGTCACTCTTGCTGTTGCAAAGGCACTCCTTGTTCATGAACCCGGTCTCAAGTCTGCTTTGAGAAGAGGTAAGAGCTCCTTCCAGTCGATGTTCTTATGCTTGAATTAGCCTAAGACGTTTTTCATTTCTGTACCACTTATGAACATGCACTAACCTTGTTCTACACAATAGCTGGAGTTATCAGAACCGATCCCCGTCAAGTCGAGAGAAAGAAACCAGGAAAACTCAAGGCAAGAAAGATGCCTGCCTGGGTCAAACGGTGATATAAAAAAAATGTGGTTTCAACGTTTGCTTGCTTATTATTCCATCTGCATACGTTGCTCCCGCAAAGGTTCTTAACCATTTACAACTGTACTTTACTCATTATGTATACTTAAAGACGACTTGGATAATACGATTCTTTATTGGTATTAGTTATGTTTATTGCCACTTCCAGTTTGCTAAGCTCATAGTTCAACACACATAACATTATATTGACACAATGCTCGTGGAATGGGCTTTCATGTAAACTATATGTAGCCATTATTCTCTACAGATAATTTCAGCTTATGCGGTATATTATTGAACAATAACTGTAAAATAATGCCATGCGTTTTACATATCTGCAGATGTTCCATGCTAAGAACCCTCTCCTAGATCTATACGTCCCCAGATCTTGCCCCTTCGCGAAATTTTAAGTCGTATGAGCAAGAATCTAGGAGCACACAGGGTAAACAGCCCTTGTTGGTCAAATAGCTCCATTCTAAAGGTATATCAGCACCCCCCCGTTCGAAGCATAGGTGTCTAAACGGCTCAGAGTCTCCAACATAGCTGATAGACCCAATGGGGTTGAACCTACAGGTTACATCGTAAGTCAAAGGATAGCTTACGCGTAGCTCTACGCTCGTAGGTAAACTTTTAGCCACAGGGGTCTTCTTTGAGATCCTTAACCCATTGCTCAGACTGCAGTTCTAACTGCCGTAACCACCACTGTCGAAATAGAGACTATGTTAAAAGAAAGAATTACGACAGTGATGCTAGTCATAGGTATATTACTATCCATTATATTAGCGTGTTGGAGTGGCCTAGAGCGCTAGGAAATTGACATGGAAATAAAGACACGTAAGATCAATATCGGGTAGATTTTAAAGTCAACCTGAAAGCTGCAAGGCCTTTTAAGCCTATACCCGAAAGCTCGGGAATAACCTTGGGTATCGTATATGCATGGGGAGCATGACCAAAATAGCAGCAGTATTTGGAAGATAACACCAGCGACAGTTCAGGTGAGGCTTCGGGAGGAAGCCATCCGCGATTCAATAGTTGCTAACGTCTCTTTTTCTCTCCGCGCTAAGCTGCAGTATCCATTAATCTGTATACATATTAAACCTAGAAGATGCATCAGGGCAGACGCATATTCACTACGGTAATACGCTTGATATTGTTTTTTCCTTGCCAATTTGAACAGAGACTTATGTTCGAAATGGCGATCGATAATATTATTTCGTATCTGCCATCCAGGCATATAAGCCTGAGTAATAGTATCACTGCGCTATTGCACTTCATAGCTTATCTAGTATTATATGAGGCTGTGATCTTTGGTATCATAAATGCCGCGTTTAATATTTCCCGAAAGCGAAAGACGAAAGCTGTCAATGGCTGGATCAGCAATGCAGCAAGATGATCACAACCATTTTGCTGTGTTACTTGCAATGCATTAACCTCGTATCGAACTGAAATGTGGCGCAAAGCCCCATGCCACGTCCAAAATCAGCCCAGAGATCTTAAAGCAATTGAAAAAGGAGCCAGAAGCGCGTAAAAAAGCAAGCTGCAACAAATGCCATTTCAATGGTGTTTTTGACCGCGGAGCATATTTCCGGTTCAGGAACCCTTGCTCTGAAACCTCCACTCAGATCACTCTTCTGAAGGGCGCGTGCCTTAATGCCCTTGTCCATCAGCTCTCATCTTGATGCAATCGCCGCCATGCCCCATCATTCATATAAGGTATATATGAGTAAGTAGCAGAACAATGAGAACTGGTACTAACTCTAAGTTTCAACTCATCCAAAAGGGGTTCCGCTTAACGTCGCAGGTCGGCTTGGATATCTCCCGTACCATCATCCAGAATTCATGGAAGTGGTGAAGCCAGGCCGCTTCGGCGAGGCGGTGGGAAAATGCCCGCTTTAACTGCAGTTCAAATTACTTGCATTTCTCCTTTCAAAATTACGGATGGCAGGGGTGTTTCACTTCTTCAGGTCATCAAGTCAGGAACTAAAACGAATTAACAGGAAAGGCGCAAATACCGACAAAAACTGTACAAAGTAGCTGCTGCAGCCACCACTCACCATTTATTGCCGCCCATGCCCAAGTCACACTGCTTGTTAACCTTGCTGCTGGAGAATGTTCTGAAAATTGTCGAAGATTGAGGGATGTGGCAGAGGTTCGGTTCCTGGATGTCCAGAAGATACTGGTAAGCGGCAGTTGATTTCCGATATGGCTGTCTTTCTCAAGCAAGGCTGCAAGTTACAACAAATTTTATTGTTTCCAACAAGGGACCAATCCGTGTCCAGATACGTACTAGGACCAGGCAATATATGAGTGGAGGAAATAGAATGGTACTCCACACGGATATCCGGAGGATGGAGTGACGCTTGGCCTTAGATCATACTAAAAATGCAAAAGAGTTTGGGAATAAAAGTACCGGGGAGTTAATCGGTAACATAGCAAAGTGAGATCTCCAAATTGAGAAAATGAATATCTTGTTCCTAAGATTCTTTTGTTGAAAGGTAAATGCATGCTAGAGTTAGTGGCTTGGTACACCACTTTGGCCAGTAGTGCGTCGCGAACTCAGTTCCATGCAGGTACGAAGGAGCTACAATCGAAATGTACGCAAGGACAGTCGGAGTTCCCGTTGATTGTCGCCATTGGTCCTACCCAAGTGGGCTAAGTTATGTGTAAGCGCTGTTCGTGTATGCACCATTCAGCCAGAATAGGATAATACTGGGTGTGGAAAGAGAGCCCATCGGCCACTTTGAATAGCTCATGCGGGGTTGGAGCTGGCTTCTTCAAAACCGAGTGATATGATGTACGGTGATGAGGACACTTGACACAGGGCCTGGAAGCCAGCTTATATCCCAATGACCACCTGAGGCTTCGAGAAATGTTCTCGAAATTCTAGATTCTTGTAATATGGATGATCTGCAAAAAGAGCGAGGAGGCCCAATCTCCGGGTTGGATGAGTAAAGACCTAAGGGCCAGTGTTCGCCGTGGAGTTGTGTACTCCGTACTGAGATGAGGCAACTTCTTATGGAGATTAAATAATATCGTTAGCAATAGGCTGCTTTTACTGACGGGTAGGTTGTTTTGATTTAATCATTCTGGGTAAGATAATGCATTAGCGAAGACAACAGTTATGATTTAATCAATATAACGAGACATAACAGTGTGGTGAGGTTCTGTTGATCTTCAGTCCTTTGACCCTAAACCAGTCGATATTTAGTCATTCAAGCCGCCGTTTTACCGATCAAAGGGGGTACTACGGAGTAACTCCTGCCCCAGACTTTGGGCTGTGTTCGCAAGTATGATATGACGTGCTCCTGAATTCGCTAAAATCCTGTGGGTCCTCGGCCTATGGTGATGGGCTTTGAGCGTGGGAGGAGTTTCCCCACAAGGTTATGAGTAGAGGGAATCGTGCCCCATATGTATGTACATATACGGGGTAGGTTGGAGAGAGTGTTGATCTGAGAAGAGGGAGAGGAGAAGTGAATTGGTCTGCAACCACTTTGTCGGCGTTTTCTTTTATTTTCTTTTCGAAAATACGAACATATTTATTTGCCTTTTGGAATAAATACGGGCCGCCACGAAAATCAAATTGGCAACCCACGACTGGCTTTATATGGACGAGCCCTAGCTGTACATAGTATGGACGGTTTGTTGGGTGAAACCTTGCGCTGTCAGCTGCCTTGTTTGGCCTCATTTGTTGCCATAGCTTTCGCTGAGTACAGCGGATATGACGATTTTCTGACAGTTAGGCGTTGAATCAGCAGAAACACTGCTGTAGATCGTGGACATGGCGCCTAAACATTATGAGTGACAGAAACGCCTGTCGCCGTAAGAGGATAAGCATGTCTTAGTGTGATGCTTTTGCTAAGACTTGATAGCCATGAACCATGTTTCACCTACTTCTCTGGATAACGCCTACCCAGGTTCTCATACAAGGAACGGGGGACTCCGTACATCCCGGACGCCCACCAAGATCGAATACAGGGGTTAGCTCTTTAGTCGAGAAGTGGGCTTCATGGCATTTGAGCTTGAAGAATGCTCCTCGAGCAGGGAAAACCTTGGAGCGACAACCGCTTCGTTGGAGTTGTTGGCTGGAGAAAGCGAAGAGAAGAAACAGTTTGACGTTGGATTAAAAGAAAGATCGGGTGGAGCTTGGAACATCGCATTTCCTAACTGGGAAAAAAAGACGACCTCTCTAAGAGCCTCACTCACTCCACCTCCGCATGATTTGTTTGACGTCAACATCCAACATCTCCAGCTTCAGCACATAATTATGGAGAAATACATGCACTTACATAGTAGCCATCGGCGGGGACTACATGTTTGGCAGGACTGGACCAAGCTGACTCTCAAGTACTCGCAGCATGCACGTTAACCATCGCAAGGGAGAGACTAGCACCCATGTCGCGTATCAAGAGCTGAATCACCGGCGTTCCTCCTCAAAAGAGTGATAAGGAAAAGGATTCTGATACCTCGATCGACTTGGGTCTGAACCACAGTGAGTCTGAATTTGGCAGATATTGTTTAAAAATGACAAGAAAAAGAAAAAAGAGAAGAAATAATAAAAAAATAAATATGTAAAAAAAAAATCAAATCCACGTGCCCTCTGCTTATACAATGTACCATGGTCTAACAAACGCTACTAGGAATAAAACTATCTTTACCCGAAATTGTCTTGACAAATCTCGCCTGGCAACGAGCCGGTTGTGGATCAGATCATATCTCAACAAAAAGAGCTTTAGCTAGCTCAACGGGCCCTTGGCACGGAGAGCTGTATATACTTTTACCTCGGGATGATATTCCTCGGGAATCCATTATATTTGGACTCTCCACAGAGGCGTATCATCATAATTTATATATAGATAGAGATTGAAGATGGGAGGATGACCGATAGCAGAGGATCCCGCAGAGCCCTTTTGATTGTCCTCGAATAGAACATGTTTGGAAATACTGCTTGAGACCTAACCAACAAATTAAAGTATCTTCCGCGAAGTGGTGCCTGGTTGAACGTTTGTTGATAGGACGTGGATATGGGAGAGGGAAAAAAAAAAAAAAAATTAAAGGCTCTCCGCCCAGCTTCATCTTCTTGAGGATCCACTCCAGGTTAACCCGATCCTCCAAACGGAGGTACAGCGCCTGTTTCGCTTGTTGGAATTCCTGCTTTGACTTTTGACTTTCTTTCTTTTTTTGTTCCTTTTCATCTTCTTTACTTTTTGCTCTTTGAAACCCCCAAAGCCCACGATGCACTAACGTCAGGCGATCAGACCAGATTCAATTCTCCACTATGACATGTTCCTGATTTCTGCTTTTGATGCCTGCTCCGATCCCCTTCAGAGTGCAAAAGAAAATAAATCCTGACTCTTCTTTTCTTGCCCAGGCCGGATCCCACGACATGCTGTGGCCCCAAATTTTCAAATTAACAAGAGAAGGAGAAGCGCCAATTCGCTCGTTACCATGCCGGTATCCCGATGTCTACACTACTGTCTCAGTTCATGATCGGCTGATCTCCCATCCTCTCACATTCCAGAAGGTGCCTTTAAATTAGCCTGCAAATTGCACAGAAAGCAAAAATTTGCTGCTCACTAGCAAGGGTTGAATCGAGGAATGATCGCCGTTAAGCCATCAATATCAACCAATCACAAACTTGGCCATACCTGCAAAATCGTGAATGATATCTTCTTACTCATACCCTGCCAAATCGGAACCTTTTGTTCTTTTTTTCCCTGTGGCGTTGATACCGCTTCCATACTGGATCAGTGGTTGACCGCTAAACTCCTGGGCGAACCCTCCTTCGCGTCCGTCCTATCTTTCAGCATATTTCATGTTAGACCAATATGCAGGCCGAAAGTCTGGGTCAGAGCAGATCCATTACCCAAACAGTAAATGATCAGAATTGGTCTGGAGGTGAACTGATTAATCCAGGCCACCCAGCCGCATCATATATGGACTATACAAACAGATATCGAGGGGAATGACGGGCATACATCCGGTTGCATACAACGTGCCTGGACTTTTTGTCTACCCATTAAGTTTGGGTTTGGGCTACCGTGATTTGCATTATAAGCGCTCAATGAACCACCCAGCTTGCATCTTCACCTCTTTATACTTCAACCAGCCTCGCATTATTCGTTCCACGCAACGAGTATGCGAAATAGGGGGTATTCGGCTGGACGAAACTAAGTTTCATAAGGCTCAGTATTATCTCCACATCGACAAGTTGACCAGTTCCGAAGTTGGGTAAAAAGCAATCCTAGACGGTTCATATATTATTACGCCACCTCCAGACTTTTGAAAATAATCATTTCAGCCGATGTATATACCCCGCCTCTACAGGACTGCTTTGAAGGAATTTCTCTCTCATTGCAGCTGTGGTCAGTCAACTACATCTCACGACACTCGCCTCCGCTCCTATTCCTACCTCCTTGATCTACGCATCGCATCCGGATATTGCTTGGTATACATCAAGCCCACGCTCGTTATATCAGTTGTTAAACAGAGATCTGCCTATTTGTCACCTGAATCGTGTTAATTTTTATACAATTCAGCTCCGATCTAGTTGACAACTTATTAGAGATTCGAACTTTTATAACTACAACAGAGCTTATGACATTATACTTCTTTCCCAGCCTTAGCAGCATCGACTACAGGATATTTTCTTCAGTTGGCACCTGGACTGCGAACTTCCCGCTACCGTCTTTGAATCGGCACTGACCATTTTTTCGGTTCAACTTTGGTGTTTACCATCTTCCCTTAGTTTGGAATGCAGAGCTCTATCAACTAATGCTGTTGTTCTGCTGATTGGAATCCGCCTAGTCATTCCACACTCCTCCGAATACAAATCCATTCCAATAGGCCGGAGATACAGTCAGATCAACTCTACTTCTAGCTTACGCTACAATCCCAAGATATTTCCCTCCCATCATAGAGAAAAGCAGTCCATCGGAGATATAGTCGAGCTGGCGACCCAAACCAGAAACGTGGAATACTACGCCAGCCCACCAATCTCGCCTCCGACGCGTCGACCGTCACATCTCGAGCCGTCGTGGGGCGGGAGCACTACAGGCCCATTCAGGGGGATGGATGGCGGCGACAGTCATCCGCAGAAGAAGTATGACCCTTCCTATATAGCAGGTCGGGTAGTTCGAGACGCACCTGGCTCCTCTGCAGACCGGTTTAGACAGCAACAACCAGGGTCTACCAGAAGAGGAACGCTCGGCACAGGTGTAACTCCTCAAGATGGAACTGCACTTCCGCCTTACGGGGGGTTTGACTATCCTGAATCCACCCCGTATAATACCTCTCAACTACAGAGCGGCTCGCTACAGTATCAGCAAGGATTTCCCAATTCGAGGAACCCTCCGCAACCAGGTCAACAGTCTACCTCGCAGGAGCAGCAGCAGCGGCTACAACAATATGACCACAATATTGTTTATAACATCAATCCCCATGACCAGACACCATCTTCGTACTACCAGCCACGGCAGTCCGCAGCCATCGAGGTTTTAGCAAACCAGTTCGGAGTTCCACAGTATTTCCCCCCTGATGAATCTACAGCAGGTGCGGGAGCCTCAGCACAATATTTAAGCCCCCAGGACCAGCCGCCAACGTTCCCTCAACTTCCCCCAGTGAGCCGGCCTGGGGTGGCAACATCGTTTGCTGAGAGCATGCCAGGATTCAATTCTACTTCTGGATCAGAACCTCAAGAGCGACAGGAAGCAACTCAGCAACGATCCTCCGACCTTGACGAAGCATACAATCGTTATCAGCAAACTTTAAAGCAAGCGTTCTATGATATTCGAGCTGGCCGGCTTGCAAATGCCAGCGATTCGATGCTCGAAATGTCAGAGTGGCTACTTGGAAATGCCGTGGAACTAGGTGAGCATATGACTTCCCATTAGTTCTGCTATGCACTCTGGGCCCCACGCAAATTCAAGAGTGTACAAAATTATTTTTGAGCTAATAACTGATTCTAGGACTGGTTCGTGATCAAGAAGACCTCCACGCGGATCGAATTGATATGTGGAATAATTTTAATACGTGCTGGCTTGCTATTTGTCAGAAACAGAAGGATACAACGCAGGAGATGTTTGATACAGGAGTTCGCCCAGCGGAGCTTCTTAGCGAGGACGCATTGCAAAAATTGGGAAGAGAATTAGTCCGACTCTGTGACAAAATGGAGCAGTACGGCTTAGTTGATTATCAAATGGGGGTCTGGGAAGAGGAGATCTTATGTGGTAAGTGACTTTATCTCCACGAATATTATCATGGTACCATAATCTGATTCCTCCACAATTAGTATTGGGACAATGCCTCGATCTTCTCGAGAACCATGAAGAAGCTAGTGCACCAAGCAGGAACAGACTTCCAACGGCTGATCAGTAACTTGATTTCTAGCCCGCATCGATTACTAACTCATCGCGATTGGACCACGTAATGTGAGGAATGGAGCAATGTGATTTCAAGCTTGCACGTCAACAAGTTGTTTCACCAAGCTTTATTAGTTGACGCAGCCCGGAATCATCCCGACTTGAGTCCACCCAGTTTATGCAGTCTGCATGAAATTCATACCCGTCATCCTTCTCCTGGCTGAATTCTCAATCCCTAATATCTCCAGCGGTTGACGCTGGCCCAGGAATGACCTGACGTTTCATTCGATTAGCGCATACTTTTATAATCCTACGTTTGCTATGTCTGACGGCCGTCCTCCTCTATTTTCTTTTTTTTTCTTTTTCCTTCTTTACATTGGTTTTGGCATTCTAGCCTTGAGGAAGCATCAGCCATTCAACGTCCTAGATTAGAGGGAAATAGAGCGGCGGACGGATTGGTGCATTTGGATGCTTGGTTTTTTTTTTTTTTTTTTTTTTTGGGTTCGACAACGCACATAGCTACAAGATGCACACGCGCCCTCCGCTCTTTGCTATGTGACTTGTCTCGCCAAACTCGTTGGACTCTTCCACGGGGTACCAACACTTTCAAGGATCAATTTTAGGACAAGCTGCAGTGGAGTTCCTTATTATCTTTTATACGGTGGAGCAGCGTCGACACCAGAATTCTTCTAATTCACCTTCCGACCTTTCTCGCTTTTTTTCGCGTTTTATCAGTTCCCAGTTCCCGCGGAGCCTCTTTTTGCGTTTTGGACACCATTCTTGCATTACTTTTTTTTTACACTTGATTCTTACCCTTTTTTACTGTGTTATCGTTTTCAGTTTTACGGTCTCATCTTCTCGATCTGGGGTATGTTATGGTTTACTTGCAGTGATATAAAAGATACCCATTTTGCATTTCTTTACAAAATATTAGACTGGGGTTACATTCTCTTCCTTGCATTATATATTATTACTCTTCACTGGGGAACTGATATCATTGGATGATCGGAGTGGGACGGAGCCTAGGGCCCTTTTGTCTATGTGGACGAGAGGAACTGAGGGAATAGGTCGGAGTTGTCAGATGGATATCCATATATATATATGTATATATATCACAGTGGAGGAGGAAGAGAGAAAAGAAAAACCATGCAAAGAAACAGCGTACGTTTATACCTGGACCCCTTATGTACAAAAAGCAGTCACTCTCCCAGCTATTTCGTTGCACAGCAAGGCTATGATTCTCTCATCTTACTATTATTCTGTCCATATCTTGTAGACGTTGAGTTGTTGCTTCTTTTTTCTCCGGATACCTGCATAAGAGATTAAGAATTTAACTATGTGGCTCTTGGTTGTGGTTACTCGGCCTGCTTCTTGTATTCCTGGTTCCTTCTACTTAATATATTATTTATAATTTCTTTTCTCTTGTGTTCATGTTTCTTTTCTCCAGTTGTATACATACTATGTACCTGCGTACTTTGAAACGTTGGCCTTGTTTCCAAGGTCGCCCATATTTAACCAGTCTGCCTGTTCCCGAATTCATCTAATTTAATTCCCGCCCTCAACTGTCAAGTTCCTGCGTTTTTATTTAATTTTATCGACCTGATCTTGATTTTTTTTTTTTTCAGCGCCTTCGTATTCAGCGGTGCAAATAGCCAACCACCTAGAAAATGAGCTGAGTGAGACAACAAGCTAACGGCGAGAAGGCAGGAAACCCCGAAAGCTCATCTCCACCTCGAGTTCCTGTATAATTTATTCCTGGGGCGACATCATGCTCTGGCCTATACATATATGGCAGATAGTAAACGGAGGAAAACCCCGGGTCTCCGTGCCTCTTTATGGCATCGAGCGGAATCGTTTCCGAGACAGTTTATGGGTGCATGTATATTAATCACTCTGAGGCATTTTCGAGATGGAAGCGATGCTTGGATCCAGGTTGGCCAGCGTTAGCCTCTGGGATCACACATGGTCCTGGGGGGAGGTGACAACGTCCCTTTAATGTTTCAGGGGCAGAGTCTAACCTATAGACGAGCTTGATGGACTTGAAAAAAAATCTCGAGCCTAACTTCATCTGCCTGGGCATTCAATGGCTGTCGTACCTTCTCTGTTCGAGTTTTGAAAATTAATATATATCATGGAAGAGCATGGGTCTTATCAGGACCGTCGATAAGGGCGGCTTATATGTTCTGTGCTTGACCCATCTTTGCCACCCTCGTCGTTGAGTTGACCAATTTTAATAACCATGTCCATGTCAGTTCTTCACGGTACATCCTAGCCCATAGATATGATAGGCTAGGAGAGAAACTGTTGGAAATTGCACACCTATATATGTAGTATATATATGCAGCCCATGATTCTTTGTCCATAATCGAGGCATGGCCCTTGCCCTTAAACTTTGCAAAACGGGATAATGTTGAAAGGGAAGGTTCATGGAGCATCTCCGAAGAATTGATGGCCTTCAGGCTTCTTGTAAGCGAAGAGCATCGAAAGGCAAGGAAGCTCTTTGAGCCTCTAGAGATCCACCACCATGCAAGTAAGGATATTAACCTGCATAAATTTGTGGAAAGAAAAGTCTAATACTCTGGCGCGGGAGTGGAACGTATGCCGTTTGGTTGAGGTTGTGCATGTAAATCTTGTCTGTCAGTATCTCATGCGAAGTGATGTGTGCATGAGTGTTATCCAGTATCATCGGCATGATAAATCGAAGCCAGCTTTCCAGATTAGTGGGCTGGTTTTAGCCGTGGTGGTATTTATAAGAAACCACCTTCCCGTCTGAGGGCATCCATTTCAAAATCCTCTGAGTCGTACTAAACCACGATATTGGGCTGGTCAAATCCCGAAGTCTGACACGAGGCTACTGCAGGCTTCACTTGTCTGACCTTAGTTAGTTCCTTGTGCATTTGGGTAGGTATGGTATGTATAACATAGCACTGATATCGGTTGCATTTTGTATTCTGAATTAAGGGGAACTGGGAACTGGCCACGCTGACCGAACTATTATTGCCATCCCCGAGTACTTGAGTCCTTGCTGCCCTTTATGATATGTTAACTATTTGCTGCTGGGTGAGGTTAGAAAATTTCTAGTGAGATAGAGATATCGATAGATCAAGATAAGGTTGTGGAGAGGCAGAACTTAACCGAACTTGTGGTAAATGAAAATATCTTAAATCATAGATCAACTCTTTTTTATGTTGCAGATGAGGGATACTCACCACTTAAAATATGTAGCTATGATCAGCCGAGCCTCGTTGGAACGACGATTTGTGGGTGTTTATATCCACCCAAGGATGATAATTGACATGTTCGATTCTGGCTACAATTTACCAGGAAAACTAAGGCGGTATAGTCCGGTTTTTTGATATTGAAACCCTTAAGTACAAGTCTATTGCGAGTTTAAATGGGCGTTGGCAATTGGTCAACAAGGCCTCAGCTGGATCCCAGGGTTCTATAGAGCCGCAGTAAACATCTATATTGAGGTTGGTTGGTATCGTAAGAATTCATCATCGATTGGTGTTGGAGAAAGCGGATCATATCAAAACAGTTTGAAGAGGATCGAAGTTGCATCGGCCAAACAGGAGCAATCGTAAACCAACGCCAACAAACAAAATAATATCGCGTATTCAAAATTGATCTACTAAATGGTTAGACAACGGCGACATTGATCACTTCACTTGGAATGACACCATGGGGCAAGATACGGATAGGGGAAATCATAGACTTACCCAAAGTCATGCTCATACTGATGTCTGTGTTCTCAACCATCCTGGTAAATTCTTCAAAGCTTATTTTTCCATCTCCGTCTTGGTCAGCTTCCATGATCGTCTTATCTACTATTTGTTGTAGTTGATTGTCCTTCAAATTGCTGCCAACCATCATTTTCAGAACAATAAACAGTTCGCCGTTTGATATGTACCCGTCACGATCAATATCATATACTTTGAACGCAAATCGAAGCTTCTCCTCTTTGTTCCCCTTGGAGCTAAATGCTGATAATCCTGACACGAATTCTTGGAAGTCGACGTCACCACCGCCATCTTCATCGAAAATTGCGATCATTCTATTTTAGTTCGCAAGAAACGCGAAATCATTAGCTCACGTGCGCGAAAGCCGAGAGTATATGCGCGGGATAAGATTTTATTTTTCTTTCTTTTCGGGGGTATGCGGTTCGCCTCGATTTCTTACCGAGTAGCCAAGGGGTTGGACGAAACTTGTGGTAGAGAAAGAAATTCATCTCGTTCGATCGTGCCAGAATTATCCTATGACAGCCAAAAATTTTCGGTTGAACAGTAATTAGTGAGCTGTGACTAAACGTATGCATCACTTAAAATAGTCCCTCTATGAATGCGACATTCTAGTATCCCCGGAGAGGGGCTCACTTTATCCAGTTTCATGAAGCGTTTCCGTAACCTATCAACCTCATCTCGGTCAACTTCACAAAAAAAATTACAAGTTAGCAGTTGAAATCATCGAGCCATCAATAAGACACAAGCGGCGGGAACGTACAGTTGGACGCCGACACAATCTTGTCTAGGACCTGGGTGCCAGATGAATCCTGTACAGGCTCCGAAGCTGAGTTCTCAGAAGCCATTGTTGTAATGAGTAGCTATAGGTGAGGGGTGGCTCAGGAGCAGAAGTTCGACGGTGAAGGGGAGGCGAGACTATCCCTATATGCGGTTGGCCGATGACAACTGTCTAAAAACGGCGTGGCAATTCACTGCTAGAGTGGCTAGACAAAGCTATTATGTTGGCGTGGTGGAAATGGTGGAAATGGTGGAAGTGGTGGAAGTTGAATGCGCTTGTGGTAGTGACGTTCTTCTTTGGGCGATTCAGGGCAGTTTGCGCTAGCCCTAATCAGGTAAGCCAGCGTCACTGGAGATTTTTATATTGGGGAAGACTGCGCTAGCCGCATTAGGAAGCACTGGCGGCCCATGCGCTGGCCCAGACTACCAAACTGCGCCCAAACAAGCCCGATTTGTAGCGTCATGGACAACGTCAACTCATCAAAACACCGTCTTGCCACCAGATTCCCGACAGCATTATCTCGACCTCACGACGCTCGATTTACACAAAACCACGCTTAACTTACTGCTGATGACCAGGCCTTTCGTTTGACACCTATATTAGGCTACCACCTGCTCATGTGTGGTCCTATTTTTGCTATCCGAGAGTCATGTCACGGCTTGGGGGGATGATGAGGGCTACGCGTCCGAAAAAACTCACCCCCAAGCAGCCGATACCAATATTTCGAGAGGATCAGATTGACCTTACCGAAGATGATCCGCAAACTACACTACAGGCTATCGAAACCGGCGTTGAGAAAGCTGAAGAAACTGTAAGTGTCCCTGAAATCGAAATTTTCAAGGGGTTGCCTGGGAGACGTCACGTGATATTAGGGGGCAAGAGCAACCTGTATCGTCAAGTGAAATGGATGAAGAAGACGGGCTAACGTTGGTCGAGCGATTAGGAATTCCATTTGCAAGCTGCAATAAATGCCACCGCGTTTGGAAATGCTGCCCAGACACATATCCCGACACCAGAAACCGTCCAGAGCTCGGTCCAATATGACACGCTCTACAAGCCAATATTCTCGCAGCCTGCAACGTATATTCGGTTCTCGTCAACCGTAGAGGACTGCAGTGGGTGTGGATATAACCTCGTGGAAGAAGATGACGTCGCTTTGAAGATAATGAACCAGAAGCGGGACGCATCAACACAATGCACAGAAGACCAATTCGAAGAGGTGATGAGCTTCTTCGAGGAGACAGCGCAGGCAAAACAGCCATTCGCTGCTGTCGATAACCCCCCTGTAGTATCGTATCTGGAAATGGAGGAATGTTTTGATGGAATGATACACGAGAAATTAAGGCCGTTTGTAAGAGAAATATATGAGAGCTGGAAATCGAGGCGGACAGCATCAGGAAATAGGCCGCTCCAGCCGACTTTAAAGGTGAGTAGACTGGTTGAACTGTTTGGCGAATCATATACTGATGACTCCGCAGTTTGAAACCGGGCAAGATACTGATGACGGCGACCCATATGTTTGTTTCCGCCGTAGAGAAGTCCGACTAGCTCGAAAAACTCGAGGTCGGGATGCACAGAGCGCCGAGAAACTTAGGCGCCTGAGAAAAGAGTTAGAAGATGCCCGACAATTAATAGCAATGGTGCAGCAACGTGAACTTGGGCGAAAAGAAGCGTTGGCAACTGAAAGGCAACTGTTCCTGCAACGCAGCGAGGTAAAGGAGATGAAACGGAAACTTGGCATCAAGGACGATGATGAGGATCTCATCAATCAAAAGGTAAAATCCCACTCTGATACCATAGATCCTCCTTTTATCATAACTGACCCTAATGCGCAGCCAAAGAAGAAGCCCACAGAAGTTCCTGTTATCCAGCGGCCAAGTGTTCCACAGCTGCGTGTCCCTTCGCGCACCGCTGGCCAACTTGGCGAAGACCTGCAGCTGCTTGAAGATGTTCAAGCAGATAAGGAGAATGATATTCTGCGAGAAATTAAACAGAATGTTGCAAAGCATGCCAAGTGGAACGAAGGTTATGTAGATATCACTCGGGCGCCACTTACTCCAACCACACCGCAAGGATTCGAAGCTGAATTCCGACCGGCAATAACGCATGAGTATTTGCCCACACCTCCAACCTCCGAGAGCTCTGAACGTATGCGGGATGTTCATGGCATTCTGCCACTAGAAACCCAATGGTCAGCGCTTCGACAGTCAAGCCCATCAGAAGATGATTCGAATAGGCCCACACCGTCTTTCCGTCGGCGTGTAGGCCGTGGTGGCCGTGTCCTTATTGACCGCAGAAACCTTGCACTCCGTAATAAGGATGGTGTTGATCCCATAAAACTCGATAGGTTCAAGTATGATCGTGACGATGATGATATGGATATCGTGTATGAAAAGGATGAATTTGATATCCAAATCATGCAGCATCGTGCGTATCTGTCGGCCAAGGCGAGAGATCAGGCCATAAGTCAAGCTCAGCTGCAAGCCCAGGCACAGTCCCATAGTCAACAAGCCCCGAACGGTAGGCGGCTACCGGGTGCGTCTCCCGCGCCTGGCCACAATAACGTTAATCCCAACTCATCAAATATAGCAGCACAGAAAAGTTCTCACACTGTGTCTTAATCACCCACTCACCTTTTGTTCCTGACCTGCCACATATGCCTCCTTTTGTCACATTGCTGTCTCTTGATATCCGTATAGTTTTCATCCATCCCTTTCTCTGTGCTTTACACACAGATGTCTCCCTTCCCGCCCTCTCCCCACCACTTGATTTTAAATCTTTGCCAAAGGCTAAGCTGAACCGAGCGTTGTGCTCTTTGTTCGTTAGTGTGTACATATTAGAAACTTCTGGGGGGCAAGCTATTATCAGCAAAAACAAATGACAAAAAAATTCGAAAACCTCATCCCTTGGATTCCCGCATTTATATCCTGATAGTATGTATAGTATTTTAGTTCGCTCAAAGTTGTCTTTGCCTCTTGGAGGTGTATTCATCGTTCGTCATTGCATGTTTAGTTGATCCACTGTGGCCTTGATGCATCGGGTAGGTGTCCAATTGTCTCAAAACTTGAGCAAGAATTTCTTTTTCTCCCATCCTTACCTGCACTGCCATTTTCATACGGCGAGAGTTTGAATCATTGGGGTTGAAGTTTTGTTCGAGGCATTGAAGCATTTTTTTATCACTCTGAATTGTAGTAGGGTATTCGCATAGGCGTTGGACAGCTAAAGGCAAGAGCACAGCCGCAGAAGCGGCAGAAAACTCTGGCTTTGGGGCTTTGTTTCTCGCCCTGAGATCATTTAGATTCGCTACCGGTAAGGTCAAGGTGTTAAGAAGAATAAGGAAATCCTCTGGTATTGCGTCATTCAACGACTCGGAATCCGATATTCGGGGAATACTGTATCCGTCTTCGAGCAGACCGAGATTGTCTAGGAGTTCAAGCTATAACGAGGTTAGCAGATAGTAGGAAATAACATCTGATTCTGAATACATACTTGGGGGTTAGAGGGTCCAGGATGACTGTCTGGTAAACCTGCGGCATTGCAAATGCTGTCCAAAGAAAACTCAACCACGTCGTATTGGGCATAATTATCGGTGACATAACCGTATCGCCGAAGGAGATCCGCTCTCGGGAGTTCACCATAGTCATTAAAGATCTCCTCACCGGCTTGTATATTCCTGATAGCCTTCATCACGAATGACCCTTCTTCTTGGAAGAGGCGTGCCTATAACGACGAAAACATATATATATTAGCTATGAACAGAGTGAGATGGTGAGGTAAATCCCAAAAGAAGACAAAGTACTTTTACTTACATTATTCCTCTGTGCATCTGCATTGAATATATCAGCTAGAGGCACCATACCTTTGGCCGGCTCATCCTCATCATCGGTCATATAGCCGTCTTCAGCCGCATCATCGTCCGCTCCTTCAGTTTTCTCTATGTCAAACGCGTATGCCATGATGAGGCTACCCATACGATGCGCTAAGCAAAGTAAAGCATCATTGCTATCAAGTGGAGGCATACCAGATCTGGCCGGGAAGTGATGAGGGTTGGCCTGTATCAGCGGGACAACCTTTTGGAGGATGGCCTCATCAGCTGCAGACTTGCCAATTTTATCAACAACTGCACAACCTTGAAGTTCCTGCAGTTGAGCCTCTGTCCAGAACATTAACGTATCGAAACTCGTAGGAAGGATATGGAAATACGGTTCCCATCTCGATTGCTCGCCTTGGTAGTACTCGTAAATCATGACGATGATTAGCGATAGCCAGGGCCCGAGTTGTGTCTCATTTAAGCCTAGAGCTTCTCTTGCTTTCGAGTTTTCTACGCTGAGGATCAAATCTTCCGGGATAACAAAGAGTTCTTCGTCTTCGGCTATATCTCTCACAGCGCCTAGTTCCCAGGCGTCAGCAATCAGATGACCTATCTTTTGCTGTATTACTTGAAAACCATGAAAATAAGATCACTTACAGATGCCTCTCCCTGCTCCAATAGACCTCAAATCAGTGATACGGATGTCGGGATGCACTTTGAAGTTAGGGCTGCTCCGCTTCAACCAGAGCATGAAGTCATCTGACAGCTTGTTGAACTGGTCCTTGCCTGCTGAGTCCATCAGAACAGGCATGCCGCAAGGAGGAGCTGGGTAGCTGTAAACAGGTAGATCCAAAACAATGACTTCACAAACCTTCTCCTCAAGCTAGAAGGCAGGCAATGTCTGAACAGAAGCCAGAATGCCAGCCACTTTGGAGTGCAAATGATGGTGGGTGTGTGAACAATATGTGCTGTCGGATAAACTTCCGGATAAACTTCCCCCCATCGGAAGCCGTTTTCTTAGTAAGAACCTTCCAAGGTTTATAGTACTTTTAGGACTGGTCACGTGGTTCCCCACTGCAGTTATCGATAAGTTCTAAATTCCTTGTTAAAAAAACATCGGGGATCTTGTGTCTAATCGAAGGGAATGCTGGATTACAGTAAGTGAGGAAGAGAATAAATGAGGAGGCGCCATGATTGCAATCGGACTCGAGGGCTCAGCAAACAAACTGGGAGTTGGGGTTATACTCCACCCTGACGATGGCTCCTCTCCCCAGGTTCTGTCTAATGTTCGACACACATACGTTTCTCCGCCAGGTGAAGGGTTTTTACCAAAGGACACGGCAAGACACCATCGCAAGTGGGTTGTAAGCTTGGTGAAGCAAGCTTTGAAAGATGCCAAAATTGGTGTGGCCGATGTGGATTGCATATGTTATACTAAAGGCCCAGGGATGGGTGCTCCCCTCCAATGTGTTGCATTGGCCGCGAGAATGCTGAGTCTATTATGGGGGAAGGAGCTTGTTGGTGTTAATCATTGTGTTGGGCGTGCGTATATCTTCCATTATCGTCAAATCTCAGTGCTTTTACTGCCTGTATACTTTTCACGGCTCGGCAAACAGGCGCTAACACTATGCCCGCAGATATTGAGATGGGTCGCTACATAACTGGCGCCACAAACCCCATTGTTCTATACGTCTCTGGAGGCAACACCCAAGTAATTGCGTACAGCTCGCAGCGGTACAGAATATTCGGTGAAACTCTAGATATCGCGGTGGGAAACTGTCTGGATCGATTCGCTCGAACGTTACACATATCCAACGACCCCGCTCCAGGATATAATATCGAACAGCTAGCCAAAAAAGGTAAAAGACTAGTTGAGATTCCCTATGCTGTGAAGGGGATGGATTGCTCTTTCTCGGGCATATTAGCTACCGTTGACGCATTGGCGGCCTCATACGGGCTGGGCGGCGCAGAGCAAGCCAAAAAGGATGCTGACGAAGTAGCTCGATCCGCAAAAGCCGAAGCAGCCGACTCGCTCGAAAATGATGACGGGGTAGTCAGCCGTGCAGATTTGTGCTTTTCGCTCCAGGAAACGGTATATGCGATGCTTGTTGAAATTACAGAACGTGCGATGGCGCATGTAGGCTCGAAAGAGGTGCTGATAGTCGGCGGCGTTGGGTGCAATGAACGCCTTCAGGAGATGATGGGAATCATGGCCCGTGATAGAGGTGGCAGTGTGTATGCGACCGACGAACGTTTCTGTATTGATAATGGTATCATGATTGCCCAGGCTGGACTGCTGGCCTACAAGACAGGCTTCCGTACGAAGCTGGAAGAGTCTACATGTACTCAGAGGTTCAGGACAGACGAAGTCTTCGTGAAATGGAGAGAATGACTTGACACTATAGAGTTAACTATGGCATTTAGGAAGTAGTCCGAACAACGGGAATATTAGAGTGTCATAATACACCAAGCCACATACCCGTATACCATAATGTACACACTCTCTTCATCTCGCCGTTATTTGTCGAATATACGATGTAGAGAAATATCCTGGCAGAAGCGCGAGAAGTGGGCCCGCTATGCTAGATCAAGGGAAACCCTGTCGCTGAGGCTTAACTTGCGCTAGACGTTGTCCCACCTCATGAATCAAAGCATGTTGGCGCAGCGGAAGCGCGCCGGGCTCATAACCCGGAGGGCCTTGGATCGAAACCAAGACATGCTAGGAATTTTTTTTTCCCCCTTTTTTATCGCATTTGATCTTCTGCTTAGGATCATATCGCATAAAAGGGTTCTTCTTCTTCTTCTTCTTCCCTAGCTTCCAATATAAATGAGAAAAATCGAGCGTAAGTAAACTGGAATTAAAGTTTATCTATCTAACCCTCATATATTGCAGGAATCTACCATGTAAATGACAAGCGCCAACTCTCTCATCTTTTTATACACCCGAAAACATGAGAAATAGTACCATATTACACAGTTAAAAAAAAGCAACAAGACGGTGCATAGCCTAAGAAGATGTAGAAATAGAGTTCTTGACCCATTTTTCTAACCCTCCAAGGGCTATGATTTCCTGTACGTTTGGAGGTAGCTCTCCAACTTTCTGCGTCCATTTCTGTCCACCAGGGCCTTCTTGGACCTCAATTTGACTTCGTCGTACATCCCACGTCAATGTCCAACCAGTTCGTCTAGTTGCCTGCTTCCCCTGTTCTCCAAATGTCTCACGCAGTCTGCTGACAAGTCGCGGGACTTCTAGTCCCATGAGGGCATTGTTGATACTGTTCCTGGAGAAGATGTTGCCAAAGCTGCCTGCGACCACAAGTGGAATATTTCTGGCAAGAATGGCGGTAGCAGCTTGCTCGCGAGAGCTTCCACAACCAAAGTTGTAGCCGGTTACTAGGATATCCCCATCCTTGGATATTTTGGAGAATTCGGTATCGTAGTTGGACATGCAGTACTCGCCCATCTGCTCAACAGTGACGTTGTCTTGGTATGTATATTTCCCAGGGTAAATGCCATCGGTGTTGATGTTGTCGCTGTCACAGAAGATTATTTCTCCTGAGACACGTTCGGGGAAGCCAGGGTATACCTCTGTCAGGGTGGCTGTTTCTTCTGGCTGTGCCTGTGGCCCTTCGATGCCAAACGACTTCTCGGCATCCAGTAGCATGCTATCAAGCTGTCCAATAACCTTCTCTAGCGCCTGCTCCGCGGTCAACAGGTCCTCATCCTTGATTCCCTCGCCTTCTCCACGAACAACTCCAGTCCAGCCTTCGGGCTTCTCGTACCATCCTGGCCCACTCAGCTTCCCACTTAGCGCACTAGCTGCTACCACTTCAGGGCTACCAAGGTAGGCTTTCGCTTCTGTGCTACCCATTCGACCTTTGAAGTTCCGGTTTGACGCACTGATGCCGACTTCTCCGGGTTCCAACAGGCCGGTTCCAAGGCCAATGCATGGCCCACAACCGGCAGGTAGGGGTTCCGCACCAGCATCAAGGAGAGTTTGCCAGTCACCAGCTTCTTCCGCAGCGCGCTGCTCAGGTATGGATGCGGCCGCAATGTAAAACTTAACGCCGTCTGCTATCTTGGGGGCTTTACCATCATTCTTCTCAGCAGCTTCCTTGAACACTTTCGCCGCTGCTGCAATATCGGAAGCTCTGGAATTGGTGCAGGATACGAGGTATGCTTTGTCGACCTTGATATTCTGCGCCTCAAGCTCATCCAGGGGCGTAGCTACCTTGACGGAGTTAGGCCCAGAAACATAGGGGGTGAGGGTGGAGAGATCTAGATGGAGTTGCTTGGCGTATTGAGCTCCCTTGTCTGCCACTAAAGGTTGCTCAAACATCTCTTCCAGTAGTTCATGGTTGAATCGAGTAGCTGCTGTGCTGGGTAGATCAGCGACTGTTGATCCCCACATGGCAGCTGTAGTTGCCTTTGCTCGTAACCACCCCTTTAGCATGGCGTCTACAGGGAATAGGCCTTGTATAAAGTTAGTAAGAATAAGTTTCATGTCAAGTGAGTTCCTTGGTGGAATGGTAGTTACCGCTTAGAGCTCCAAATTCAGTTGTCATGTTCGCTATCGTCAATCGATCATCAATCTGTAAACTGCGCATGGTCTCCTCCGATCCGGTAAATTCAATAGCATGATTGAGAACTTCGTCATTGTTGAACAGTCCGCAGAGGGCAACGATGACGTCCTTTCCAGTAACACCCTTGGGCAGGATTCCCGTGAAGTTCACTCTAGCAACTGGAGGCACCTGCCACCAAGTCTTCCCCGTAGCCCAGATACTGGCCGCATCGGTCCTCACCACCGGTGTCCCCAAACATCCTACGCCTCCATACATATTCGAGTGGCTGTCCGAAGCCACCACCAAGGTCCCTGGCCAAGCATATCCTTCCTCGACCATGATTTGATGCCCGATACCTCTTCCAGCAGGGTAGAAATCAACACCATGACTCTTTGCAAACCGCTCAATCTGCTCATATTTTTGCAAGTTCTTCTCAGACTTGTTCTGCACATCATGGTCTAGGGTCATGACGATCTGTTTCGAGTCGTTCAACCTGGATGCTCCAATGGACATGAACTTCAGCGCAACAGGCCAACTGTTATCGTGGGTCATGATTCGGTGGGGAGATATGGTAACATAGTCTCCCGATCGGACGAATTTGCCCTCTGCTAAGCCGACAGAATATTTCTGGACAATCTTCTCGGTCAGGGTTTGAGGAACGAGAGTATTCGATTTGATCGCGGAGTGGATTGCGGCGAAGGAAGGGTCTTGAAGCTGTGAGTGGAATACATCAGCTGATGAGAGCCTGTTTGTCACAGAGAACTGTCTGTATGCCAATGGTCTGGTATTGCATTGCAATCGGCGACTCTGCATTCTCGCAATTGGCGAGACAATCGCCCTGCTGGCGCTCGCCATGGCTCTTCTTGATATGACGCCAGCCATTGTGAAGGACCCTCTTCCTCCACAGAACTGCTCTTGGGACGAGATATCTCTTGTCTCGTCGCTCTCCTTCGCAATTCGGATTCAACAACTTTTTCTATCGAATGAAAAAGCAGCAAATGGTCAAAAGATGCAAACTAAGCAAACAGGCTTTATCGGGTCAGTGTGTCATCCCGAACTCGGGCTTATGTAATCTGTCGGTTTGTTCCATTCTAAAGGGGAAAAAGAAGACATGTTGGATATTGATATAGATACAAGCTGCTACTGTGTTGATAAATACATACGAGGCTAGTTATGGTCGACAGTTGTAGACCGGGACTTGTGGATGTCATATCGGAGAAATATTTCACAAGATCCCTGCGCTAGCTACATCCCGGTTGATTTTAGTTGCTGCATGTATGGATAGCTCTACACAACTACCAGGACCAGCCGTCGGAGCTCTACCACCATGTAGGTAGAATGTAAAGTGCCAGACTTTGGAAGATGTGAAGCCTCCACTTTTTCTTTGAGCAAGCCCATTTTGCAATACTTTAGCCGAAAAGTGAAAACGTTAAAAAGGTTGTAATAGCAAGGGAAGAATGTAACGAGCGAGAGTTGAGTCACTCAATTGCACATGGAAAAGGACCTTGGAGGAGTTGTATTCAAATATAAATAACCATCTATCTTGCATCCATTGATCAAGGGTCAACAGATATAAGAGTTACAAGTACTCAGCTTTGAGTGCCTCGAATATATACAAAGAGTGAAAACCCCGCCATAACAAGTAGTCATTTTTGTTCGCATCCCACCTTTTGCACAGAAAGCCTCGTCTCTCTTCCACCACGTCAAGGTGACAAACGTCCCCAAATGCCTTCTCGATCGGAAATTGCCTACTTTGGTGCGGGCCCTGCCCCTCTACCAACTGCGGTTGTCGAGGCTGGTGCCAAAGCCTTCGTCAATTACAACGACAGTGGCTTGGGTCTAGGAGAAATCTCCCATCGGTCTCCCGCCGCCAACCAGATTCTCGCCGATACCAAAGCCAGTCTGACTACCCTGCTGGATATACCGGAGAATTATGAGATACTGTTCCTTCAGGGTGGTGGAACTGGCGAGTTCAGCGCAGTAGTGCAGAATTTGGTCAGTGTCTGGGTTGAGAGGAGAAGACGCAAGGTCGCAGCCCAGTTCGGTGATGATGAAGCCAAGATTGTTGCAGAATTGAAGAGACAGGTTGATGAAGAGCTGGTACTGGATTATCTCGTTACTGGGTCTTGGTCTTCAAAGGCGGCGCAGGAAGGGAAGAGGCTGCTTGGAGAGAAGTTTGTCAATGTGGCCGTGGATGCTCGAGAAGCGAATGGAGGGAAGTTTGGAAAGATTCCAGCCGAGCAGGAATGGAAGCTCACCAAGACAAAGAGGGAAGGGGGTAAAAGTGCGCCCGCATTCGTTTATTTCTGTGATAACGAAACGGTTGACGGAGTCGAGTTCCCTGCCTTTCCGAAGGTGTTGGAGAATCCACAGGATGTGGGCGAAGAAGATGAACGATTGGTAGTAGCTGATATGAGCTCGAACTTCCTCAGCCGAAAGATAGACGTGAGGAAGTACGCTGTGATTTTTGTAAGTGAATCTAATATCCTCAAAATGCCGCCACAGATAACAAAACGCTAATATACAATGGTCTATCTATAGGGAGGGGCTCAGAAAAACATTGGTGTTACAGGGATCGCATTGATCATTGTCCGAAAGGACCTTCTACCTCCTCATACATCCACACCTTGTCCGTCTTTGCTCCGTCAGCTTCATATCGGGGGGTTACCGGGGCCCATAGTTTTTGACTATGCGATAACCGCCAAGAACAACTCTCTATACAACACTCTTCCGATCTTTACCCTGTGGATTGCCGGCCAAGTTATTGCCAGCCTTGTCCAAACCCACGGCGAGGCGCGAGTTTCAGGACAAGAAGATCTCGTGAAGAAGAAAACGGATCTCCTATACGGAGCGCTTGACAAGTATCCTCAGGTATACCAGGTCGTTCCCGATAAGAGCGTTCGCAGCAGGATGAACCTATGTTTCCGAGTGCACGGAGGCGATGCTGAGAAGGAGAAAGAATTCATTTCCGGCGCAGAGAAACGTCTCCTCCAAGGGCTAAAGGGTCACAGAAGCGTTGGCGGCATGCGGGCTAGCAATTACAACGCCGTTTCACTAGAAAACGTGGAAAAACTGGTTCAGTATCTGAACGATTTTGCCAGTGCCTAGTGATTGACCAGAGCGAAATAAACTGCCGCATGAGGGGTAGCATTCTTGGGCACCGTGGTTCATGAAGATATTTGTATATACGTATATACTCATCTCAGAGTTTCCAAACAGACCAGCCAGTGATATTCAATTCTCCCAAAATCCCTCGAAGTGGTCCTTGGGCTTCCCGTCCATCTTGCCACATCTTGCGGCCAGCAAGATAGCTGACAAACCCATCAGGCCCGGATATAATTATTAGCTTCTTCTTTCTCGGTCCCACAAGAGCGTGCTGTGCTCTTGAGTTTATATATTTCATAATAGAGTCTTTTCGGATAAGTGTTTTCTCTTCATCAACAAAGTAATCAACCGTGAATTTCTTGGGGTAGAGGCGTTTAAGCTCATCCAGCTGCTCTACAATGTAACTCTTCTGCTCCTCCATAGTTTCTTTGGGTGTCCCTATTATGCTGGCGGAGAAATATAGCTTCGACCACCAACTCCGCTGAGGAACGGGGGAATCGCTACGACCACCGAGACAATCCTCTCTCCGCCTGTTCGCCCATAGAATATGTATTCTGGTCTCTTCCCTTGGCCGCATGCACTTGAGTATCGTATGAGCAGCCTGTAGAGCAGGAGCTATGCCAGTTCCACCCACGATAAACAGAACCTCTTGGACATCCGGTGTCAATTCGAGCCCAATCTGGGGTCCGCGCAATTCCACAGTACTTCCAGGTTTTAAGTCATGTAGGTAGCTGGAGACTTCGCCATCTTTTCTAATAAGAAATTGGAGGGACGTGTTGTCTCCTTTGTTTCCGTCCAGAGAGAAATGTGCCGAAGGCGGTAGAGGCGTGTAGTCTCGACCAACCTGCAGTTGAGGTTGCTTAAACTGCACACTCCAGATTCCGGTCTCAAACGCATCCTGGTAGACCTCCGCATTTATTCCTCCTTTCCTTTTTGGCCGCAAGTTGAAGATACTGCATGTTGATGACACAGGTGTCTTTGAGAGGAGTTCATAGTTTGTGAATGTGACCGGATCTAGGGTATTGCTAGACGTATCCCCCCGGGATCTGGTGTATACGCCAACTCCACCGGCTCCGATAGCTATAACGGCGGCGGTTAGCCATAGCTTGCTTGCCGGGCCCTTCGGTGGCCGCTGGGGTGTCGTCGATGAGTTCCGAAGAAGATTCCGCGGCAGGAGTTGAGGCGTAAAATTACATCGTCGCGGGGAATAGGAAAGACAACATAAACGAATGGCCCGAGGAAACATGAAAAGAATCAACAGCAGCCAAACTTGATTTCTTGATACTCTCAAATATTACTTCCAAAAGGTCGTTTTCGATAGACAGAAAATATGATCACGTGATACATAATTGACTTTTATATGCGCTGTATGATTGGCTGATACCGCGATAAGAAATTATATCGATCTCTTGAAGGGGAAACATGCTTGATCCGATCTTCACCTCCAGGTTTTGCTTGCCAACCGCTTCATTTTCTTTTCAACTGCCCGGTTTTTGTGTGAGGTGGCATATTTGGTCGACTAAGCTGACGAATTTACGCGGTGACATCCCTGAGCAAGCTAGACTATAGCACTATCTTCTTCTATCACCCGCTCGTTCTCTCCTCACTATGGCTGCGAGCGCTCCACACCCCCTTTACTCCTAGAAATTGCCGCAGTCCTTCATTGCGGTTTTTCATTTTGACGAGCCCTATATTGTCTTCGTTTCTATTCCCTCGTTATTTGTTGCTAGATAAGCACAATGAGAGACTCCCTCGAGCTAGCGTCACTCGCCTCCTCGGAGGATGAGTTAGCACAATCTTCATCGGACTCTGGAGCTGGTTCGTCACGCAGAGCTTCTCTGGAAAATGAGGACCCTATATCAGGTGAATTATACGAATCCACGCGACGGGGCCATGGCCGATCCTATTCTGTTTCCTCCGCCTTCGATTTCGGAAGCAATCTATTCCCTCTCTCCCAGACGGTTGGAGGCTATGCGCCACTAGGTGCGCCCTCAGCGGTATCCCTAGAACACAATGCTGGTATAGCAGATCGCTCGCTGGACAGACACAAGACATTAACATACCTAAACGGGCTATCGTTGATCATTGGGCTAATAATCGGGTCTGGGATATTTTCTTCACCTGGTCAGGTAAACAGCAATGCAGGTTCTCCCGGTGCCTCACTCATCGTATGGGTTGTCGCCGGTATGCTTGCATGGACAGGCGCCTCGAGCTATGCAGAGCTGGGTGGAGCCATACCGCTCAATGGTGGTGCACAGATCTACCTATCGAAGATATTTGGTGAACTGGCCGGATTCCTCTTTACATGGACTGCTGTTTTCGTTCTGAAGCCTGGTTCTAACGCTATAATATCAATTATATTCGGAGAATATATTGTTGAAGCGATAGTTGGCACGGGGGTAGACTCCGTTAACCCCTGGATTGCCAAGGGGGTCGCCCTAGCAGGTGTTATGATCGTTACCATGTTGAACTGTATATCAACGAAATTGGGCACTCGAATCGGGAATCTTTTCATGTTCTTCAAATTTATTGCACTGCTTGCCGTCACAGTCATCGGAATAGTGGCTGCAATCACAGGTCTTTCATATGACGGCAATCCAAACAAGGAGTGGAAAACGAAGAATTGGTTCGAAGGGACAAGTACAAGCATTTCCAGCTGGGCTGTAGCTTTGTACTCTGGGCTGTGGGCATTTGATGGATGGGAGAACGTACGTTCATGTTACAACGCTACTTGCTGCATGCTATAGCTAACATAGCTCTAGACAAACTACGTCACAGGGGAGTTTAAGAACGCTGGTCGCGATCTACCCCGTGTGATTCACACCGCAATGCCGCTAATGATAGTTTGTTACGTTCTCGCAAATATTTCATACGTCCTAGTTCTGCCGGCGTCTACTATTTCAGGCACCAATACCATTGCAGTGCACTTTGGAGCTAAAGTATTCGGTCCCATTGGAGCTGCTGCCCTTGCGCTTGTCGTATCTGGAAGCTGTATTGGTGCGCTCAATGCTTCTATATTTACAAGCGGTAGATTAATCTATGCTGCTGGTAAAGAAGGCTACCTTCCATCTATATTTTGCAGGGTAGGGCTTAGCGAGTCAGCACATCCAACGGCAGGGCGTTTACAGCGCCGCTCCTTTATGAAAAAGGCAATCTTTCGTGTGTTTGGGGATGATATTGGCATCGGATATACCCCCATTTACGCGATGGTTTTTAACATGGCACTCTGCATGTGCTACATTCTTGTTGGCGAATTTAAGACCTTGGTCACCTTCTACGGAGTGGCGGGGTACTCTTTCTATTTCCTGACGGTTCTAGGCCTTATTGTGCTACGAATTCGTGAACCACGGTTAGAGCGGCCCTATAAAACGTGGATATCAACCCCGATCATCTTCTGCTGTGTGAGCTTGTTCCTGCTCAGCCGAGCGGTATTTGTTGAGCCACTGCAGGCGCTCACTGTGGTTGGTTTTTGGGTTATTGGGGTCCCTGTATATTACTGGCGAATACATCAACGTGATGGAAAGTTCAAGCTTGGACGGGGATGGTGGAAATTCTGGGTGAAATCCCAGGCATGATTCAGATTGCAGAAAAATTTAATGCGGGACGATTGTTCGGGTGAATTTTTATACCTTATGCTCTCTCTGATGATGGATTCATATACATATTTATATACGTTTCTTCTGAAGAGTTTTACCCGTTGTACTAAAATAGGATACATCACGCTCGGGACAGAAAGTCCCTTCAATAATAATCAATTCACGGTGAATAATGATGGACTTTTGCTTGGTAACTTTGTCTCTATGGGTGTGCCCCTACGCAGAACTATTTTGCTCCAGATTAATCTAAACGCTTGTTTGATTTTCAACCTTTCCGTTACATTCTTCCCTTGCTTTTCGACTGAGAGAAACGAGGACGGGGATCAGCTGAAGTATGCCTTGGTTCTGCTTTCCCTATGATACTTTTGTCGCGGGGCCTTACCTATAACTTCCTCAGCATGGCTTGGCTGCCATTTGGCTTGAAAAGACTTTCATATCTTCGGTGTAAACCAACTACAACGATAATCAAAACTTTGATGCCCAGTCAAGACTGGAGCCGTAGTTATGCTTTTACCAGAGATTCGCCACAGATGGAACGTATTTAGTCTCACTGATATCAGCAACGGCCTTGCTAGCATGGGGTCTTCCTGATCAATCCCTCATCTCATCTCCTTGCGTCTTCGTATTTGCCATAATCGGATAAATTTATAGCGTTTCCCTTCCATTTGCTTATACTATGCAGTTAACGCTGTTCACTACCAAACTAAGCTGGAGTTAATACCTTAAATTTGGGTTGTCCAATTAGCCGCGCGGTTCCGGTGGGTAACAACAGCCGAGAACCCAATCTTATTAACAGCCAACTCCTAATATATAGACGCTAGTGACATTTTGTATAACAGGCCGTAGACCACCAACAGAGGTTTATGCAAGGCAAGATACTGGTGAGTGCAGGGTATCGAGCTATCTAGTATATATTGCTCCGATATTGGGCTCTGTCTCCTTACAAGACATGTAAGTTTCAAACCTGCACTAATATCCAACCCCGTTGGCCCCAACTATTGCCTAGCGGCCCCTTAGAATATAAAGAGAGACGGCTATGAGGTCATATCATGGCATCCAAAGTTGACGGGCATGACAGGAAGGATGGAGGATATAATTGACTCTTCGTTTACACAGTGGAAAACGAACTGCTGCTATGGGAAACAAGAATTGCTGAGCTATCAAGGTTAGCATAGAATTTGCTATTTGTAATATATTGTACATTAAAGGTAAGAGGCTTTTAACCTCATTAAGTCTATAAATTCGCATCAAAATTACGGCTTAACACCTCTCTCTCCGCCCCAAGCCGCTTTGGAACAATGATCCGTTGGATGCCGTTGGAGCTGGGGGTATTATCCAAGAGCTCGCGGATGGAGTTCATTGGCATCGTGTAACACATGCAGTGTATCCTAACTAACTTGTGGATAACACAGTATCACGTAGAAATTTAACGGCAACTAGGAAGCTTTCTGTTAGTACCAACCCATCAACAGCAATGAGGAGTCCAACGTACTCTGTCTAAACTCATGTGGCTTCTCGGTGATAACCCAGTGCCCGCAGTCAAAGTCCACGATCCTCAGGTTTGGGAAGAATTCATGCATCAGCTGCTTTGACTCATCAGGCAAGTAGTGACTCCTGGTCGCTCTGACGATCAGCGCTGGCTTCTCGAACCGAGTTTCCTGGGGGTTAGTATACGGGAAATCACCCAGGGCACCCAAAGACGAGGCTAGTATATCTAGCGGTACGCGGAAACGCAGGTGGCTGTGGCCTGGTGTCTTGGCCAAGTTCGTTAGAAGGAAGAGACGGATTGCAGGGTCTGGTTCATATTGCGCAAGGAGTGAGTCCGCCTGGGACAGGGAGGTGATGGGACTGGGCTGGGACTGGACGTGTCTCATGCCCCTGATGTAGCGTGGAAAGTCATCGGTTAGTGGTAGACGAATAGGGCCGTTGTCTATGGCTATGACGCCAGACACTAAAGAGGGAGAGCGTAGAGCAAGAGTCAAGGCCGTTTTAGCACCCCTATAGGTCTTCTTGTTAGCCCTGGGCTGCGAGAAGAAGAACGGAATTGTACTATCATATGGGTTTGTGGGTTTGTACATGGAATGACCGATAAGGATGGGATCGCGCAGGCTGTGTTCCAGTATGAACCGCTCTACGTCTAGAGCGAGCTCGGTGTAGTCGTGCTTGGGGTGATGAGGGGAGTCCCCATGGTTACGAAGGTCCTGTCCGCTGTCAGCAACAGAGCATTTTAAACTTGTGCAAGCTGTTGATAGGCATACAACGGCGTATACCGACGTCTCCAGGTCGAAAGCCAGCACCCTACTCGAGATCAATAAAAATGAGACGAGGCCAGGGGGAAAGTCTTGATGGTGACCAACTTGCTCATGCTCCTGTTGTTCTTCCTGCAGCCGAAAAGGCCATGCATGAAGACTACTGGAGGGCGGTTGGCAACCTGTCTTTGGCCTCGAGGTTTGTACAGGCTGTAGGCCAGCGGGACCCTTGGGGCAGCAGAGTAACGCCGCACAAACGACGAAGGACGCAGTCGATACATCGTTGGCATTTTCATGGGCAACTAAATTACAGACATACAACGAATAGAAGTATCAATGTACTACCAAAAAAAACTCTTCTTTGCAACAGCACATAAAGCGCAGAGACAATGAAAAGAGGTAGGACCTGGGGTCCAGAGAGGTGCCAAAGAATATGCCTGTCAAAACCCCGAAGGATGTTGAGTGGCAAGGCTCTCCACGCTGTGCAATGTAGGAGCCTTTCCACGGCGAAGCGCCTTTTTGATCGCGCCAGCCCAAACAAGGTAAGTATGAAGAAAAGAAGAGAAGAAGAAGAAAAAAATTTCGAAGAAGGAGGGCGAGTGGAAGAAGTTTTTATAGCAAGATGCCGCACGTGATGGATGACTAATAATAAGCGAGGTTTGCTCTTTTGGGTTATCATTGGCTGAAGAGGTCAAGCTGGCCCGCGCCGGTAAGTTTTGATTAGTAATAAAGGAAAATAGTTATTCCTAAAACACACGTGATAAAGATATTCACGTGACTGATGAAAAAAAAGATTGGAAAGAAGACCGAAAGAGGAAATAAGAAGAAAAAGGAAGAGAAAGAGAAGAAGAAGGAGAAGAAGAAGAAAAGGGAGAGACGTCAAGATGAGGAATAACGCGACGACCTATCTACGGAAACCGGTTTGTCTTTTGATACTTCTGCTCCTCAGCTTCCAATTGACCAGCTGCCAATGCTAACTGACAATCTTTGATAGAAATTCCGTCAGTCCTGGAGCAAGTACAATCTGTACAATCTCACCCAAGTCCGCCGCCCAAACACAAAACCACGGACGTTCTTCCAGCAGAAATGGACAGCCAAATCTATGACCCGCGCATATCACGGCGAACAGGTACGGGAGAGCCAATGGGAGCGCATGTTCTCCCGTCGACTCCGTGCAGTGGTTCCCATGGACGCCCGCTCTCTTTCCCGCAACGACGGTTCTGCTCAGTCCGCTGGCCGTGGCTCGGGGCTGGAGGCTCTGCCTGAGGAGCAAGGTGGTAGGGACCGCAAGGCCCAGAAACCGAGGGACACACCGTACATGCAGATGACATTTGCACCACTGGAGAGGAGGTTAGATGTTGCTATATTCCGGGCTCTGTTCGCCAGCAGTACAAGACAGGCGAGGCAGTTTGTCATCCACGGAGGTGTGACGGTCAATGGCAAGAAGGTTGGTTCCTTTTATATATTTGGAATTACTTTTTCCCACTAACCAGAAGGGTAGATGCAATATCCCGGGTACCTGCTGAACCCGGGAGACATGTTCCAGGTCGACCCCGAACGAGTGATGTATGCCACTGGGGCACCCAAGGACCGGAGCCTGCGTCGGTCCGGCCGTATACGACGGCGTCTGGGTGCTAAGAAGAAGGAAGAGAGTGAAGGCGAGGGCGAGGGCGAGGCTGCAAAGGCGGAAGAAGGCAGGGAGACGAAGAAGAAGGGGAAAGAAGCCGAAGAGCCCGAAGATCCGCGAGAGATGCTTAAGCAGATGCTATCCGGAGCCAAGGGGATCATGTCGAGCTCGAAGGACCTGATTCCTGCTCAGAGAAGACAGGCCATCCGTGCCTTCCAGCGTTCTGTCAAGCAGGTGCTCTCACGGTCGTCCACCACCACGACCATGACCGACAACCTCGAGGCCCAATTCCTCGCCCTGAAGAACATGATAGAAGAAGATACCAAGAGGGCAGCAGAAAAAGCACAAAAGGCCGCAGCTAAGGAGGCGGCCAAGGAGGAAACCGCACCCTCCAACGCCAGCGCAGACACGGCCGAACCGTCCACCCCTAATTCTGACAGCAACACTACTACTACTACCACCACCACCACTACCACAGCTAATAATACCACCAACCAAGTCGACGAGCTTGCAGAGTCACTCTCCTCTGTCGAGCTCAGCGACTACTCTGCCGCAGACCTGCGTGCCCTGAAGCGCGCCCTCGAGGAGATCCACGAGAACCCCATCGACAGCACAAAGCCGTATGCCACTCCCTGGCGGCCTCGCGACTACATGAGCCCCTTTGCCTTTGTGCCTCGCTACCTCGAGGTCAACCACAACATCTGCGCGGCCGTGTATCTGCGCCATCCCGTGGCGCGCCCTGGCCGAGCAGAAGTGCCAACCCCCTTTGACGAAAGAATCAGCGGTGCTGCCTTTGCCTGGTACCTCCGCAGACGTTGAACCCGAAGCTGTAATATTTATCATATCCTGTATCCTTTCTCTCCAAAGCTAGACACAACGAGAACCATGTACCATAGCATCCTCAGCCGGCCTCCCTATCTTGCCAGAACCACCGTAGACCACCGTAGACCACCGTGGAGTCGAAGTACCTGGTACCTGTGCCCCCACTGTCGCTGTGCGGCGAAACGAAGTACCAGTGACTTTCCCACGCTTACTGTCGCCTTGCTTGGAGCAGGAAAATTATTACGCTGCGAACTTCAACAACAACAACAACTTTCGCGTCCTCGAAGACAAGCACAAAACACACGAAGGCCGAAGGAACGAAGACTTTTACTGACTGCTAGATCGACACAGGAAGATATACTCAGACAAGCCTTACGTCGACGAGGCTACGACCAAGATCGCTGACCAGACTTCTCAACGGTTCTTTTTGGCCTTGCCAGCCAGGGGGGGGGAACTTCTCGCAAAAGCAAATAATCCCACCGTCGCGCAAAAAAGCAAAGAAGAAGCAAGAGGAAAAGCCCAAGAGAGACAAGACGAGTTTCTATTTTTTTTTCTGTCCCTTGACTCTTTGCTTTGGCTGTCCCATCGCTTCTCAACTGGCGCTCTTTTTCTCTCGCAAAGCTGGTACTCCCTTTCATGAACTTCTCCGACCGCGTCTGAGCCAGAAACAGAGCCAAACAACAAGAAAAGTAGGAAGAAGAAGAAGGATATCAAGAAGGATAGGAAGAAAAAGAGGAAGAAGAGAAGAAGAAGACGAGCCAGACTCCATAATAATAACCTTACCTTGACACTTTTTTGCCGCCGAAAAAAAAAATAACGAAGAACATCGCGAAGTTCAGACCCAAGGAAAAAAACAACCAACGAAAGGATCGAGAAGAACAACATCAAACAGCCAAACACGCCCAGGTCGGGTTCACTTCTTCTTGCTCTCCTTCTTCCTTTTCTTTTTTTTTATTTTATTTTTTCTTCTCTGTTTTCTTTTTCTTAATTTTTTCTTTCACCTCTTCTTGTCGTTGTTTTAATATATTCCTGCTTTGACTCGCCGCTTGGGGCGTCTTCGTCAACTCTCGTTTCGTTCCAGTCTACGACTCATCTATACATGTTCAATTGGGCTGTCGACCCTACCGCCCCGCCAGGTCCTACCTTCTCGTCCCGTCAACAGCATCACCAGCAGCAGCAGCAGCATCAACAACAGCAGCAGGGCCACAATCAATGGCTGAACGCGGCGCCTGGGAGGCCGCTGAGCAGCGCGCTTCCTCTCCCGCCCATCTCGACCCTCCGCCAGCCTGCTGCAGTTAACTACCCCATTCCTGCGCCGCACCACGAACCGATACCTACTCCACAGCAGCAGCAACAACAGCAGCAGCAGCAGCATCACCCGAGCCAGCAGCAACAGCAGCATACGCATGGTGGTAGCGAGGTGACGGCGTCCGAGAGTCCGAGCCTGCGGGAGAACCCGTTCACGGACCAGGACGCGGACGGGAAGGTCGTGCTGCATGGGCAGGAAGTGCATTTATCGGGAGTCCGGGGGCCGCATGACGGACACGGGCAGCAGCATCAGGCTGCTGCACGGCGGCGGCAACAACAACAGCAGCAACATCATCTCCCACACCAGCAGAAACCACATCAGCCTCACCCGCAGGCTCAACAACAGCAACAACAACAACAACATCACCACCAACAACAACAACAACAACAAGCCATATCTCGTCAGCATACACACCAGTTGACACATTCACTCTCCCAGCAGCAGCATCAGCAGCCTCAGCCTCAACAGCATCCTCAGCACCCTCAACTACCGCAACAACACCTCCACCAACAACATCTTCAAAACCAACACCAACGGCAGAGACACCAGCAACAACAGGCTCAGCAGCAGCAGCAGGCTCAGCAACAACAACAACAACACCATCAACCACCGCAGACCCAACCAACTCCCCAGCAAAAGCACCAGCAAGACCAACAGCAGGCTCAGCAACAACATAACTTACAGCAACATGTACATGCGCAGGCGCAGCAGCAAAGTCAAAAACGAAAACAACAACAACAACAACATCAGCAGCAGCAGCAGCAGCAGCAGCAACGGCATACCCAAACACCCGCCCCTCAGCCCCAGCAACAGCAACAACCGCAACCGCAACAGCCATCACAGCCACCCTCAGCCTCCCAGCCGGCTTGGGAGCGCCCTGTACCCGTCTCAGTACCCGTAACCGTTCCGCAAGAAGACAACGACACCGAAATCGCAGTCCTTGAAGGCACTGCGCCGCGAAAACACGGTAAGCGCCTTACGACCCGTGAAGAAACCGCGTTGTTCGAAATATGTAATCGCCACGCAGACACCTTTGGCGAGCGTAACAAGCTCTGTGAATGGTGGATGGCCATAACCCTGGAATTTAACCGAATAGAGGGTCATCCGTACTCATGGCATAGTGTCCGTCGAAAGGTCGAATTCGTCACACAGCAACGTATCAAGTTTCTTAACGGTATGGGCGGGAAACGGGGCGATGACCAGGCAGACGCAGCTTGGAGCGCAGCCGTAGACGCCTGGGTTCCGGTCTGGAGGCGGTTTCAGCAGCAGGAAACAGAGCGAATAAGCGCAAAACAAGGCAAGAGGGGACGAAAGAGGAAGTCTATAGCAGTCGATGCTGCGAATCTAGACACCCCGAATCACCAGACGCCCGCTCCTCAACCTCCTGCAACACAACAACCGTCACAGCAGCATACCCCACAGCCGCAGCAAGCTGAAATACAGCTCCCCATGGGGTTTGGAACCATGTTCAATAACACACCTTCCAACAATGGCGCGGAACATGCTCACGCACACCCGGTTAATGCGGGGACTCCCGACCTTCTCGCGCCCACAACCACCAACCCGTCTTCTTCCTCTCCTCAAACAGACCCAAACAACGTCTCCGCAGCCACTCTCAAAGCCCTCTCACGTCTAAACAACACCCCCAAAGCAGCCATATCTCGAAATCCGAACCTATCGCCCTCCACAGCCATGCTGATGTCCGCTGCCGAAAACTCCTCGTCCCGCCGTCCATTCAATTCTCCTTCAATCCCCGTCTCCGTTTCTCTAACTGATACCCACCAACATCATCCCCATCCTGGCCCTGGCCCTGGTGCTCGTGGCTCCAACACAGCTAATCCCGGTGTACCCGTCAGTGGCGTCAGCGGAGCGCCTACAGCCAACGGGAACCTAACGGATGTATATATGGCCGACGTATCCGCTGCCGCATCCGCCGTTGCCCAGTCCATATCGGTTTCAACAATTGACCAGATACGCGCTGAGCTGCGGGCCGAGTTTCGTGAGCAGCTACAGAAGGATCGCCTGCAGCTCGAGGAGAAGATAACTTCCGTGCAACAAACCCAAGAGATGATCCTTAGTTTGCTGAATGACCAGCGGTTTATGAAATGATTTGGCCGGCCTTCTGTCTGTTCTTTTAGTTATCTGGTGATATTACTTTTGCATACGGAATGCGGCTTTCCTGCTCTTATACCTCAAAAATGTTTGTCATTTGTTTCCGTTTTCCCCTTTGTCGACCTGGGTATTCCACCCCCTTTTTTTTCCCCATGATAACTCTTGTCTGCCTTCTTCTCTGCATTTTGATGCACACTTATACGCCATCTCCTTTTCGTTTACTGGGACATTTCCACTGCTATACATTAAACGGGCCTTTTCATCGTTTATTTCATCTTGTTTCATCTTTCATATTACCTTTCCAACTCTAAAGGTCTGGCTAGTTTCTTTCACCATGGTGTATCTCCCTTGCTCGTTTTATTATATTTTTTTCTGTCTACCTTCTCTTCTCTCATATACACGATTGAGTTGCTTTTCCGGCGTCTGTTTGCCTGCCTCGCTTCCATACACCAGCATTTTTATTTCTACCGCCATGAAAATCATGATGCACCTATAAATACACTACTGTTTCCATGATGGCGATCGTGTGGGAGGGAGGTATTAGAGCTTTCCCTACCGTTCTTCTTTTGTTTTTCGTTGTTTAAATACTGGGATCGGAATGGATAGGGCTCAGATGGAGTAGATTGGACCTGAGAGTTAGTGCCACGGCCAATTCTACTTATCGTTTCTTTCTTATATCGTCATTTCTCTCCCCTTTTGTTTATTGAAACATGTAATAGCTGGTTATTAGTTGGATGGACGGGCTGGTTGGATGGGATGGGCGATGGGTTAAATAGATATATGAAGAGCGATCAAGAAGGATCTGATCCAGCATTTTGTCCTGTCTAATTCCTGTTATTGAGTATGTGGTGGTCCAGAGTACAGAGTAATGTAAATGTATAGATGTATATATCATCGAGGCGAACACAAGAAAAGGGGGCAGAGAATAAAAGAAAAAAGAAACACAGGTGAGGAATCGAAAGCGGTTAAGGTGAAGAAAGGGTCAAAAGGAAACAAAAAATTCGTAGGACGCTATTTTGAATCTAAATTACACACATAAAGAAAGGAATCAGTGATACAACACTGGGCAGCCATGGAAGACGGCCAGCAGCGGCGAGAGAAGGTCGGTTAGGGAGGAGGAAAGGCAAGAGGAAGAAGTGTGTGCATGGGCGTGTGTAGATAGGTTTGTGCGTAATTTAGTAGTAGAAGGTCTCGTCAGCGGTACGGCCACGCATCCATTTGGGCTCGCTGCCACGGACGTAGATGTCCTCGAACAAGATACGTGAAGTCGCGTCTGGTGCAGCCATCTTCTCGGCAATCGCAACTTCTTCATCAACCATCGACCTGGCATCCTTGTCAATGGCCTTGAGCTCCTCTTCGGTGGTGATGTTCCAGTCGAGTAGCTTCTGTTTGAGTCCTGCAATTGGGTCGTTGGTACTGCGCATGCGCTGGATTTCTTCACGGGTACGGTAGGTGGTGCCAGGGTCAGACATGGAGTGACCACCGTATCTGTAGGTGACATATTCGAAGACGAGAGGACCATGGCCACCGACGGTGTATTCACGGCCGTACTGGACAGCAGCCTTGATAGCAAGAACATCCATTCCGTTGACCTTGATACCGGGGATATATTGTCCTCGCTTATAGTAGTCGGTTAGAGCGGAAGAGCGGTTGGCAGCGGTTCCCATTCCGTACTTGTTGTCTATAGCGAAAATTGTCAACATATAGCCAATATGATAAAACACAGGCAAAAAAAGAAAAAGAAAATAGAACATACTTTCGCAACCGAACATGACAGGGAGGTTCCATAGCTTGGCCATGTTGAATGCCTCAAAGACTTGACCTTGGTTGGATGCACCATCGCCGTACAAGCAGATGGTGGTGTTTGCCTCGCCATTGTACTGCTGAGCGAAGGCAAGGCCTGCGCCAACGGGGACCTGAGCACCGACAATTCCGTTACCGCCAAAGAAGTTCTTAGCAAACATGTGCATCGATCCTCCCTTTCCGTAGGCAATACCCTCACGGCGACCAAGCAGTTCGCCAATGATCGAGCGAACGGTACCACCACGCATCATGGCGAATCCGTGGCATCGGTAGGCGGTAATGAGCTTATCATCTGGGGTGATGGCATGTTCAATACCTGTGGCAACGGCTTCCTGGCCAGTCGACAAGTGACAGAAGCCTCGAATCTTCTTCTCCTTGTACAGTCGATCCGCGGCCATCTCCATACGCCTGGTATCGAACATTAGAGGAGTTCTCGGCATCTCGAAAATAGGAGAGTATGGTGTCATTACCTTATCGATACCATGTCATAATACATCTGCTTGAGTTCTTTCTTGGTCGTCTTTAGAGTGTATGGTGGAGGGTCAAGTTCGTATGTCTCGAAGCTCTCATCGGAAAGCTTGACGGAGAAGGGCTTATCATCTTCCTGCAGTCCCGCAAACAGTCTATTAGCGCTCTGTCCATCTGTCTATATCCGCTCAGTCAAATTGTCCAGGTTCTTGTTATGCGTACAGCTGGAATATCCTCCGCATGCGCAGAAGCGGCGTCGGTGGTCACAGAGCGGCGAAGCAGCTGTGTCGAGCGCTGTCTGCCCACTTGGGCAACGCCACGGGCCCTGACAAGTCTCGAAAACATCTCAATTGACGATTAGATATGCTGTTATCGAAGAGCAGCAGGACGGCAACAGGTCGAGGTGTGAAGATGGCCTTTCTCACGATACAAGCAAGGGAGAAAGAACTTGTTGAGTGTCGTTCAGTTTGTTTCGGCCGCAGAAAGTTGTTGGGTTTCTTGCTTATGTCATCAATCATACAAACAGTGCAAACATCCCCCTAGACGAAGCTTTTTTTTTATTAGTTAAAAATAATTATCAAAAAAGAAAGAGAACGAGGGGGAGAAAGTTGCGAGTCTCTCTCTCTACATCCACGTTTTGAACACAAGTTGAACGAGAAAGAACTACGAGCCATGTCGTTGACAATTCCGAAGGCGCCCAATGCTGGCCTGTTCAAGCAGGGCTATCAGAGGTACCTGGTTTTCTGTCTTTTGTTTATTTTGCTTGGAGCTTTCTGGAAATGTGCGTTAGGTAGCATGCCCACTAACTGTTTATATAGCCACGACTCCGAGGATGGCGCCGTTATTCGAAATATCGAAGCATGCAGAGCTATTGCCCAGACAGTCCAGACCTCACTCGGACCTCATGGCCGGAATAAGATCGTCATTAATCATCTGCAGAAGATGATTCTCACTTCTGACGCCGCTACAATCCTACGGGAGCTGGATGTCGTGCATCCTGCTGCCAAACTCCTAGTTATGGCCAGTCAGCAGCAGGAGGCCGAGATGGGAGATGCTACAAATATGGTTATCATTTTCGCTGGAGAGCTTCTACGAAAGGCAGAGGATCTCCTACGAATGGGGCTGAAGACCAGTGATATCGTTCAGGGCTACGAGATTGCACAGGGATTCGCTCTCAGTACTTTAGATGGTGGGTTTTACCAGCAACTCTCCCGGGGATAGCTCTATTTCCCTTGCACTATAAAATGTTTTGCTTGTTTACGTCGGACGCCCGACTGTGGTGGCTGCCTGTTCGCTGACGATACCTACTTTTATAGAACTCGAAGTTGATAGATTAAAGGAAATGCGCTCGGCACCTGAGCTCGGGAAGGCACTGAAGACGGTTATTGGAAGCAAACAGTCTGGGTCCGAGGAGATTCTTGCACCTCTCGTTGCAGAGGCTGTTCTGGGAGTACTCCCAAAGAACCCCGCCAACTTTAATGTCGACAATGTCCGTGTGGTTAAAATTATGGGTGGGAGCTTGGAACAATCGCGTGTGGTTAAAGGCATGGTCTTTGCTCGTGAACCAGAAGGTTCCATTAAGAAGGCCAAAAAGGCCAAAGTGGGTGTTTTCAGCTGCCCACTTGATATCTCCCAAACCGAAACCAAGGGGACAGTACTCCTACACAATGCCAAGGAAATGCTTGATTTCACAAAAGGAGAAGAGAGCCGTCTTGAAGCCGCTATAAAGGAACTTTATGATTCTGGCCTTCGCGTCGTCGTTGCCGGCTCCACTGTGGGAGAACTTGCCCTACATTACCTGAACCGATTCAACATCCTCGTTATAAAGGTCATGTCCAAGTTTGAGCTCCGCAGGTTATGTCGTGTCATTGGAGCCACTCCTCTTGCTCGTCTTGGTGCTCCTATGCCAGATGAGATGGGAAATGTTGACGTTGTTGAGACCATGGAGATTGGCGGTGACCGAGTGACAATTTTCAGACAAGAAGATGCCGGTTCTGTTAGCCGTACATCTACCATCATCCTCCGTGGAGCAACGCAAAACTACTTAGAAGATGTTGAGCGCGCCATTGATGATGGTGTGAATGCAGTGAAGGCCGTGGCGAAAGACCCACGACTGGTGCCTGGAGCCGGTGCTACAGAGATGCAGCTTATCGAACGACTCACTCAATTTGCGGATAGAACTCCCGGCCTTGCCCAGCATGCCATTCGAAAGTATGCCGAATCCTTCGAGGTCATCCCACGAACACTTGCAGAATCTGCAGGCCTTAACGCCACCGAAGTGCTATCAAGACTATATACGGCCCACCAAGAGGCAGCAAAGGAAGAATCATCAGAAGAGGATGATGATGAAGAGGATGAGGATGAGGATGAGAGCTCCGAAGAAGAAGACCCCACATGGACCACTGGTGTCGATATTCTTGCCTCTTCTGCTTCTGGAACCATTGATGCTGTAGAGGAGGAAATTCTCGACCTCCTTGTTTCTAAATCGTGGGCCATCCGGCTTGCTTCTGAGTCTGCACGAACAATTCTTAGTGTTGACCAAATTATTGTTGCAAGACAAGCTGGTGGTCCCAAACCGCCAGGCCAAAACCCAAATTGGGACGAAGATTAAGCTATTGGCGTATAATAATGTGTTGCAACATCGTTACTGGCAAACATAGTGAGAGCATCTTCGCCTGAGGACGGGTTATGTTTGCAATCGATAGATATTCTAATTAATCATATGGTTCTTCTTCTTACCTTGGATGAAATGACCATTAACGAATAAAAGTCTATGATTCGTGTGATGCCAGAATAATACAGCCCCATGATAAAGCCTCCATAGATAACGCTTCCATAGATAACGCTTCCACTGTAATAACCATCGTTAAATATAATATGGCAAATGCTGTAGTCTGATATTTCCCTTTTCGGTTTTATTCCCAAAGAGTTCAGTGGCGTCACGTGATATGGCTAACGTGACAAACTTTCACTCACAGCATCAAATTATATCAAGATCGAATATTTTGACCAGAAGACTCAAGAAACCCTCAATTGAACTACTTGGCCTTCTCGTACTCTCTTAACTCTTGCCCAATTCTTATATTGGACTTGTTATCACACCATCAGGCTCTCCTTTACGCTCTGACTTGGACAATTACTGTTCTCCGCCCTTGATCAAAATTTTTTCCTTTGGCTCTCCAAGCTCCGACAAACCTCTACAAAATGTCTTTCGCAACTCGATGCTACCGAAGCGCTGCTCGCCTCTCCTCATCAGCTTCTACTTCTATCCGCACTTCCTCTCAAATCACTAGATTGAACGCTAGCACATCATACATCTCTCAGCGAAGAAGATATGAGTCCACGACCGCAGAACCAGCTGCACCAACAAGCGAAAAAATCACTAAGATTGTCGACCAAATAAGCCAATTGACACTTCTTGAAACCGCTGATTTAGTTGCAAGCTTGAAGGTGAGACTATTCTACTTATACTGATATCTCGGTTTGGTCGCTGTACCTTGACCTAGGCTGAAGATAAATGCAATCACTCCAAAATTCAGACGCTAATTCGTGCTTTTCTTCACCTTATTAGACTCGTCTTAACATCCCTGACCTGCCAGTTGGAGGCTTTGCTGCTGCCGCCCCCGGTGGAGCAGCTGCTCCAGCTGCCGCAGTAGAGGAGGAGGAAGCCGCACCAGCCGCACAAGAAAAGACCCTGTTCAACCTCAAGCTCGAGTCCTTCGACGCTGCCTCCAAGGCCAAGATTATCAAGGAAGTTAAATCCATGCTTGGACTTTCCCTTGTGGAGAGCAAGAAATTCGTCGAAAGCGTCCCCAAGGTTATCAAGGAATCCGTTCCAAAGGAGGAGGCAGAGAAAATTGTTGCTACTTTGAAAGCTTTAGGCGCCGTTGCCTCCATGGAGTAAGTAGGAGGACTGGTGGTTTCCTGTATCTTTGTTTCAGGCTGGCTCGCTGCTTGTATTAATAGGCCCACCGTGTTTTTTTATTTGCTTTGCTCTCCCGGTTGTTATGTAGGATATGGGAAGCAGGTGTTTAAGAAATGGCTAAGAGGCAGTTAGATGTTTCGAAGTCTCTTCTTATGTACAATATGACATTGGCAAGAATTTTATAATCTAAACTAGAATTTTACGCTGCTCTATCGCGAATTGAATATTCTTATGGATAGTCGTCCTTTTCTGACCAATGTCCTCACTGGAGTTTTCTCAACATGGCCAAATAGTCAAAGTAGGTAGGTCGTAAATATCAGAATTAATTCTTTATATAAGCAGACTGTGCAAACCGACGCCACATAAGCCATACCGCAAGACCATGCAAATATATATAACCAACAGTAAATCATAGACAAATCGCGGCAATCCTCAAAACTCGAAAAACACTAAACCAATTCTCGACGTTAGAAAGAGAGGAAGAAAAAAGCCGTTCCGATTGAAAACATAAATCAGGGCCATCATCGTCAGGTATATCCTTAGTAGATGTCGCAGAAGATGATTGTATAAATGGTGGGTATATCAACAATATAAAACAAAACCACACCCAGCATACGAGGGTGAGATATTGTGCAGAAATGAACAGAAATTCGGGGCAACATTATGCATTAGGTATTGGGTAATGTAAGGGAGATAAGTGGGGTTCAAGGGAAAAATGGGAATAGGACAGTGCTTGCTGCTAGCCGGAAGTTGGAAGATATAAGCTGCTGGCTTTCTATTCTTCAGCCAACGACTCATCACCAACCTCACGCCACTCTCGAGACTGCTCAGTTAGTCGTTTCACACCAGGTATGCGCTCTGCCCATAGCGATTCGGATGGCGTTCGGAAGGTGTACCCTCGTTGTGAGGAGATGACACCAATAGCTTGGAGAACTGCCTTGCGTGAGTCACGACTGAAGACTGCAGGATGAGTGATCCATTCGAGAGCAGCTTCGAGATCAGCGTCCAATGCTGATATGATTGCAGGATCAACAGCGGCCACCGGGGTAATAGTTGCTGCTTCGGACGAATGGGAGGAACCACGACAATCAAGAGCATCAGGGAAATGTGGAGAGCAAGTGCCGGGAGAGTGTGCCTCAGAGGCAGGAGTGAGTGTAGGGGTAAGAGTGGTTCGCGGGGTTGGGATTGGGGTAGCCCCTGGCGGTAACGGGGGTAGACCACCTTTCCCAAGACCTTTGAGGATACTTCTAGTTTCAGTGAGAAGGTGGTGAGCACGATCATGCTGGCCACGGGTAACAAGGGTAAGCGATCTCATCAGCATATCGGATGTAAGCAATTCCATACGGCGCTGGACGATAGAGGGATGAGGAGGGATCGGAGGACTGATAGGCCGCCCAATATGTTTCGACTTCTGGTTCTGTGGGAACATAGTGATAGCCAAAAGCGATGGTCGTGGTGAGTGTGTTAAATGACCCTCGCGTAGTATGTCACCATAGGTAACGTCAGCTTGAATCAACGGGACTTCTTCTATGCTTGCGACCCGCTGGTCATCGCCATCGATTGGCCCACCGAGTGCCTCCAGACCAGAAACAATGCTTTCCCAAGGGTCTTGAGGGACATGTTCAGGAGCAGAAGTATCTGGGGTGATAGCAAGCTGGATCAAGACATCTGTAGATGGTGAGTTACATTAGCTAACTAACACGCACTACCCAGGATGGATTATGGCAGGTGATGTACATACCTCGTTTATCTCCGAATCTCAGGTCACCCAGCACAGCTTCCGCATCTCTTCCCGTCGCACGTTTGGTGGTATGCATCGCGCCGCTGATCTTTACAAACCGTGCAGGAGATCCTTCAGGTAGACGCAACTTCAGTTTAACATTCTGGTGTGAAGTCGACTGTAGCGCCCCAAGGCATCCAGCGATGCACTCTCGCAACATCATCCAATCTTTAACATATGTATAAGACGCCTTTGTTCGGCTCGATAATTCAATCATAACATCAGGCTTATGGGTTAGGCCCAGGCCAAATGTGTGAATGCCCACCCTATTGTTTATTAAAGAGTGTTAGTAAATATATATGCATGCTCGATATTCAATAACGAAAATAATACATACTTCGCCGCTTCAGCGCGAGAGACTACAAAGTCACCGCTCTCTGGATCAGTTGTCTGCGAATCGCTAATCAATAGTATCGTGGACACAGGGTTAAATGATTTGCGTTGCATGAGTAGATCCATGGCCACATTTGCACCCTCGACGACATCGGCCCGTAAGCTCTTCTGACCTACGGGGCGGATAGAGTTGAAAACCTTTCCCCATCCATTCCACGTCTTTGAAGTCATTCCAACGACGGGAACACCTCCACCTGATGACCCAAATGTAACCAAGCCCATGCGGTCGCGTGGACCAAGGTTCTGGACGAGGAAGTGTAGGGTATCACGAAGCAAGGAGATCTTAAGCCCTTGCATAGACGAAGAGACAGGGATAACAACAACAATGTCCAGGGGCACATGGAATGTAGATGGAGGTACGGACTCACGACTCGGGCTGGTGTAATCCGTCATGACAGTATTGCTAGACTTTCCTGCACCGTATGAAGACGAGTAGCCGGACGACTCCCGCTTGCTTGGTGTCTTCGAGTTCCTATAGTCATCCTCTTCTGCTGTAGGTACCTCCACTTCGTGGTCAGGGTGAGCCACCACACCCCCGTTCTGTAAGTCTCCAAGTGCTCGTTTCCATGTATCCAGCTGGTGTAGTGTCGAAAACCTCAAGTGAAAGCTAGGCAGCTCGTTCACAGAAAGATTAAGGGTCAAAACAAGCTCGTCTAAATGCCTGGTCAACATTCTCAACGTCCTAAAACATATACCAGAGCAAAGACCTACCAGTGATGGTCTCCAGGTCCTTGAGATGCTTCTTGATGAGAATCGACCCTTTCAGGGTAAATCTCGGGTTTGTGCGTTGTGCAACTGGCTCCTCAAACAGGTTCGAGTTCTGGCCTTGTCTAGTCTTCTTCTCTTTCACGCATATGAGCATCTCAGAGAAGAGATAGCACTCCAACTCTTGCCATGAAGTTCTGTCTTTTCCTACGCGAATTGTACCATGGAGGTTCAACTTGCCGAATCTGGACGGCGGTCAGAGTCAGCAGAAAAGAACGACGCGAATATAAAAACGACAACGACAACGACAGGGGGAAAAGGTAGCAGATGAGCATAAAAAGGGTATCTTCAATACATACCTTGAGAACTCCAGTCCATGCCAATTATCAACACGCAAACGTAAGTCCTCTGCAATTGCACTGAGCATTTCCTCAGATTCGTGGATAGAACGAGCTTGCGCCTGGGGGTCAGGGCTGGAAAGGCCTTGGGCCTTTACAGCCAAAGATTGAGTATCTTCCACAGGTAGAGCAGCACCAGGAGTGTGGCGTACCTGTTCCGGGTCTGGCGCCCATTTACCTCCAGGAACTTCGACAGTGACCAGACATGTGAGAGGTTGCTGTTGGCGGGAACGGTTTAGGGATGGGAACTCGCTTCGAACAGTGACTATAGGTGCGGGAATGAGATTCTTGCTGATTCCCGGGCGGGGACTGAGATCAGCCTCCATAGCCTGCACGTCGTAGTCATGTCTCCTTGAAACAGAGGACTGATGGGCGTCGTGCTGGTAATCCGAAGCCGTCTGGCCTCCGACTGTCCCGCTGTCGTGACGGAGAAGTTCATTTCGCGAGCCCAATGTCAATCTATCGAGTCGTTCACGGTGGCTATTGGTATCCCTACTATCACGGCGGGAATGTTCCCTAACGTGGTTGGTGCTAAAGGATCGGGTTGAATAGTCTTGGTTTAGAGAACCCGCTCGGTTGCTTGCATTGTCCCATGATGGTGCGGGTGCGTGACCACTGCGATTCGTCTGTGAGTCGGCTAAAGAAACGGACCGTACAAGATTATTTATTTTTTCTGCCCCGGCATACGTCAATATAATGTTCACCAAGAAAAAAAAGGGATACTTTGCAGAAAACTTACCTAGGTCGAGGACATTGCCGCCTCTGCTGGCATCCAAGCCTAGAGGTGCGGAGCATATAGGACAATACTGGGGTTCGACATCTCTGATGAATTCATAAAAGCATACCTCATGGGCAACGTGGGCGCAAGAAAATTGCAGAATACGCTCGCCTCGGAGGGTGTGTTCTAGGGGTTCTTCGCAAACGGCGCATTCGCTACCAGCAAAAGTCCGTTCTCTGCGATTCCGAGACCGGTCGACATCCATCGTGCCCCCGCCAGAGCTGCTAAACAACGAAGTGACGGTGGAATTCGAGCGATTGGTGGAGGAGTGTTGCTATCGAGAGTTTTATTGGTTATAATGGAAGGGGTTGTTCTATGCAGTCGACTAAACGAATAACGGCCTGCTGAAGAACCAGAGCGAGATAGAAGGTGGGTTGATGAATCGACTATTGAGAAAGAAAGAAAGGGGAGAGGGAGAAACCCAGGTCAGTCGTTTTGGTCCCCAAAATGTTGGCGCAGCGCCAAATGCAGTGAATTGACAGAGAAAACAAAAGAGCGACCCAGGCGAAAGGCTAGTTGCAGCGTTATGGAATTCCTTGAGCGATACGGTGGGAGCTCCACTGGTGGCTTGTTTGGGCTTTGAAAGCACTAAAATAGCAGACACACGGAGAGTGGGCTTTTTACATACCACGAGAAGAAGGCCGAGAGCGAAACAGGCTAAGGCGGGAAGACGACCTGCCTTGGGGGTCAGGATCAGGCTGGTGCGAAGGGTGATGCCTCCGCATGAGAGTGGAAGAGAACGAAAAATATCGAGTGACGACGGGTAGGAAGGATGCTGTTTGAGTCTTATTCCTTTCGCAGATCCGGAGCGACTACCAACGACTGGCGATAGCAACGTGGATAGCAGCAAGGTCGGCCACACGCATAAAATCGCGGGTGTGAGCAACCAAGTAAAAGAAACACAATCGAGCAGACTACTCTGCGCCGGCTGCATGCACTAAAAGGCTTCTGGGCGCTCACAGGGGTTGCTGCTTGGGGGAACGAAGTCTGAGTTCCAGTATTGAGTCGATCAAGACTTGCCGTTTGTTTGAAAAGATGAATAAACAGCAGCCGAAGATTATTCAAAGAGGAAAAGGAAGAGGAAGGAATGAAAAGAAAAGAAAAAGGACTCCTGTCAAGCAGTGGTTATTATCCTCCCTGGAGTTTGTTCTTCGTCAGACGCCCGTTATGAGCTGCGTAGGACGGGCGTATAATTGGCTCAGCCAGCTGAAGAAAAAGAAAGGAGAGCCCGGACAATTATATGAAAGATCCGCTCGATACTGAAAAGGTCTAAAACGGGTAAAGAAGATCAATGGATGATGGGCCTTGTAAAGGGTTACCTGCGGTTGGACCGATATGAGCACTTATAACTCTGACAGCAAGGGGGAAAAATTGAGGATTGGATCCCCCCCGGAACCATGCTTAACGCCGTTCGGAGCAAACGAAATGTGGTTATCATTGCTTTCCCCAAGAAGGGGCGAGCAAACGTATGTCATAGGAAATCCGGCAAAGGTCTGTTCTCCAGCTTCTCTCCAGGCCCAGGGCCAGGACCAGATTTGAAAGCCCATGTTTCCTTGGGTTGACCCGGCGCCGTATTCCAACTCTCACAACCAGGTATACTGTATATGCAAGTAACTCCTCCTTGCTCCTCCTTACAGCATGTGCTGCACCAACGAAGGAGATTAGCGTGGGACCCAGCACTTGCTTGTCTGCAGAAGTGGCTACTCGGTGGATTAAGCGACAGGCGTCTGATACGCTGCCCGAGTCTGTTCCAAGCTCCGCTTTCCGTATATGTATAACTTTCAGCTCCCCTTCTGCTAGCTCAACCGGAGCAATGGTTTGTATTTTTTTTTTTTTCTCTTTTCCCTCACAGGGATGCCCTGAGCCTCGAACCATGAGACCCCCCTTCAAATAGTCCAGAGTATGCGGAGCAGGCTGCAGCTGCACAGAGGGTCGCCGAGGCACCTAGCTATCGCCTCTGCAAAACAGGTACATATACGCTTACAACGAATAACATTACCCTTCAAGCATTGGCTTACGGTTACGGAACGAGAAGCTGTTTTTCCACGAATCGGTCTCTCAGGCCCGCTTTTGTTCCTGCGCCAGGAAGGAAGGAAACCCCGAAGGACAAGAAAACCACCCGTTAGGGCTTGTGATTCCACGCTTAGAGAGGAACCATGGGCCACGCCCTTTTTTCTGGGACGTCAACCAACTTTCCCCGTTTATGTTCACAAACGCCGCTGATCGCATATGCAAGGGAACAAGCCCCGTCCCCTCCAGCCGATGCCCATCACCCAGCCTTCTCCTCTCGCCCATCCGGCATAAATCGCCGCATAATAATGTATACGTTACATCGATGCTATATGTCTGTAACGAGTAATACCTCCACACACACGGATACGCTGGCAAACTGATACAAAAAGCATTGCGATCTATCAATTTCTTCGGTACGAGCAAGCACAGGGGCCAAAGCTAAACTTTGGACCCTTGAGGCAAACATGGTTCTTCATCTTCACTGGCTTTCCCAGAAATAATGCCAATCTTATCGAAACAATGGGGAGTGGCTAACATATCAGGTCCTCCTTCACTGATATCCAGTGGTTACCTACTCGGCCAGTATAGAGTACTCCGTGCAATAAAGACTCCAAGACGAATGTCCACATATTTGAATCATCAGTTGGTTGTCAACATTGGTGTATTGCATGCCGTGTTTCCACGTGGTGAAGGCAGGAAATTGAAAAAAAAAAAAAAAAAAAAAAATTACTTGGCTCTCCGTTAAAATTTCGTTCTTTGCGGTTTGATCGAGACCATACACCAACTCAGCCAGCCTTGTGCGGCCCACCACCGAAACACTTCATATGGGATTGATACTAGAAGGCTACTTACGCAATTCGATCGGAGAGGGCCGAATTATATACTAGAAGTGCAAGCTACCATCCTCATCCCCATTGTGCCGCAGCTCTGTGCTCTTCTACCATTATGCATCGTTTCATCCCGCCCAAACGCCTTGCCTTACCCACCCGATTACGCCTCTCAACAGGCAATATCGTCAGGCCTGCCTCGTCTCGCCCCAGAAGAGCGCCATCAACGCTGAGAACTCGAAAACAAGATTCATTCCATATAAGTCGATCAGTGTCGCCTTTGCCAGGGCAGTTCGGACCGGGAGACCAAGAATATGTGGTTCGATGGATACCGCTGGAGCTCTTCCAGTCTGCGCATAAAGAAAGGCTGATCACGGTTGGGGTACAGGAGGCTGTCCGGATTGCGCGGGGGTGCGTTGAGCTCGCTGCAGAGCCGGCTCCTCCAAATCGGGAAGTTTGTCTTTCAGAAAGAATACAGACTGGTAATGCAGCACACTCTCCATATACAGCGCGGTGGCATTAGTAACATATTTTAGACCTCGACAGTATTTCGCAGACTCTTTTCCTACTCCTTCGATCCCCGTATTTCGCACGACTAGCAATGTGGTTTCTACCACTACTAGCCGCTCAAGGGGACAAGCGGTCGTTGTACTATTTATCCCACATTAAATCACAACCGTCGCATCGACTTCCCTTACCAGATAATGCAACGGATCCTCTCCAAGTTGTCATCAGCGGACAGATACGACTAGAGAAAGGAGATTTGGAAAATGCTGCACAAGAGTTCAAGAAGGCGATGGCCATGTCCAAGCCTGTTGAAGCCCCCGATAGCTTTGACGCTCTGTTCCCTACCAAGGTTCGCCAGCCCTGGGAAGCCTACGGTTCTGTAATGCAGTCGTTGGGAAACCACGACGCAGCAAATGAGGCTTATACCATTGGTGCCATAGAGTACGATAGCTCTCAAGCGCACAAACTACTCCTATCAACTATTCTACAGTCTGGTAACTTGATCAAGTATGAGGAGTATCTTACCAAGGTTGCCATGGGTAATGATATACTAGCTTGTTACCAGCTAGGGAACTTATATCTCACTCTGTACCTTATACAGAGTGAACTTGGAAAAAGAGGATCCGGCCGAAACAAAGAAGAAACGCAGCTTGCATCACGGTATACGAAGGATGAAAGTCGGCAACTAGCCACTGAATGGTATGAGATCGCCATCGCAGGCGGCCATGCACAGGCAGCACTTGTTATGGCTGGGTTACTACGGCAGCAAAATAAGCATGAGGAAGGATTGAGATATCTAGAGCTCGCGGAAGCAAACTCAGGCCATTCTGAACGCACTGCGAAACTACGTGGATCATGGCATGATGTGCAGTTTACTGTTGATTTGAAAGACTTGATGAGGTGAGCAAACACGATAATGCTTTCCCCGCCCCCATCCCCATTCTCTACCCTAGTCATGGGTGAGTTACCAAAGGCCGCATGCGTTCAACCGAAACGCAAAATGCCCCCTTTTTCTACAAACATCTGCATCGATGCTCGGCATTCGTCACTCAGAGTTTATACTAGCTTGCATTTCTGGAGTTACGCAATGTGCTGGGATCGCCAGCTTCGACTGTTAACCGAAGCCACATGGAAGCAATGGAAGTGGATGTTTCTAGCGCTGTAAAATATCTGTATACAACATGTAACTCTATATAATCCAAGAGTAACTTTATCGTTCCAAGTCGTCTACTTTCGATATCTCGTTTCTTCTTTCTTTCCTCTCCTTGCTTATTTGTTCTTCGTAAGTATCTGCTGAACTGAAGCGACTTTGCTCTCCATAGTTTCCTTTTTATCAATTCTAGATCGCCGATCCAGTCAGCCAACCAGGCTTCCCTTCCCACCTGAAACACAACGTCCAAACTCACCTTGAACCAACACGGATATCAGAATGAACTCTCACCAAGCCCTTCTCATGCAGCACCGTATGGGCCTGACCAATCACCGTCAGCACTTTGTCCCAGGGGCCCTCTATAAGACAGGTCAAAACAAAAGCCGTTAGTTTTCACTCTTCTTTCAGGGGCTATTGATGTCAAGTCCGTACCGATAGTAGTTCCAGCAGAGTGCATATGGAACGTCAGGCCGGATTTTTCGATCAGACGCTGCACTTCAGCCACCTCCTTGGAGACAGAAGGTGAAGATGTTCCGATCTTTCCCATGGATAAGTAATCATTTAGCCATTCATATGTTCTTATCAAATGCTCTTTTCATAACACATCTACATGGGTCTTCCATGTTCGGGTATATGTATGTACGAAAGGGAGGGGTTGCCTAAATATGGCCCCCAAACGCATGCAGTGTGATAGGCATGGGCCATCGATGTCGGTCTGGAGTTGGCAAAAAGCAAGAATGGAGATAAAACGGGTATATCACGTACAGGAATCATACAGACATCGGCGATGCAGTGGGTGGGAGTAGGGATGTGTGAGAGATCAGTCATTATGACAGCGTAGTCTACCTAGTTATCTCGTGTATTTGTGATTGGTACCAAGACACCACTTGTAAGGCGTCAAGATGGGCCTTCAGTGCTTCAGAGTATGCAGCCTGTTATTCAATTAATAGTGGAAGTTTGAGGCATTCAACCGGTCTGTATACGGGATAGAGGGACGGATGTTATTCTCCAGAGGTTGTGCTGAGACAGATAATGACATCATACGGGTCCTCGCCAATAACCACATCTACACAATTAATATTTAAAAAAAGAATATACATATAATTTTAGAGAAGAAAGGAAGAGAAGAAAAAAAGAAAAACTGAAAAGCCAGAGATATCTGGACGATGGGGGAATCGAACCCCCAGCTCCCCAATGCGAATGGGGTGTTTTACCACTAAACTAAACGCCCGTTTGCACAAGTTTCCCTCCTTAGTTAGCAACGCTAGCTGCTTTTACAAACACCTTCGTGAGAATTCACGCGCATATAATTAAAATACATTAATCCATGCAAGCGCTTCAACTACAGTCAAGTTTACACGATGGGACAGCCATACTGTATACCCTCCCTAGGGGTGGGAAGCGCTTCTCCTCTCCTTTCCTTTCCAATTTCTATCTTCTTTACGCTCTCTATCTTCTTTCTCTTCTTTCTTTACACTCACCTACCTGACCTCCTTATTAAATATTTGATATCAAATAAATACCCATAGCCAAAATCCTAGATGCAATGGGTAGGAAGATAGATCCTGAAGAGAGGGCCCGAAGGCTTCAAAAAAAGGGGTTTAACCCTGATAAAGGCTCTCTTAGGCGAGAAAGGGTATAGAGAGAATTGCAACCTAGTACAAAGCGCGGTTACGATACTGCCAGATATCTATGGCAAGAGTAAGTGGCTGGTATACTCACTGGGGAAGGTTGCAATATATTAACTAACTACCTATAGGTACTGCCAGAGCAACGGTGCTAAAGAAGATGATATCTTTAACCAGGAAACCATAAAGCATTTCATTATATATATGGCGACTGGTGTCGAGGGGCAAAAGGACGGTAAACCTATGGATTCAGGTATTCTCAAGATGTGGAAGTCATTTACGGGAGAGTAGAGACGGAGAAAAGGTGTTGAGCTCCCATCTACTGTAGTAAACTCCGGTGTGTACGTAAGTGACCTACAACTACTTACCCTATAAGAAACTAAAACTAAACGGATTATCTGACTGCCCTGAAAGTGGATCAAGACTGAAGGCGAACTTGACGCACATATACCTATAAACCGTGAGCGACATGAGAGAAATTACGTTACTCTGATTCATTTCCAGAATCTACTACGGCAGCTGTGGGAGAATGACTGGCATATTTTTCAGTTCCCAATATACCGGGTGTATCTATCTTGCCTCCTGAAGGTCTGCATATATTCGTCCGGGAGGGTGGGCGAGTTTGTTGAATCGAGCGCGCGGACTGGCTCAAACAGAGGGCTTTTTGTTGAGAAGGTAAACACACCGGAGTGGCCGTCCAACTACCCCTAGTAATAGGCTGAAGTTGATGCTAATATTCCTGTAGGATATAACTTTTTTGGTAATCCGCAACCATAAAGGTATGCCGGAGCTTATTTTTACCCCTAGACGTGACGCGAAGGGTATGTCCAAATAGTAAGGAAAATGGTATGACTACTTTATATCCTTCTAGAGCCGCGGAGTTAATAACTATTAAGGCGCGGGCTAATCTTTTTTATCGCGTTTAATAGCCCGCGGCATCCAATGTAGGAGGATATTGGCTCGCTTCCTCTCTAAATCCAGTCCTCGAGCCATTAGCAATATGCCTCGCCCGTGGTTTGTTTCGTGACTACAAAACGGCAGATAAGATCTTCGCAATTAATCCCCCTCCAAGCTCCTCGTGTATCGAGTTGGTGTTGCGCACCCCTCCTAATCAATTATTTAAGAAGGAGTCTTGCTCCGGAGAGGAAAACTTACACGTTAACTCTAACCATCCTAAGATACAACAATCGCCATTCTATAAGAGTTTTACTAGCCAGGGGTTAATAGGGAGGACTATTAAGTCCAACTGGTTATTAAAGCATCTATCCCTTCTAGGACGCCGATCAGGATATAATAGATTAACTATCCACGACTTCCGTGCAGAGGCCTTGATGGTAGCCGACGGTAAATAACCAATATTTCCACTTGCGCATGGGTTAGCTTGCTGACTTTGTTTAAACTTAGCAAATGGCTACTCGCAGTCCGATATGTTGAAATTTGTTTGTTTTATCTGCAACGAGTGGATTATAGGTCGGGTAGCCTTTGAGAGCCACTGCCGGCACCATCTCGACTACCCTAACACCATATCTATCCAGTACGGCTACATAGAAGTACAAAGGATACTTGCGTCACCCGGGTATTGTCCTAATTGCCTTAGTAACAGGGCGCTAGTAGTCACAGAGCGTCTAGAGCCCTTTTTGACCCAGGCATCCTTTGCAAACCACATGCGGGGCCACTATCGAGCGTTTGACGGGATTTCTCCCTTAGAATGTGGGTCACTGCACTATCCCAATGTGGTATTCACCTCCGTCCTTGACCTTCAGTGTCATTATCATGACGTCCACTATATACCAATACCGAAGGCACCCGCCTGCTGCGAGCGAAAACGTGGGGACCATCCAACGATGACATCTAGGCCTCACCCTGAGCGAAAATTCAACAATATCACTCCTGAAATATTTAAGCTAGAGTTAACAGGATCTCCCAGAAAACGTCAGCGCTATATGGGTAGACGTTCCACTTCTTCGCTCCAAGATACTTCAGATTCTGGATATAAATTGAGTGACAGTTCATAGATATATTTCTATTGGAGCCCGTGTTTGGCCAGCGTGCCCTTGGGAAGTCCACCATTCCTACAGAATTCTATGTACATCCATACGTTTGACTTTATCTATACTATAGCATATTAAATTTATTTACACACCGGAGATCGCAGAGTTGCTATACATAAGAACAAATATTGATTTATTCTTAGCTGTGGTGTAGTACGAGGAAGATAGACAGAAATGATATTTTAAACATTAAATCACACATATTGCTAGACACGTCTTCCCCTCAATCTCTTGGGCTTGGCCTTTGGAAATGAAGATATCAGAGATCTGGTCCTCAAAGGGTGGAGTATATTCACTATTTGCCAAGGTAGAAGTTTCGGAGAGCTTCTGGTTGATATACTGAAGACCTCTATCCAATAACTTGATATAGGCTTGAATCATCTTCTGTAGACAATCCAGCGAATCGTATACAGCATAGACATGGTTAGTACCTGGTTAATCCCGTCTGACATGCCTTTTTGAAGCATTGATTATTCCATGATGAAACCTCAATGATCATAATATCTTCTGGTTCTGGTCGTTTTGATATTCGCTGTGTTTTAATATATCGCAAAAGTCATTGCCCAGACTAGAAAGGTGTGAACACAGCCTCTTTGGCTCTCGGTGATGGTATAGCTCGTTGGCCTTCCGCTGAATATGGGCAAGTTCACCATTTAGGGACTGAAGGAATTTCTTTCTGACTTCATTACATGATCGATCGTGTCTCAAGAACTCCACTCAAGCCATTCCGTGCTGCAAGCCGTTTTATATTCTCCATAAACTCCACTAAACTAAACGCCCGGCAATTGCACCAAGAATCCGCACAATCGCTAGTTATTCCGCAGCCGAGGCTTCTGTCTCTTGGCGCCTTTTTCTCTCTCTCTTCGACTTCTCTCAACACTTCGTTGTATCAACGTCAACTCTTCTTCAGCGCAAAAGAGGACATCTTACCCAATAGCTTAGCTGGTCTCACTTCTGAGGGATTATTTTAGACCAAAATGGGAACTACTATGTACTTCTTCCATAACCAGGTGGCTAAGCTCCTTTGAGGCAAGTGAGTTACCCTCCAGGTGTTGATACAAAGAGGCGCCTTTTAGCTGCGCAAATCCACTCGTATTCTCGAGACGGCCGCTTTGACGTCTTCACCGATGCTGAGCCTCGTACCAGCATGGTCGCTTTGGAGGTGATCATCGATTTAGCGGGCCCAACAGGCCACATACTGAACTTCGAGGGGGGAACTCGGGGAGGAGCCGTTTCTCCGTGAACTGATTTGTCCCTCTTAAGGCCGGTGTCACGTAACTTCGAGAGCTTCTTCTTCGTCTTCAAATCATTCTGGAAGGTAAATATTTTTGCGTGTGACACAAAAGTTGCTCCGTGAAGTCAGTCATTTAATCCCTTTCTTCCGTCTATGTGCCTTTATGATTCGTCAATGGCTTCTTGAATCGTTCAGGCTTTCGATTCTTATCCATGTCGGCACAGATTTCGGTATCAACCGACTAGCAACTCGATAGCTTCAACCGACCGGTGGTTAGCCCTCCACTTAATATGTGGAGAAGAGGTTGAAGGATTGCTTTGCGTCAATGTTGGTATACACATGTCATTGCCACCTCTGTGACAAAACTGGGCCATTCCCAAGGAACCGCAAACTTTTGCTCCGCAAAATCCCCCCTTTATTACTTGACATCTTCCAGATGGCTTCTTCTACCCGTGAACTAGGATGATCTGCCATCAACATGCCTATTCTACGAAAGTGGAGATGCTCTGTGACATATTACTTACATCTGGAAGATGTACTATATACATACACCCGGCGGCCAGGGTTCTCTCCGCGTCGATGGTGGATACTCCCCACGTCGATCTCAACGGCCGCCGGCCAAGCGGATATTATACGTGCCTACATACATATAGCAAAGGCACAGCTATATATTCTGTACACCCGATTTACGCGTAATACAGATAATCTTGACGGCCCCTGTTACCTAAAGTGGAATGAATTATACTAACACCTAGCGCAGGTGACCACTGCCATGGCCGGCCATCAAACATAGTAAAACGGCAAATCATGGTCGTCTGGAACCTATGCATGCACATATGAACATGAACGCCGAGCGCCATTTGAAGGTTGTTCACTTTCTTCGACTATCTCCAGCAAAAGCTTACCTATCCCACATGAGGCTCGTATGTCCCGAATACTGGCTGAAATGATATTAAACCTGAAGCCACCTCTGTATTGACACCCGTGTTCGCCTATCTCGAGCGAATTATACAACAAAGGTCTTGCCATTAAACCCCGGCCATCGATCACCAGCACACATACATACTATGTAGTATATCCGAACAAAAAGCAATTTCACCAGCTACATAGAGTTACAGCGGAATGGGTTTCTAACCATCTATCCTCGAACAGAGAAATGAACCAATTTAGAGAATGCGGCACCCCACGGCCCTAAAAAAGGAAATATAGATGGTCGTGTTTGTCCTGTTTTGGTCTTATACCAGCAAGGGCGAAGGAAGGCTTGCATGATTATGGCCCAATCTCCCTCTCTGGAGTACGGTCTATATGCCTTTTATGTAACTTGCATCCAGGACTTGTGTTGGAAATCAACATTGCCCTCTCCAGCACCTAATGTTCCGGATACTCTTACTTAAAAAGCGACACCAATACATGCGGAATATGGAGATACCTTAGATCTAAGTTCGGTACCTCTCCGTGGGACAGATGTAATTTGTGGTGTCTAACAGAATTTTTTATTTGGCAACTGCCTCGGGAGCCCGCACGGCGTTGGAGATAGCGGAAAGCAACCTCAGTTTCTGGCCGTATATCCGAAAGCCACAAGCCTCCGCCATCTTCTGGGCAGCGGATTAGAAACGGCGAACCCTAATCTGAAATCATGCGCCAAAGCTACTTTTATACGAAACTTCAGCAGTTATGGCCGTGTTTACTATGTAAGAGGGCTGATTGTCAATTTGCCCCCCTCGGGATACTACTATGTACAGTCGTGCTAGGAAAGAAACATGCGAGTTACTGCAATCTCTCGCATACACAGGCCTTGGTTCTGCGCCGGTGATAATACTGAAACACCCCCTAGGAATGCACGACCATACTAGTCTGTGCTCTCATGTGCCTCCGCTAGGGTTCCACGCCCTTGCTGTGTCTCCTGATACCTTACATAGGCTGTGCTGGGTGTTAAGGGTAAAATATCGGATAAACCCTTGCTCAACTTCTAGCTTGGGATTACATGAATATATCTCATCTCATTCTCAAAAACCCATCTCCGCGTCATACCAATGCAGCACCACACAGCTTGAATTATTCTCGGCTAATAGGTGGCTGATATAGCACCTACTTGAACCGGCATCTCATCGAAAATAACTACAAACCGATCCCACAGGGTGACCTCAAAGGCGAGGGATCGATATTAATTGGACACAACGTCGTCATTAGCTCATCGTCATACGAGAAGGGCAGGAGCAGGAGAAAAAGCAATGATCTCCAGCCAGGATGAAGAACCATAAGCTAGGTTGATAAGAGCAGGGAAAGGCTTTTTCTCGGAGAAGACCACTGGGGAATTACGACAGACTGACTTGCTTTGGACTCAAAAGCCCTTCTCCTCTTCGAGCGTTTATACGAACCAACGTCGGCACAGTGACAAAGCTAGAACGGGATAGAACCTTTTCACCCCTTTCAACTCTAACTAATTGCCGTGGTGCAGGATCGACGCTATGGGTCGTATTGAGCATTCTTACTGCCAATCTGGCTGGGGCATTTACTTACTCGATCGGGTTGTCTACAGCCTGTTGATTCCGTGGTGTTGTTGATTGTCGCAGACATTGTGTTAATACTTGTGTCGTCCGCATGATGTTGTTGGTTAAACCTACATGATAGGCTGGGAGACCCCTGATTAAAATCGTAGATGGCACTAACTTGCTCCAGTATCAACGCCGACAGCTAGCCTAGCTGGACAAGGAAGATTGCGCCGATGCCCAGAATCCCGAAAACCAAGTTGAAGTCAGTCATTGCACCTTAAATTTCTCGATCTTTCGGGTCTCGACTATGTCAAACCAGCCAAGTTTTTTAGCTTGCTCCTCACGTCAATATAATAATGGCGGTTATAACTTTTCCGTTGGAGGTGGCGCTCCTTTTTTCTCCATCCTGGTCAGTTACGAGTAAGTGTTCTGTCCGTCAGAAAGCTACTACGCAGCCTTTTCTCTCTACAATTCCCCGTTGTACCGATGGAGACTCGGGATGTGTGGATACCTTTCGAGATTCGGCCTCCCCGCAAAATCCCCGGCGCGTGAGAAGCCGTTTCAGAAGCTCTTTCGATATCAGAGGTGGAAAATATGCACTTTGATGAAGCTATCTTGCTCACATTTCAGGTCGTCTCTTACATAGTTATGCTTCTATACTCACTACATCCCCCGTGGTCTAGCCCCATCGTGAAATATCGGCCCCCCTCGAGACTTGGAGGGACGAATATCCATGCCATCCTTGCCCGTAGAATTCCATGGATGATTGAACACGAAGGAAACAGGCGGCCTGTGTGTCCCTTACAGGGAAGTATGGTCCACGAGCCCATTTGCCGCCACTTATGGTTTGGGCCTGCATTAGGTCGAGGTTGCTCATATTTATCAGTATTCTTTTGCCATTTCTTTTCTTTTCCGACGCCTCTTCTTCATTTATTTTTCCTTTCTAGTGAAAGGATTCTGAACTGCACCGTTAATACGGACCGGGCTTGGAAAAAACAATTGACTGTCGTACCTGATTTGGCTGTGCTGGTATTAATAGAAGTTACCGAGTGCCATATGCCTGTCAGCTTACTCTTCCCTCCTCGAATCAGTGGGCTGGTGTAGCGACAATTAGCAACCCTTCCATCCAGTGCATATTATTCAGATACAATCCTGGCTATCATATTAAAGCGGACGGCCTAAGTGTGTTTACTGCCTGCCCATATAGAATGGAGGGCATTGATACCAAAGGCTTTTGATTTTGTATATATTGCGGGCAGGCCTGTTGAACGGCGAACCATGGAGGAAATAATTGCAGGCCATTTGCTCGCGAGGGACGATCGGCCCGTTGCGCTGACACATATACCAAGAATTCCCCTTCTTGTTTGTGGACCCCAATTTTTCCTGGAGAGATGCATTTTGCTGACGATACATACAGGTAATAATATGGTCCTTCTTTGCCTTAACCACGGTTGTGATGACCTTTCGAATAGCCATCAGACTCTGGCTTCAACGAAAGCTTCTCTGGGACGATGCATTTGCTGTGGCTGCATACATAGGACTGATTGTGCAGGTGGTCCTGCTCACTGTTATAGCTCCGTTGATATATATACATCTACATGGGTTTTCAGGCACACGCCCCCCACCAGAATATGGGGTAAAGGTCACCCATATGATCCGTGTGGTGTTTGCGCATAATGTAGTATTTACTGCGAGCATATACTGCATCAAAGCTAGCTTCATGGCACTCTACTGGAGATTGATTAGAGATTTGAACAACTACCGAAAAGCCTGGTGGGCAGTGACTGCATTTTGTGTGATATCACTGATCATCAACGCCGTCTTGTTCCCTGTGGGGTGTTCGACCCTGGAGGCATGTAAGTTGACTCACTCTTATACCCTGCTCGTGGGGCCGCTTCTTAATACTGATGCCATATTCCTTATTTAGTCCACTGTATCGACAAGGGGAGCATCACCCGCACATTGGCGAGTCTTCGGTTCAACACCGCGATGGATATAATCACTGATGTGTTTAGTGAGTTCTCCCAAACACTTAAAATTACGGCGGGAGGCCGAGTTTACTAACAATGTACAGTCATGTTCCTGCCAATTGTTTTGATCATGCGGTCCAAACTACCTGGCCCCCAAAAAGCGGGCTTGGTCATCCTCTTCGCTCTGGGATTCTGCATCATCGCCATCGCTACGGTACGCATAATCAAGAGCAACAGTTACCAGAAGCAGCCGCCGCTCTCCTGGCTCTTGTTCTGGAGTACGATGGAAACAGCCGTGGCGGTGATAACAAGCTGCCTAGCAACTTTCAAGTCTCTCTTCAACTTGAAGCAGCGACCCACACATTACTCATACTACACCACCACTCGCCATCGACGTACAGGTGGCGGACAGGCCAATATAGACAACATGGACAACATGAACCTAACACTGCCGACGATCTCTGACCTTGAGAGCGCGAACAGTCGGCTGGCTGGTAAGAACAGTTTGATCAGCAAGAAAGAGTCAAGTATCATGAGCATCTCATCGGATAGGAAGACGACGAGGACTCACGACGCCGAGCTGAGGGAAGAGATCATGATTGGGGCCGCATTTGACCTAAGAACGGGCAGCATTCCTGGTTACAGTCAACATCCTGGCAATTGTCATCAGCCCCAAGCGCCCAGGATGGCACAGTTGCGATAGCCCTGCTCGTCCATGCTGGGCTCCTCTCAGCATGCTGGTCGCTACGTTATAGTGCATCGTGAGTGCATGTAATATTTTTAATGTAATTGATACCTTTCCATATCTGATTTATTTTCTTCAAAAGAGGTTCATGGACTGAAGGTGGAGGACACTATAATAGTGTAGGCTGCGACAAACACTGGCAACACCTATTGATTCGATCATGCCCTTGTTTCACACCCCTTATTTTACCAGGCTATTGAGCTGGACAGACCGGGTATATACCTGCTTCCTAAACATATTCCAACATATTTGACTAATCTTCTCGCAGCTTATATATACATAGAGTGGTTCCCGTGGCGGTGTTGACTCAGTCGTGCTGACATATATGGGGCTGCAATGTACTTCGACCCAAGTTATACGCTAAATATAGTGCTGGGCGGGTACATCCAGCATCGTACCCCCATCGCCATGCAGGCCAAGCAGCGACCTAGCAGCGACTAACAGATTTGACACCCCTTCTGCGCCCTATCAGAACGGCAAGATGGACCTCTGGGGAGGCGAAGGTGGAAACTCTGTCAGGGGGGCAACGCTTCCCTCGCGGAGTTGCTGCTCGCTCCGGCAGGCTCAGCCTCAGTCAGTCTCTCTCTTTCTTCTCTCTTCACTGCTCTTCTTGCTCTGACTCCTTCTCTTACTCTTCTTTATCATTTTTTGTATACTTGGGTGTCAAGGGTCGCCGCTGTCACTGCTGTTCGTCGGTGCCTCCATATACATATACATATATATATAAGTATATATCCGTGCTTATTCGGTTTCTTGCATTTGTTTCTTGTATGAACTGCGTCATTTTTTTTTGCCCATAAAAGATTTCCAACAAACTAACTGGCTTAGGTTTCTTTTCTTGCTTAACAAAGAGATAAAAAGTCCTGCGTGGTTTATTTGCATCGTTCTGTTGCTATACAAAAGCAAACCCCAAAGCCTTTCTCTTCGGTCGTCTCTAATAATCCATTAATTTGAGTCTTCGTCATGCGTGGCGACTCTTTTATCTGGTCGCTAACCACGGCCGCCTCGCTCCTGTATGCCACCGTCGAGTCTCTCCAGGTTGTCAAGAGAGATAACCCGTCGATTGTCGGATTCGATATCGAGCGTTTCCAGGTTGCAAAGCCAGTCCATCGAGACATCATCGCCAAAAGAGCCTCGGGCAAGACCGTTAGTCAAGACCTGGATAACCAGGTAGGTTTGGCTCGCATTATATATACCGTTCGAATGGATGTACAAGCCGCTAACGGGCATGTAGAAAAATCTCTACTTCTGCAACATCACACTGGGAACACCACCTCAGACTATTCGTGCGCACATCGACACTGGCAGCAGTGATCTATGGGTCAATACCGACGACTCACAGTTCTGCAGCTCAAGACGGTCGCCATGCAGAGAGGGTGGCACATTCGACTCCTCGAGTTCTAGCACCTATCAGCTTGTCTCCAACGACTTCAATATATCTTACGTCGATGGATCAGGCGCCAGTGGTGATTACGTCACGGACGTCATCGAAGTTGGAGGCATCCAGTTGAAAGAGTTCCAGTTTGCCATCGGCCATACTTCGTCCAGTCCTCGTAAGTAGATACAAGTATACTGTTAGGTTCATAGACTGGAGGCTGATGAAAGATCCATTCTAGTTGGTGTTTTGGGAATTGGATATGAAGCTGGTGAAGCCCTGGTTTCCAGGTTCGGTGATGAATCATATCCCAACCTTCCTGCTGCCCTTGTTAAGGCAGGCCACATCCGCTCAAACGCATACTCTCTCTGGCTCAACGACCTAAGCGCCAGTCGTGGCCAGATCCTCTTCGGTGGCGTAGACACCGGCAAGTTCGAGGGCAAACTCCAAACCGTGCCTGTCCTTCATACCAGCGGTGGCGATTACACCTCCCTCGTCATAGCTCTAACTAGCGTTGGGATCCGGACTGCCTCCGAAGGCAGCCTCGACACCTTCCCAGCCCAACCAGTCGCCGTCGCCATGGACTCCGGTAGCAGTCTGAGTTACCTCCCCGATGCTCTCGCGGCCAAGATCTATAACTCCATTGACGCCGTGTTCGATCCATCCAACAACCTCGCATTCGTCCCTTGCTCAATGGTTAATGACGACAGAAAGCTTGTCTTCACCTTCTCCTCGCCCCAGATCACTGTCGGCATGGACGAGCTTGTCATTGATCTTGGGCCGGATGCCAACGGCAACGAAGCTACCTTCAGAGATGGCTCAAAGGCCTGCGTCTTCGGCATCGCACCTGCAGGCCGCTCGATCTCTATTCTAGGTGACACCGTGCTCCGCAGCGCTTATCTCGTCTACGATCTAGATAACAATGAGATCTCCATTGCCCCGACCCGGTTCAACTCCACCGTTACCAACATTATGGAAATTGGAACCGGCAAGAATAGCGTACCCGACGCGACTGGTGTGCCAAACGCCGTGACAAGCGCTCCAATCACCCAGGCTACCGGCCTTTCCGGAATCGAGACCGGAGTCCCTGGCGCAAGGCCTACCTCACGGGGGGCTGCTCCCACAATGAGGCCAGACGTCACCTTTGGCGTTGCTGCTGCTGGCCTTGCCGGTGCTGGTATACTCTTCGCCTTTATGTAATATACCACTCAACCAGCTTTGGATCTCTGATATCTTTTGGCTCATTTTCCTTATATTGATATCCCCAACCTCCTACTCGTGATTAGAACTCCATTGTATATGCTTTACTCCTTTTGTGTTTCATACTTCTTCTTTTACTCCTGTATAGACCGGAGGTTTTCATGACACCACACAACGCACATATCCCCATGCTTACCTTCTGTTATTATCTTGCTGTTTTCACTACATCCTTGCATACATAGTCTTGCGATGATTTTATATAGCAGCTTACCTACCCTGTATACAACACCAGTCTTGTATTGTAGAGTGGTAGTATCATCCGGATAACAAAATATTATGAACATAGTTTTCATCAGGATCATCTACTCCATGTTTTTGAAAATAAAGGTGAGGGAGGTTTTAGACGACGCCACAGTAGCACTGCAGGTGGACTTGTCGGTGACATGCACGCTTCGTAGTTGGTCCTGTCAGGCAGTTTAAGGTGCGGCTCAACGCTTGATGCCGTGTTTTTTTCTTCGTTTATATTAAGCTTCTTATTTAAAGCCATTGATGAAATAGTTCTATCTTCCTAGTAAAGAAAGATTTACTCACGATATTAGCATCTCAATACCACAACTGCGCGAGCCCCTTGTTCAGGCGCATCTTCAGGCCCATGGTTACAGCCATACGAGGCGCTTGTTTCTCCCTCGCCGATAGAAGTAGCATCCACAGTACCTTCGTAGGAGTATGCGTCCCAGTCACAATGCCATATCCTCGTTCTTTTGTCCCTCCCAGCAGACATGGAAGCAACCCTCCGAGCCTGCGCTGGGTCACCGCATTCTAGAACAGTAAAACGAGCCTTTAGCTGCTCCGATATAGCTAGTAGACGCGGGTAGAATGAGTCTGCGCGGACTGAGTCTGATGATGTATCAGTATGCCGAATCGGCGGAGGTACCAGTGCCAGCGTAGGTTCATACAGACGAACGCTACGTTTAGTTGTACCGTTGGCGAATTCTTTGGGTGAGATATATGGAGGGTTGGATATAAGGAGATCCCATCCGTCCCGGTGCTCCTGTTGCAGGCGAGAGAGAAGCATTCCGAGTTCTGAGCCATCTGGATCCAGGGAACGAGGAGTCAGAATATCAGCCTGTACGAAATGAACTTCATCTCGGGCGCGGGAGAGTAGGTTGCCATTCTCGATATTGTGCTCCAGATTCTTCTTCGCAAGAGAGAGGGCTGTAGGACTGATGTCCACGCCTATGACGGATAGAGCAGGTATCGAAGGCGCCAGGAGGGAGTGTAGCAATAGCGGTATGCATCCTGTGCCGGTACATATGTCGATGATTCGAACACTTTGTCTAGGATAACGGCGGTGCTCAGCAAGGAGATGCTGTGTTATGCGTGTGGTATAAGACTCCGTATCTGGGCTTATAATTCACCGTCCGTCAGCACAGCTCCAGGTCCTCTTCAACCAGGCAAGCCAGACTCACCGTGGGATCAACACTCCCTCTTTGCAGAGTATCTCCAAATCTCCAAATGGTTGGTCTCCCAAGATGTATTGCAGCGGTTTCCCTGCCGCTCGCTGCCTGACCAGCGACCGCAGCCTCTGCCTCCATTTCCAACCAGCTTGGTCGTCCGTATCGCGACTCTGTGCGTATTCAGTAAGCCACCGGAGCTCGTTCCGTGCAGAGCAGAGATCTCGACATTCCCGGAGCAGCAGTGGAAGCAAAGGGTCGGTGCGGCGCGCGCGCAGAAGAAGCGAGTACGGAATTCGCGGCATCGATCAGCCCTCAAATCGACGGAATATTTATTTTGCCCGCTAACAAGCCATCTTCATCCCCCGTCACTATATATAAAAAGACCTTCAGGATGTGATGGATGCTGCTTTTCACCTATCAGTGTCTTATTCGACTCTGTCAGCAAAGAAGAAGCAATTATCGATGGAGAAAAACGCCAAACATCCAACAACGAGAGATTACAGAAACCGCACGATAGATTGCATACGAACCATATGGCTCCAATACCCCTTCGTGTGAAGGAAACACAGGCTTACCGTCTTACTCTCCTTGTTTGCTGAGGGTGTATACTCGCTACACGGAGTGCTATCAATAAAAAACGGGACTTCAGACTGTCATGTCACAGTTCCGTCGTGGATGAAATACGGTGTCACTCTATACCCGCGTGGCCTATGGGGAGGTCTTCTCGCATTTCATAATGCAACGGAATATAGGGCATCCTACCTGTTCTTCCATAGAGCGGTCCAACATTTTATGATGATGAAGACCTATCAGCTGGATTCCTATCCAGTCTGTGTGCCATCTGCACTTTAGTTTCTTCATCTCGCCTCAGGATCCTTGACTGCCAACGGTGGGCGTTGCATAGCTTCTGATAACTGCCTGATATCTTACCTTTGCGCAGTCAGTACGAGAATTCCGAGGCTACACGGCATATCTCTGTACCCCCAGAGTGAACGAGAGACGTTATAATGCCTTCTTCACTCGCTGCAGGATAACCTCCCCAGGTTTATATGGATTTGCTAGCATTACAGCTGTTCGCAGTGGGCTCCATTTACAATGGCTAGCCAGTTACCGGTGCAGTCAAACGACAGCCCCAGGCTCATATCGGTGATGTGGGCTGAGTTCGGCGTTGCTGCAGCTATACTGACTGCACGGATCGTTACCCGTACTCGGGTCATTTCATGCTGGGGTTGGGATGATATGTCCATGTGCCTTTCGATGGTATTTTCCTTCGCCACCTACCAGGAGAATAGGCATAAGAGAGGGAGAGGAGAGCTGATATCAACCATCTACTAGGTACTGGCAACCATGGACACATCTCTGCTCACAGTCAGTGTTAGGCATGGACTAGGCAAGCATGCCTTCGACCTTACATCGTCCGAATACATCAATGCGAATAAATACAACTGGATCTCGCAGGGTTGTCATGTCATGGCAACGAACTTCGGCAAAGTGTCCGTTATACTGTTTTTGCTACGGATAGTCGTGAATTCTCGAGCGCAGAGGATATTCCTTTACACGCTGATGGCCATGTTAATTATCATCAATTCTATTTGCGTGTTCACTATCTTTGGCCAGTGTGCGCCCACCTCACGGCTCTGGGATCCGGAGATACCAGGAACTTGTTGGTCACCGCATTATCAAAGGGACTATGCGTTTTTTCAAAGCTGTATATTCATCTCCTTCAAAGTTGGAAACCAGCTGGTGAGAAAGAATGGCTAATTGGATATGTATAAATAGCTTTTTCAGCATTCTCCGACGGCCTGCTCGCCCTTTATCCTAGTTTTGTTATCTGGAAACTGCAGATGTCGCTGCGGACAAAAACCGGGCTCGGATGTGTTCTAGCCCTGGGGATTGTGTATGTCTCCATCCTCACATAATAAAACATAGCATATCTTCTTGCTTCGCTGACACCAACCAGGGCCATGATCGCATCCATAATCAAGACAATATTCCTCGCCAGCCTGACGGCCAGAAGCGACTATACCTTCGACACCATCTCTCTCACCATCTGGACAAATACAGAGCAATACCTAATAATAATAGCAGCCTCTATACCTCCTCTCGGCCCACTTCTGAAAATCGCTATGGGCAAAACCCCCACGGCCCAACCATCCCTTCCCAACAGATATACGTCCAAGCATAGTTGTGGAGGTGAACAGAAGAGTAAACATCCTGCATTCCTACCGAAAGATTCGCTACTATCTACGAACGAGTCTAGTTGTTATCCACTACGGGAATATAAGGGGCGGTCGAGGAGATGGGGTGATGGTGGTGAGGGTATGCAGGATGAATTCTTTCCAGATGCCCGTGGCGTAGACCTTGGTGGTATCATGAAGACTACGGAGGTGCATATTGAGAGTAACAGGGATCCGCAGCGGGAATAAGATGTTGTCTTGATCTTCTTTTGAAGGGAGTGGATTCTTTGCTTTTTGGTGTTGAAGGCGGCATTTTATACTGTACATATACGCGCATTTACGGCCTTGATGTGAGGATTTGATTAAATACCAACATTTTGTGGTAAGAAGCTAAGCAGATAACATTAATTTATCGGGGATAATCATTCCTTTGTGACTTACTTTACCAACAGCTTTAATATATGTATCAGAGCCGAAGATGCTCGATATCCCTGTTAATAATTGGCCGCTGCTAAAAGTATATCAGAACTGCTTTTCAGCGTGGGGACTTTTATTATTCTTTCTTTTATTCGTCTGGAAGATTGAACATCTTCGTATGTACATACATCTATGACACCAGCTGCACCTGCACCAAAATTATAATATATGAACGCTAATCCGCCCTTTAACAGAAAATATGCGAAAAGTAAACTTTTGTCATTAGATAGTCTTGAAGTTGACAGGGCCAGCCCAATGCCTAATCCTTTTGCCAAAGTGCTGGAATATCAAAAGCAGTACAAAGGCGAAGCCACAGATGCCTGCCATGGCACCGAATTGACGAATGGGGCCCTGGTCTCCGGCCCAGCGAACCATGAAATAGCTGACTATGAAACCTGCTGTGGAGCGGGAGAAGTTAAGCCAGGAAGCTACCTCACCGCTGGCCTCGGGGTAGCTATCGAGGACATAAGCGCTTGTAGCAACAGTGGTGATCATGATACCGAAGACGTAGAGGCCCCACCCTAAGGAGGCGAGCATATAGTGGTATTTGCGTTCGAGGGCGAAACCAAGCAGAATGAGACCAGCGCAGATGCAAGGTGTACTTATCCAGATGACAAGGTAGCGGGCCTCGGGCTCGAAGCGGCCGTGGTTCCGAGAAGCAGCGAAATTAGCTACGCGGTCGTGCAGCCAGTGGCCAACAATCTCTCCTAGGATAGCGGCAACGACAGGAGTGAAGTAGAAGAACCCGATCTGCTTTGGTCCGAAGCCGTAGACGGGTACGAGAAAGATGGCTAAAGTGGTATTGATGCCGACAACCCATGCAAAAGTTAGAAGGTAAAAGGTGCAGGAAATGAACATAGGTGGTTTTGCGATGACGATAAAGGGCCGCATAAATGCATCTTTGAAGCTGTTGCGCTGGTGCCGGGACTGCCATTGTTCGCTGCCGATGAGGCGTTTCCAGCGGGAGACACGAGCTGGTCGTTCCTCTGCAGGTAGTTTTCTGTCGTAGTAGGTCTCGTCCATGAAAAGTATGATAGCGATGAAGCAGAGGCCTGTTTCGATGGAGTAGACGCCGAAAGCCCACTGCCATATCTGAGTGTTGATGATGAAGGCAGTCAGCAGGGGGCCGAGATAAGGTGAGACGATAATGAAGCTGGACCAGATGTTGATCTTCCGGGCGTGTTCGTGGAAGAAGAAGATGTCATTGATGAACATGAGGCCACCCTGTGCTGTTAGTTAGGTCTATGTAGGTATATACACGAGGAGACTCACTCCTTGGGCAACGGTAGAGAAGAAGCCATTGAGAATGCGCGCGGCCTACAGAGTATAGATTAGTATAATATATTATATTATGCGGTATATATGTATGCGCATGGGCATACCATAAAAGACTCAAAGGACTGGGCGGCGGTGCACCAGATCGCGGTGGCAACAGCGCCCACCATGAACCAGAAGAGCACTGGCAGACGGCCAAAGTAGGCAGACGAGATGACAGTGACGATGCCTCCGATCCCGAGCATGAAGACGTTGCCAGCCTGAGAGTGGTTAACCTCGTCGGGCGTCATATGCCATATCCTAGCACCATCGGTCAGCACTATCTTAAATGGGAGGGAAAAGTTAGAATAGCCCTACTCTGCCTGCGGGAGGAGGGTGACGGCTCCAACAGCAGAGCCATAATCTGGCAGGAATGCCGCAAACGAGATTATGAGCAAGATTGTCCATTTCCTAGCAGCCGACCAGTTGAGAGGGTCGTCTGGGGAGTCTGTAGGCTGGGGGAGAAGGATTGTATGGCCATCTGGTGCGGTCTTGAGGTTAGAAGCGGCGTGGGCTACAGCGAGGTCGAGGATGACGCCGTCGCTGCTATCGCCGTCTCGCTCGCCTGCCTCAATGTCAACGTTCTCCTTGGCCAATTCGGTCATGTTTGTACAGAGAAGTGCAGTTGATCAAGCAGACTGGAAGAAAGCGAAGAAGAAAGGGACATCCTGCACGAGGAAAGAAATGCCAATAGAATTAACTCTTATATCTGTTAGGAAAAGGACGCATCCCTGCGTTTCTCTCTCTCTCTCTCTCTCTGCCGTCCTCTCTGCATGCTGCCCAGAGTATGAACTAAAGCAAGCTGCATTCCAAGACGGCTTGCTCTGTCGATACGAAGTCCCACCAGCGGGTTGATCCGACCAAAAGGCTCGTCGTTTCATCTTCGTATCTGCGCCGGGTTCTCGGAAGTCGTTCTTTTTCTCCATGTGGTGGCGTCTTCGAGAACATCTAATAATAGACTCTCTTTGCTTCTTTACCATCTTTCTTTTTCGTCTTTTCTTTTTTCTAGAAAGACTCACAAGACGGAGATAGCCATAGAAGGGAAATTGAGAAGTAGAAATGGTTGGCTAAAACTCCGATGTATTAGACCAGTTCAAAGCTGGATTACTCTGTAGACAACGAGCCGTTAAATCACTCTGGATGTATTGAGTTGCTTATGAGTCAAGTTGATGTTACTGTCGCTGGCTATAACTCCAGCTGAGAAGTTCTGAGCTCTGTCGACGGCCTTATCGGGCATTCCTGCTAGTACATAGGAAACCGTCGTTAAGGATTCTACTGAAACGGAATTTCGCCAGTGATTTTCGAACGTTACTGCGGGATTGATGTTCTAACTTGTCTCTTCTTTAATAGAAGACCGTACGCCGAAAAATGGCCAGCTGCATGGGCATGCAAGAGGGCTAATCAACCAAGAAGGCATTGCTGTTAATCAAGTTCGAACTGTGGCCCTGAAGATTCAGGTTGACCAGCTTCGCAGGCCCCTTCTTATATCTTCCGATCGAGGATTCCTGGATTCCGGTAAAACGGAGCCCAACGTGTTCTGTCTCCGGTTCCAATGCAACATGATGGAGCATGTTCGAGACGATGTTGACAGCCTGTAAGGAATACTGAAATTCGTCCTGGTATGTAACGGCAACGCGCGTGGCTTTCAATACCTCCAGTAGTATATCAATCCCATAAACACAGTCGCTCTGGAATACACAGGAGGCTGGAGCTACCTGATATTTCGTGTGGCCGATCGTACCACATATGACGGCTGGAAGAAACCTATGATCATGAATTTAACGATGACATACAGTCCATCTGAGCTGTGGTCGTAGATAACGAGGTTGTCAAAATACTCGTTGCTTCTCGATCTGCGTTCGTAGTTGGTCTTCGTAGCGTTCGAAAAGGCTCCCATCGGACCTGCTATTATCCTACCATCTTAGCCTGACAACATGCTGTAGACGAGAACTTATTCACTAGGGAAAACTGATAAGTTGACGACGAGCTGGGCTTTCTTCGCAAGAATTGTAGTTTTATCACGATACAAATAGGCAGTGATTATGTAATACGAGGTGACATCAGGTGACCTGTGGAGTTTGATGTTTTTGTATAAAAAGATTTCACAACTACAGATTTCTAGCAAGACGGCGAGATCTTGTGGAATCATACACTCTTCTTCCTTTTCACTCTGTTTTGTCCATATTTCTTCCCTTTCTTGGGCGTTTCTACGGAGGGGATAAGCACGAGTAGAAGGAATTGATGAATCGCCTTGGGTGTATCCCATAAAGCTTGCGGATTAGGATACCCTTGATCTATGCCATATTGAACATACATTATAGTCTGACCACACTCAAGCTTTACAGCCACTTTTCATCTGAGTTTCATCCAAAGGATTGAAGAAGACATCCAGAGTACTTAGAGAGCTGCTAAGGCTGTCTGGCCCTCATCTAAGTCGACATACCGCAAGCTCATCCCCCATAATTCCTTTTGTTTCTTCGAATCTCTCGACTCTATCGCCGTCTCAGCTAGCTCATTTCCGTTGAAATATGCCTCCTTAGGATGAGCCCAGGAAGCCTTAGATTCCAGCGCCACCCTCAGCAAGTCCTGTGCTGATTTCTCGGCAGTGCGGAACATTCCGTTTGGCCAGAAATATCGAGCTATCAATCGCGTATACAGCTGAATCAACGGAATTAAGAAAGCTCGGTCAGCCAGTGAGCCCCTTTCCGCTAGGTTATCATGAAGCATTGCGCCAGGGTCGACGCCAACAATGGTAATATTTTCCAAATGTGGAGTCCTATCAAGACGCCTCCTTAAGGTATGCCTACGTGTGATAACGTCAGGACTGGGGATATCTGATTTGGCCCTTACGCTTTGGGGGAATGAATTGAACTCACATAAAAGTAACAAGAGCTAGCTTTGAAGCACCGTATCGCCTCATAGCCTCCGACATCATGTCCTGGTCCAGCTTGCTCATATCCGGATGTGCCAAGTCTGCTACGTTCCACGACAGCTTTTTGGGTCCAAAACGCTGATTCTCTGGTCTGTGGATATCATGTGCCCAGCTCGATGTAAACACAATACGACCATGCTGCTGGTCTATTGACCCAAGTAGCAGAAGCGAGAGGAGAACATTAGCAAGATAGTTTACAGCAAAATGCATCTCGAATGGTGGATGCTGGCTCTGCTTCTGCTTCTCTGTGAACTGAAGGCCATTTGGCTCAAAACATAAAGCTGCGTTCAGTATAAGTGCGCGGATGGGAGGTATCACACCCGATGAGACCTTATTGTTGATATCGGAAGCGAAGGCGCGTATAGAGTCGAAGTAGGCGAGATTGAGTTCGGGCATGCTCGTTATATGGCTGCTTTTGCCGTGGGAACTGATAATTTGCCGCAGTTTGATTGTGTGTGCATGTTTACTGTTGCGGACGGGGAAGACCAGCGTATACGGCTCGGGCCGCCTCAGGAGCCTCTTTGTAAGCTCTTGGCCCAAACCGCCCGTGGCACCAGTGAGAATGATGGTGCCATCCATTTCTGTGTGTCCTGTGTTTTCTGAGCCTATTATTTCTAATGCGGATGCGACAATGCAGAGGGGTGGCTAATATAGCAGGATATACAGTGGTTGGTGAGTAGTTATTATCCTGGCGACGCTACGCTGTATGTACAGGGGACAGGTTGCCAATACGCCTTGTTATGCATTACCTATGACAGCCTGGGTTATATACCTGTCTTGGATCCCAACCGGGGTGTTCTAATCTACCCTTATCCGTGGATGTATAATACATTATACGACGCCACCCTACTCTGACCCCGGCTTTTTCCCAACCATTAAATACATCGGAGTGAACAGGCCCAGCTTTCCCCCCTTGACTAGATTATCTGCCCCCGCCGCAAGTTCACTGGCTACCTCTGCCGTCCCCTGTGGCGCAAGCCGTAGTTTTTCCAATGACCACAACAGATTCCCCATGGCTCCTCTGCCGAGCCTGGTCATACGCAACATCGTGAACATGTCCCATAGAGACCTGGCATGATTCCATTCACCCGCAATCGGGTAGTACCATGGAACCGGGTCGGGCCGCTCGGCAAGGTCGTCCTCATACTCGAGCACGAAGCCGGCGGCCTGGATAGCCGCAACTGCGTCAGATCGAGTAGGCATATTGACGATTCCGTTGCCGCGTTCGATGCCGAGACGGATAGCGCGGTGCTCTGGGTTGGAGGCATCGAATCGGTCGGTCATGACCCATTCATACACACCGAAGCGACTGCCCGGTTTGAGGACGTTGAATATTTGTTTATAAACGTCCTGGAGGTTGGGGGCATGGACGGTCGCTTCGATGACATAGACCGCATCGAATGTATTCTTGGGGAAATTCAGATGCTGGACATGGTTAGCAGGAGTCCAAAATTGTGGTGGTTATGGCTGTCTCACCATAAAGTCACCCTTAAAGAAGGAGACCTGCTTATCCAACCCAGCTCTTTGTGAGTGTTTTGCTGCACGGGAAATTTGGTAGCCATTGTTGTTGACACCCACGACATGGCAGCCAGTGAACCGGGCCATCTCTCTTGCCGGTCCCCCAACGCCACAGCCAACATCTAGCACCTCCATACCCTCTTCGATACCCAACTTATAGGCTAGATAATGCTCATGGCGTGTGATTGCCTGAAGAAAGGGCTCACCGATGGTGAAGCGGCAGAAGTGGAACGACTGTGCCCAGGCTTCTTCATAAAAGTCCGTGGCAAGGTCATAGTAGCTGCCATATCGAATGATTAGTGGCTGCTAGAAAAGAAGAGGAGGAAAACACACTTGTTCACCACGCCCATATACTCCGACCTCCGCTCTTCTCGCGCTTCGTCGGTGGTGGCGTCCGTGCCATCCGCGGCTTTCCAGCGCTGCACATATTCGTTCGTGGTTTCGCGATGAGCAACATTATCCTTATTCAGCATAGCAAAGAAGGCGTTCTTCTGGTCTACAGATTTTCCGTGCATCGCTTTTGTCCAAGCAAGGTCAGCATCGTCTTTGAGGAGAACGGCCATATTGGAGCCGAGTGTGAATGAAAAGAGAAATGAAACCCCTTGAGAGCAGCCGGCAGGCGGTAATGGCTAGAAGAGAACAGGGTGAAGTTCAGATTGATGGTGAATAAAAGGTAAAGACCTCCTTTTTATTGAGAGGTAAGCAGCTCATAACAGTATGTACAGGGTGTAGCGGACATCACAGTACCCCTGCTCGGGAAAAACCATCCGTAATCGTACCATTGCCTCTTTGCTGGAATTAGTTAAGCCTGTTGAGACGGCACCAAAATATTTAGTGCAACTAGCCTCGTGGATGTACTTTTGATCGAGGTATGGAGTATATAAATGCTATACATGGTCAGCAGGCTTCGTTACATAGCCTCACGTATCAAACCCGCCTACTCAGAAATATGATAAACTTCATGCTGATCTGAACCTGAGACTTCAACTTTGCAAGCGCAGCATAAAGTTCTGGGGCGTTTAAGCTTAGTTCAACGTTCATAACCTTACCAAAGTAATCTTACTCCGCACAAAGTAGCAATATAAGTAGTGAAGTCACATAGCATTACTCTAGCCGGTGACGAGCCCATACCTGCTTTGCCCTGGGACACCAAGCATAGAAGTCAAACGGGTGGTTCGACATCAGCTCGTCAACCTCACCCAGTGCGTGTTATGGAATTGCATCCAAGAACCCAACGTGCGAATCTCCTAGAGCATAACCATCGCAGCAAGAAGAGCGTAACCCGGTTGAGCGTCAACTGTGCGTTCTTCTGTGGGAAGTCGTGCTTACGTCAGGTAAAGTCATCATATACTGTTACTATATAGTATATAGGGATTAGTAGTATCGTAGTATAATAGTATAATAAGGACTAATTATGCCAAAGACTTCTATGAGCCAGTCCTTATGCTACAGTTGAACCTCTGGCAGTGATTGACTCCATCCAATAACCGCCATGCTGTAATCATCTCAGGTGAAATGTCAAAAGCCTTATATGGGTGATTATCCTTGCTTACTCAAACTGATTTTCCAGTTTAGTATGGTAAGCACTTTTCTTTCGCAAGATTGGACCGTATCGATAAAAGAACCATGGCAGGGGTGCCAAACCCGTCGCAATAAAACCGAGTAGACTTGTACCCCACCCAATACCAAGCGTTCCATATAAGCTGCTCGCAAAGAGAGGGAAAGCGGCACCAAATAAACGGAGAAGCACACCACTGGCAGCTATAGCACTTGCCGAGTATTCGCCATAACAATCAGTGAGGTATGCAAAAACGTCTAGAAATATAGTTAGAGACCCTCACGGTACCGGCTCGCCAAGTCAATATTCTGAACGACGAGGCCCTGACGGGCTGCTTTTGTTTTCAGCAGTTTTGTGCGATATGTCTCAGGTAGAAAGAAGATGGCAGCAATATAAACAACGCCACCCAAAATCATCGATGTCCAATATGTCCTATTCAAAATCCGTTAGCGATGCTTCAATAATATCTGTATAGTAAGCTTACCATTGCCAGGATAAATAATTAACTATAACACCTCCAATAATTGGGCCAATAATCACTGTTAGAAAGCTTGCAGCTGAAAAAATGGCCCAAGGAACCGAACGCTCGGATGGGTGCCACATGTCTGTGATAGAGCCTCCCGCATTTGTGACTATGTATTATGTGTCAGAATTACATTTTTGCTCTCTTTCTCTGTTCTGAGTTGAGTGCCTTACCAGTTGGAGCTCCAAAGAATCCTGCTACGTACCGGAGAGCAAGATGAGTCTTGATATCACGAGTCAATGCGCATCCAAGGGGAACTTTGCTTCCGCCTTTGGTTTTGAAAGAAACGGGCATTGGAAATAGTCGATAACTGGTTGGAAGTTCTTCATCCCCGGCCACCTAGTGCAGCAATTCATTTCCGCCCGAGACTCATCCTCTTGGTTTCGGGGGGACGTGTCGATCGATGGCCTCTGCCAAGCGGTGAGGTCGACTCTCCGGTTCGTCGGGGCTGCAGTCCCTTGTGTGCGGGTATCAGGCTTTAATCTTGAAGTAGATAACTATGCAAGAGAAGGTCAAAGAAAGGGAGAAGCAGAAAGTATACGTATAAGCATAGGTGTATAAATCCTTTACAAAGCCGATAGTGAATAATATTTGGGGATGGAGTACCTAAAGGAAGAGCAGGGGATAGCAGAGAAATATGCATACCTTGCAAACCAGGCAAGTGAATAACGTACATAGTATAAGGGGAGATGCTGCTGAGCCTACCCTCTACGAACCCGTTGCGGGTATGTCTAGGCCATGGTGCACACAAAGATTTTGGTCTCATTACTCTTCGCCTTCAAGGTGACGTGCCTGGCCTGGAAGTATGGGACGAGCTCACTGGGCGGTGGGTAAGTTTTCATATCATGGCCTTCGTCGGGCACGATCGGTGCTCACAGATTTATAGGGCAACCCGGATTTCATCGTTGTATGCCGCAAGTCTTGCAAAGATTCTGCTGAGGATGAGAAGTATTGCCCTGTGTCTGTGGAGGATTATGTTCGTGGCAAATATCAAGAGGTCTATCATCGTGGTGGCGTTTACAGTCTTCAGAAGAAATAGGGTGTTGACCTGGCTCTGTGGGACTCCAATCCTAGGCCCATCCGCAGCGTTTCTGGTACCTGATTTCTTCTACCTGGTTCAAAATCGTATTCTTCATAGTTTCGATCTACCCAAAGTTGCTATTCAACCAAAAAGGCGAGCCCACTGTTTTAGCAGAGACTAGTTATACATTTGACATTGGCTTACACTCTTCGGGTGTCTCTTACCGCCGCGTAGTGAATAGAGCTGGTGCACGCACTAGTAGTCTAAGGGTAAGATCTAACATTCCCAATGTTAGGACCCGGGTTCGAGTCCCGGCTGGTGCAGTTTTTTTGCTCCGGCTCACAGACTTCTTTATTCTTATAGTCTTATTCTTATAGATGCTATAGTCTTGCTGTTATATACTGTCTAGTCCTGCTGTTATAGATACTGTCTATAGTCTTTAGTTATGTGTTCTGATATTGGCTGTTGGTATAGCGTGGACTATACGAGCCTCGCCTCGACCCCTGAACGCTTTGCTCCCAATCACGACTCCGGCCTTCTCCATGTGTTGGACGGAGATAAAGAGAAGAAGAAGAAGAAGAAGAAGAAGAAGAGAAGAAGAGAGAGAGAAAGACGTTAAATAGTCGTCTTGGTCGCTCGTCTTGTCGTGTCTTCTGTGTCTTCTTCTTCTCCTCATATACAGAATATACCCAAGATACAAGATGAAGCTGAGCGTCCTGCTGATGGCTGTGACGGTGGCCGCCGCGCCCGCTGGCCATGGCCCTTCTAACGTGGACGTCGACGTCGGCGTGCGGCCAGGCTTCCTGGTCAGCCTGATGCCCGCCGGCCCGCTGAAGGAGAAGCTCGCGTCGTGCGCCAGCAACAAGAACATGAGGCTGCACAGCTCCGACTTCACCATCAGCCATCGCGGCGCGCCCCTGCAGTTCCCAGAGCACACCAAGGCCGGGCTGGCAGCGGCCGCCCGCATGGGCGCCGGCATCCTCGAGTGCGACGTCGCCTTCACCCGCGACCGCCAGCTCGTCTGCCGCCACTCCCAGTGCGACCTGCACACCACGACCAACATCCTCGCCGTGCCCGAGCTCGCGGCCAAGTGCACCCGGCCCTTCACGCCCGCGGCCGGTGGCAGGCCCGCCTCCGCGCTCTGCTGCACCAGCGACATCACCCTCGCGGAGTTCAAGAGCCTCTGCGGCAAGATGGACGGCTTCGACCCCAAGGCCACCACCGCGGCAGAGTACATGGACGGCACCCCGAAGTTCCGGACGGACCTCTACGCCTCCACCTGCGGCGAGCTCTACTCCCACAAAGAGTACATCCGCATCGTCGACGGCTACGGCCTCAAGTTCACGCCCGAGCTCAAGGCCCCCGAGGTCCCCATGCCCTTCGAGGGAGACTACACGCAGGAGGAGTACGCCCAGCAGCTCATCGACGAGTACCGCGCCGCGCGCATCCACCCGGACCGTGTCTTCCTCCAGTCCTTCTCCATCCAGGACATCTACTACTGGAACACGCATGCCGCAGACTACGCCCGCCAGGCCATGTATCTCGACTCCCGCCCAGACACCCCCGAGGGCGCCAAGCAGGCCACCGCCTCCATGGCCCAGCTGAAGCAGAGCGGCATCCGCACCCTCTCGCCCGCCTTCCACGCCCTGCTCAAGCTCGACGCCAACAACCAGATCGTGCCCTCCGATTACGCCGTCGCCGCGAAGAAGGCCGGCATCAAGCTGACCACCTGGTCTCTGGAGCGCTCCGGGCCGCTCAACAAGGTCAAGGCCAACAAGGACTTTTACTACTCTTCCATCGCAGCGGCCATCAAGGACGACGGTGACATCTACCGTGTTGTCGACGTCCTCGCCAGAAAGGTTGGTGTTGCTGGCATCTTCTCCGATTGGCCTGCCACCGTCTCCTTCTACGCCAACTGCTTCGGCCTCTGAACCTTCTTTGCACATATAAAGGACTAATTATTAGGACCACTAATTATTAATGGGGTTTTTTTTTGTTGTATATAATGTCTATTATAATTCCCGTCTATTGAATGCAGGCTCTATGTATATACAGTAACAGCTACCCGTACAGCCGTGAAATCTCCTCCTCGCTGAACTTCCTCGTCTTGCGCCTCAGCATCGCGGCCCGCTCCTCCAGCGTCATGGTGATCTGCTCTTCGCCGATGGGCACCAGGCACCGCGCGAGATACATGTAGTCCTTCTGCAGCAGCTTCACCGTCATCATGATATAGTCGATGTTGCGGAACACCAGAGCCTGCTCCCTCGCGTACCGTGCCCGCTGCGACAGCAGGGCCACCGGATGCTCCCGCCAGTGCCGTCGAGGGTTCAGATGGTGCGACGTGTGGTACCCGTCGTTGAAGCAGAACCGATTACTCTATTCCCGTTAGCTCTTCTCTTTTTTTTTTTTTCTTTCATTCATTCTCTTTTGATTAGCAAGAGTACGTACCGGCACGTCAATAAGAGTGATGCTGGAGCGAAAGTCAGACGTAGGATCGACCTCGTCCACCAACGCATGCTGTCCCCAGTTGCCCACCATCATCGCAATCCTCATCACCAGCAGCGGAAGCAGGAACACAAACACCGTCGCCCGCGCATTCACCATGGTAAACAGCAAGCCCAGCACCAGATAGTTGCTCACCTCCCAGCCAGCGGCCTTGCCCGCCATCGCATACTTGCCCTTCTGCACAAAATACACCGGCAGATCAATCCACACCAGAAACAGGAACCGGCCCACGTACGCTAGAAAGTCGACCAGCTCGTCTCGCCGGTACCGCAGAGTCGACGACCGGTCCTCGGGCCCGTTGCCTTCCACATGGTGGTGCTTGACGTGGTGGTAGTAGTACGAATTCCACGTATGGCCCATCAGCGGATTGGTGATGTAAGGGAACAGCACGTCGAACAGCCAGAGCTTCCGGTTCAGGATCCCCCCCATGTGTATGTGCTGGTGCATCATGAGCGTGTACGTGCCCATGTACCATGTCTGCATCAGCCAGTGCGCCACCCCGTGCAGCCAGCTGAAGTTGTAGAATAGCATCACGGCGCTCGGGAGAGACGTGCCAAAGTACAGCATCAGATGCGTTAGCATCGCTACGTCCGTTTCCACTCGTACCAGCCGCCGGGCCTTCGCGATGTACGGCCTGATAAGCCATTGCTGGATAAAACGAGGGAACGGTAGTCGCTGTGTGTCCCAGGTGACAAAGACGGTAGGATCGAAGTCATCGTGTCTTGGATCGTTCAGATTTCTCAGGTGCTCAATGGTCTCTTTGTCCTTGACGTCCTCTTCGTCTGCGTCTTCTGCGTCTTCCTTGCTTGCGGTTCCTTGGGAAAAAGCCTTAGCACTCGCGGTCAAAAAGATTAAAAAGAAGAAGCCGGCCGTAGGAAACTTACCATTGCTTATCTCTCGTCTGCTACGGCTTGTATTCGATCCATTGGCATGGCCATTACTCGTCTTCGACCTCGCCTGTGTGTCTTCGATCTCTCGCAGCAAACACTTGAGAACCAAGAGATCCGGCTGCGTCAGGTTTGGATCAACATACGTCGCTGGATCCATTGCGAGCGACACGAACCTGATCAACAGGGATATTCACGATTAACAAGCAAGGTAAAAGAAAATACGTAAATAGAAAGACAAAAAAAAAAAAAGGGAAGAAGAAGAAAACCCCTTTTTCTCTTATGATCCTCCGATCCTGGTCTCAGGCAGCAGGATTACAAAAGAACAAGCTGCAGGAAGAAATTGAAATCGTCTAACAAAACGTCATTGCTCTCCCTTTCGCTCAATAATACCCCAGCATAAGAAATAGCAGTAAGAAACAGGCCAGGCATGGCAGCCACTGGCTGCGGCGAGGCAGAAGGGGACATTTTCGGCGAATGTTCATTTGCTATGGCCCGTCTGTTAATTATTGAAAGCGGATCAAAGGGGGCCAATCGTGGTGCTGTGGGAATCGCTAGGTCGAGGCCCCTGATCCATCAGGGGTGCTGGCTATGTAATATCTGATCCAGCGTACGGAGTAGACGTATGAAGACGGAGAAGTAGTTACAGGTTATAAAGAGATGAAGATGACGATGTGGGAGCTATGGTCGTCCTACATATACAGGACATCTGAAATTGGCCATCTATCCAGATCTTGATATTAAAAGAACTTCTCCCTATTCCTCGTCTGAGCTATCTTCTTCAGCAGTGCTGCTGGGAGGCGAAATATACACAGGCCCACATCTGCAGTCACCGCATATCTCTTCAGTGTACTGTTCCTCGGGGAGGATGGTGATGTTTTCTTCGGCACAGTTTCCATCGCAGTTGGTGCTATCCCGTCTCAACGTAAACTCGCAGCCGCAGGCGTAATGAAGCACCCATTGTTCACACATTCTTGGCCTACCAACCTGTTAGACTGTGCCAGCTCTGCATTGTTCTGCAAAGGAAGTCTTACTTGCCAAAGGATGGAAAGATAGAACTGTTTTTGTAGATTCTAGACAGGTACAGCTTGGTTAGTTATTGGACAGAATACATAAGCTGGGATATTCGCACAGGCTACTCACTGTTCAGTGTTCGCAAGAAAGCTGAGTGGGTGTCTGCTAACCTAAAGGAAATAAGAGGACGACCAACTTTTATAAAATGAAGCTTGGGAATCAGCTGCTTCTCAGTGAAGGACGTTCAGCCCTTGGATGGCAGCATCCGGAACCTGCTATCTCCCCTCCTGATGGAAGTTCCCTATAGATGAGCTAAACATCTTCCAACAAAATCAAAAGTATGCCAGGAGATTAGAACCTTGTGGAAGGTAATAAGCTTATAGTACAACATCCATTGGATGATGGCATTGTCTTACTGCTGAAAGATTGTTCATTCATCCCCCTTGGTTGACCGAAACGCCTCTATCAGCGCCTCTGCCTCCTGGGGATTGATCGCCTCTTCCAGCATCTCATGAGCCATCTCGACAGTCTCATCGACAATTCCGGCTTCCAACAACAGCCCTTCACTGAATGCCAAACGAGTCAAAACGACCAGGTGCTTTTGCACCGCGCCTGGCACCGCGCGTAGCCGTGAAGGCAGGTCAACCTGGTCGGGAAACAACTTGATAATACCGTACACCAAACGAGTCAGACCGTTGACAATGGCTGCGTGGAGTTCTCGTTCAGGCGGGTTCGAGTACAGGGCATCGAGCTCGTCGTGCATGGAGCGGAAGGCCCGGGCTAAAGCACTGGGGTGGGAAGCAATCATTTTACCTATGCGGTTCTGTTCTGGATCCGGAGTTGAGAATGCAATTTCATTTAGGAACATCGTCACCTCAACACGTAGGGTGCTGATCTCCCAGCCTGTATATGGTTCCTCGCCCTCGTCGGAAGAAGGCAGTTCACTGAGAAGATTAGCCGCCCGGTCAATTATGTACTTTTCGTGCTCTAGTTGCTGAGACTCGGAGTCACAGATGGGGCCAAAGGTATTGGTTAATTGGCCGCAGGCTAGAATCTTTAACGTCAGGATGATATCGTTGAGCTGTTGGTAGGAATTTAACATTATGAGAATAAAGTCATATCCCACGCATCGCCAGAAGAGCTCCAGCGCTTGCCGGTTTTGCTGGCAGCCGCTAACGATCAGATAGAGTATTTCAAGTGCCTCCGTGGAGCTGACGCGGTGATCCAGCTTTTTCTGCGGTGTTTTCTTGACTTTTCCCAGGTTTTCATGCGAGACAGGAGAACTGGTAAATCTGGGCACTCCATTTATGTATCCGGAATTCTGTAATACCGGCACGACCGATTCGATAATGCATGGAGCAAGTTTATGAAGATCCAAGTGGAGTATGAATTTTACTATTGACATGAACATGGCAATAGGGCTATGAAAATGCTCCTTTAAAGACCGAGACCATAACGAAGCTATGGCCTTAATATAGTCAACCGCATAGTTGTCGGAGCTGTGAGCGGTAATCGATTGTATGACAATCGATGAAAACTTGCGGTCCGGGTCAGATGGGAAAGACATGCTCGAAAATACTTCCATATCCGGGGCTTTCCTAGGGTATGTCCGGTGATTGAGTATAAGGCGCATAAACCGCATATTACGGTCTTCTCGCTTGGGTTGCTGCTGACGCTCTTCAGCGGTCTCTTCTTCAGGAGTTGCATCATTTCCAGTATCGTCAGCAGTAGCCCCGAGAGACTGGCTAAGCTCGAGCGCAATAGGTATGGGGGAATCATCAACTACTACACGTTTCCGCTTGTTTGACGTCACTGGAGTTCCACGTTTAGACCTCCTTCCGGCAGATTTTGTAGGGGACACCATGAGCTCGTCATCATCAAATCCATCCCTAAGGGGCAATGACTTGCTTTTCCGGGGCGTGGTAGGGGGCTTATCATCCTTGGGCTTGCTTCGAAAGTTATGCTGCAGTTTGGAGGCTCGATAGGCCTCTTCTTGCAAATCATGCTTAAGAAATCCATTCTCAGCAACGAGCCGTTTGCTCTCCATCAAAGCAGCTTCAATCTCAGCCCGGTACTTCTTGGTTTCCTCATCCATGGCATTTTTCAGGGCAGTAATTTGACGACTGTGGTTCTTCTCAATCTTTACCTGGTTGGCCCGTATGATGGCAATTTCTCCAGCTCGTGCCTCCTCCGAAGCTGTTGCGGCTGCTAGCTCTTGTGCCAGCCTTTCTCGCTCCCGGGTGAGCTTTTGTTTTTTCATAGATGGTTAGAGACCGTCGTATACTTTACGATAACTGTAATCGATGAGCCCATACCTGTTCAATCTGATCTTTCAGCTCCTCTAGCTGTACAGACTCGAACGCATTTGCGGTGAACGAGGTTTCAGCATGACTTTTTGTTAAGCCTTGTACCTGCAAAGGTTCCACGGTCACGCCGGGCTCATCCGCCGTAATTCGACGCCATTGCCCCGGCGCAAGGGATGTGCTGGCATAGACCGCTTGCTGGCCTCCTCCTTCGCCAGATTCTCCAGGAGTTTCGAGCAATGCATCCTGTTCATCGACCAAGTCTAGTCCGTCGTCCTTATCGAGTATGCTAGTATCCCACTGTTGATAATCGGTATCACCAAAGCTCAGCGCAGGTCTGAGGTGCTGAGAGGGATTCCGCCGTCTCTTCCTCTGTTCAATAGTGCTGCTTGACGTGTTGCTGGTGGAATATCGAAGTAGCGAAGGCCTGACAGGCCGCGCTGGAGGCTGTTCTATAGGTGGCGCAACAGCCTCTTGCTGCGTTGTCCGATATGCGTCTTGTTCGAGCTCAAGGAGGGCATCGTACGCCGAGTCGTCGACCCCGTCGTCCCAAAAGGTATCGTCCTTATCGTCCTCCATCCCATCGATCCAGCCCTGTCTGCTTCATCCCAGGCGCGACAACAATGCGATTGCTCAAGAGAAGGATCAAAGGGGCAGTTCTGAAGGGGGCGCAGGGTTTCCGACTTCAGCTCTGACCCTTGCCTGGCCCTTCTGATTGGAGCCCTGCTGGTCTTTGGGCACTTGATAATCGACAAGTCCCCTTGATGCCTGGCGATACTTCACATAAGAGTTGTTGTCTTGTAGGATCGGAGGTCGTAGTTCGTAGTCGGGCTGACCAATCTATGTAAACTAAATACAATCCTGGGCGCGAAAGTTCCACCCAAAAAATACATCCTAAAATCACCAAGTTGACTATGAGGAATCACGGTTTCACCATCAGTCGTCCTGTCCGTCTCTTCCAGCTAGATACTCCCAGTTTCTAACCTGCTACGGAGACAAAGGAGAAATCGCGCTGTCTAGGTATGTTATATCCAGCTTCTTGTCTCCCCTGAGGGTCCCTCGTGTGCTACAAAAACCTCCCGAGAACTGCCCACATTTACGGGGAGAAATAAAGTCCGCATAGCTAACTCTTTAGCTAGAATACATAGATTGATGACACGGACGAGCTACAAGGACTAAAGAAGATCAAAACATGGGCAAAAGCAGGAGGAATCTCCGCGCGCAAGATCCTCTCGCTACCAGCCCCGAGGCTACGAACTATCCTTCATCGGAAGACAGCGACGCTTCGGAAGCCCAGAGCCCTAGCAGAGAGGATACCAGCTTGATACCTGAGAAGATGGCGGTTACGGTATGCGGAGCCCCCGGGATGCATCTAATACAAATGTTATTATTACCAGCTTAGATGTTGTTCCTTTCTCTGACCTGCTCGTTTGATGTATATATAGCAGACCAAATCTGAAAAAGAGCGGCCGCAACAGGCTCTCTCCGACTTCGAGAAGAAAAGACAGACCTTTATCACACGAACAATATGGACATTTGTCATGATTGCCGGCTTCTTTGTTATCATCTTTGCCGGCCATCTTTACCTAATCATCGTTGTTACCGCCGTCCAGATTGTGTCCTTCAAGGAGGTCATTGCGATAGCCGATGTCCCCAGCAAAGCCAGGAACCTCAAGTTCACAAAGTCCCTGAACTGGTATTTCCTTGTGACAACAATGTATTTCTTATATGGAGAGAGTGTTCTCTATTACTTCAAGCACATCCTACTTGTTGATAGGATTCTTCTCCCTTTTGCCACGCATCATCGGTTTATTAGCTTTATGCTCTATCTCATAGGTGAGTCTGGACATATAGATATATACGCAGCATAGTGTATTAGGCTAATATAACTCTAGGCTTCGTCTTCTTTGTTGCAACTCTGCAGAAAGGGCACTACAAGTTCCAGTTTACACAGTTTGCCTGGACACACATGGCCCTATATCTCATTGTGGTTCAGGCACACTTTGTATTGAACAATATCTTCGAAGGGCTGATCTGGTTCTGTATCCCAGTCTCCCTTGTGATCACAAACGATATCTTCGCCTACATCTGTGGAATCACTTTTGGCCGAACACAGTTGATTAAGCTATCCCCAAAGAAAACCGTCGAGGGCTTCGTCGGCGCCTGGATCTGTACTGTTATATTCGGTTACGGTGCGACTATAGTCCTAAAGCAGTATAAATACTTCACATGCCCGGTCAACGACTTGGGCTCCAACCTCCTAACAGGCCTTGAGTGCACCCCAAATCCTTGCTTCCGAGCACAGCCATATACCATGCCGGAATGGACTCACATTAACAAAACATTCCATATTGCCCCAGTGCAATTCCATGTTTTCGTCCTTTCGACATTTGCGTCCCTTATCGCTCCATTCGGCGGCTTTTTCGCCTCAGGGTTGAAGCGTACTTTCAAAATCAAAGACTTTGGAGAGTCTATTCCTGGCCACGGTGGTATTACTGACCGAATGGACTGCCAATTCATCATGGGTCTGTTTGCCTACATGTATTACCACAGTTTTATCGCCGTCCACAAGGCTAGTGTTGGAGGAGTCATCGAAAACGCCATCACTGGTTTAACGGTTGACGAACAAATAGAGCTTATCAAGGGTTTGAGCAAGTACTTATACAACCAAGGTGTTGTCTCTGAATCAGTGAGTTTTCTGCTTTCCCTATAGTTCGACTGAAGACACAAGTTCACTAACATATCTGTAGCTTGTGGAGTGTTTGAATGGAGACTACAGACGACTCCGCCGGTGATGTTTTTTTTTTCTCTCTCTGATCCTAGAATGGATCCCCGGCCGCGATGTCCACAGATTGCAGACCCTTATTACGACATGTTCTTTTATCCCATCAACTTGTACCTACTTTGGAGATTTTGGGTCTCCTTTAATCCTTTTTATTGCATCTTTTTATTCTCATCATCACCAACTCCCAAAAAGATAACCGGTGCATTACAATACTGTATAGGCTTCTCATTCGAACGTGGATCATTTTCCATTACATTTCTTACAAACCTTTTCTCTCATACTTTTGATGTGTCTTTAATATCACGGAAGTTCGATGAGTGCTTGTTTCTTCTCACGAAACGAAAATATCTCTGCTTTTTAATAAATACTTGCTCTGCATTTTCTCGTGTTCTCTTCTATCCCGTCCTTTCATGTATTCTCGACTCATTATCTTTCTACTATAACCATCCTCAGTCCACCAGAAGCAATTGTTTGTGTGGCCTGAGTAAAAACATTGCCCATCTTGTAAAACTATGTCCAAACTGATGGCCCAAAGATGGTTGACTGTATGGAACATACAGTTATTTCTCACGGGGTGTTGACCTGTACCATCAAGGGCCTTCACGGCTGGGATATGAATAAGGCATTGCTAATCAGCGCTTACTACTTCAACTTTTCAGATAATCTGCCACGCTCCAGGAGACCTCTAACCCTTGATATTTGATTTCGAAGCCCCAAAGTCGGATCGGCTGTTATGATGGCTCTAGGGAACAAACGGTAACATGTACCCGGCATATCTATGCCTTCTGTGCTTCTTCCCCACACAGAGATGGCTCATGGATAACTCTCTCAGTCAATCTGGTTTGCCGGCCGGACAGCGTAGACCAGTGCAGCCGTTAAGCTGGTACGAGGCTTAAATCCTGTTGTACTGTGATTTTCTGTCCCTCGCAATGTTTATTCTTCCACTTCATATTCTTCCATTTCAACCTTGAAATATTCGGCCACCGTCTCACGTTCTGATTGTGCCTGCTCAGGGTTCAGCATGAATCGTATCGCAGTGTCCCTGCTGCGTTCATTGGCCTTCGCAACAGAGTCATGGGCAGCAGTAGGCATCATCGGGTTCACGGGCGGAGCAACATGTACGGTAGATGTATCGTGGTTATCTTTATGTCGGTGATGACTATTTTTAGACTTCTTTGAAGAGGTCCCGTTCGATACTCCGTTACTTTCCGCCTTTCTCTTCTTCCAGTAAGCAAATCGGGGGATATTGTTGGCGTCTGCTTCCTCATTCAAAGGGATACGGATGTTCAGGAACAGGTCAAGGCTAAAGTCAGGGCCAACTGAAGTTGATGCACGGTTATGTGTGTATAGTTCGAGTAAATCGAGGATTGTTTCTGAGAGATTACCAGGTCAGAATAGCAACTTAAAAAGAGTAAAAAAGAAGCAAGGTTCAGAAGATTCATACCCATGACCTCTGCACGTGAGGTTTCCCATAGTTTATATTCGTCCTCAGACTGTATTTTCTCTACCGGTTCCTTGAGAAGCCTGCCTGCTAGCTCCAGGCAGGCAAAGGCCATTGTAGCCGATGTTTGTTTAAGCGGGGCAAAAGTTCTATACAGGTCCAAACTGATAGTATAGGCGATTCGTCCGACTTGCGAATCTTTACCGAGGCCGCATTGCCTTGTAAGTTTCATCAGGACCTTTTGAGGGTGACGGTTTCGAAAATCGAATCCAGATGATTCTAGCATCAGCCTCTCAAGGCCAATGATGGCCCGAGAATGCGTCTCGAAAAGCTGTCGATATGATAGTTAGACAGAGAGAACAGCGACATCTGGGGGCAATTAGAGACCTCATGATATCAGGGCAAGACATACAGGATCATCTGCAGATAACTGCTCTGTTGGAGGGAGCTTGAGATTGTACGAGCAGCACAGGATGTCTCTGGATTTCTTTAACGTGTCTTCGATCTTACACGCAGTAAATAGCGCAGCCGCAGCCGCTTCCTGTACGTGGAACTGTGAGCACAAGAGCCCCAAAGAATATCTGTTGATATTGAGAAAAATATAGCAAAAGAACATACTATGTAATTATACTCATTGTCCGGATGGACCAGGCGAAACTTGTGGTAATAAATAGACGCTGTGTTGAACGTCCGGACAGGCCTAAACATATCAATCAGCAATCGAACAAAATAACTGGAGGACCAGTCAGAATGGATAAAATCAGAGTCACAAACAGATGAAGAGCCTTTCGAACGTTATCAATCCAGGTAATTCCCTGGAGCCGATTGCTATCTTCCCGAAGAGAATTTACCCCCGTAGCTGCAAAACAATCTTGGACCGTTTTCTCAAAGATATACGGATTTGCGACCTGTATAAAGGATGGATGAGGTGCTACAGGGGGGCCGTCTGCTTGCTGCGCTTCCGGAGTCCCCTCATTCACCGTTGGCGACATCTTTTAATGTCGTGGATTAAAGCATTCGAATCAAATGTATTTGCCGTTGAATTATAGCTTTCTCTCTTTACAGAAACATTTAAAGCTTGCGGCAAAATTGACGCTGGCGGGAAAAAGTAAGTCCGGTTGCCGCCCGTCTAATTTGCGCGCGCTACTTCGAGGTCTTCCTATCTCTATCTTGATTAATTTCTCTTTACCATTACCATTACTATTCTGATATGTGGCTTATTTACAACAGTTGTAGTATTTCAGCAGGTGATGTTTCTATTCACTGCTTTCAAGTACCTGTTTTCCTACAAACCACAGCTAGGACATTCCTATACCCCAAGGCCGGCTGCCTGAAACCTCTCAACGTTATGTCTGGCTACCTTCGCCCTGCTCAATACGTGCCCTCTTCAGATGTTTCTCAGACTTGGTATGGTTAGCAAGCGCAAGGGCATCGGCAAAGGCACGATTGCATGGCGAACAGAAATTATGTCTCTCCCGCTCCTGGTGATCTTTCAGGATTTTCAGCTTTGCCGCCGCAAAGAGACACCCCCTTGCTGTGCACTTGTGAATATGTGACGTTGCCACATGCGCCTCGAAGTTGGCCTGGCTACCCAGGACCTCATCACACTGGCCACAGTAGCTATGTTGGGTCGCTCGCTGATGTTGCTCCAATTCTTGCTGAGTTGGAAACACCTCCTGGCAGGTTGGACACGACATACGCATATGATACATGCGGTTATGCTTCCTTTGGATGCTTTCAGCTTGGAAGTAGCAGCAGCATGTACCGCAGAAACTGTGCTCTGTCTCTTCCTGGTGACTCAATAGTTCACTGGGGCTGCTGAGGGCTATATCACATGTGGGACACCTGAAATTATGTGCCATCTTCATATGTTTATCCAGGAACCTCTCATCCGCGAAATAGGCACAACATAGACTACAATAATTGTGACCTTCCATCATCTGATGATGCTGGAGGCCAATTATTGTATCGAAGCCTGCTTCACACTGAAAACAGATGATTCTATGGCCTGTTGTCGGCGTAGACGTTAAACTAGCAGGACTACACAAGTGTTCTCTCCCGGATGACTGAGTCAGGCTACTCGCTGACATAGACTCCGAAGTACTGCACCTCCGGGATCCCCTTTTTTCTGGTAGAGCCCGGCTTGGTTTCGTATCTAGGAGAGCCTGAGCAGGGCGGCGACGTATAACGAAAGCTTTGAAATTATCAGTTGCGATCTTTGTTTGGCCCCCTGCGTCATTCATCTCATCATCATCAAGGTCAAGGAGGTTCCCAACAACTGGTCGGACTATGTTCCGTGCTGTCGTAGTCCAGGCTGAAGCGTCGCTGGGGCCATCCTGAACACTGGAAAAATGGTCTGAAGATGCGTGATGACCTAATATATTACTGGTGCCAACCCAATCTCCATCCAGGGGCGTTTCTTTGGTAGCCACCTTCGTCATCTCCTGGCTCTGAACATCCCTACACTAACATTAGCTTTGATTTTCAAAGTACCTTGACAAAACACATACTCATCCACCGAATGCTTATATCTAATATGCCATCGAAGGCTAGGCCAACCACTAAATCCTAGGTGACATTCCGGGCATATTATAGTATTTCCCTTGCATACATGCGTTTTGTAGGCCGTGTCCGAGGCCATCGGTAGCTCGCAGCTCTCACAGTGCACCGTTTGGAAAGATATATGGTTCGGGCTCTTATATTATCCTCATATAATGATATACTTGGGGCTCGAAATGTGGTAGATAAAACCGTGGCTCTCGGAGCCTTGGAAAGTATAATAACGCTGCCCTAGTTAGAGGAACTTAACAGAAAACACTCTTCGCTTTATACGGGGCGACAGGAGGAAGCAGCCTTTGTTGATTAACCCTTAAAGAAACTCAGAAGCTCACAGCTCAAATTGCAGTGAAAGGGAATATTGATGAAAGGAGCACAGCCTGGAATAGGAACAATAACAATATATCTGCAGGACAGGAGGGTATCTAGTAATTCCTTATTTACTTAATTTTCCAATGTTATGCCTCTCTGTCTTCTCGGATATGTTTACTCTATAGAGAAATCCTATCTCTGTCACTGTACACATAGCCGGTTAAACCTTCCCTACTCTCTTGTTTAAACAAGGATTAAACAAGGACACCTTGATGTCACAGATCTGTTCACTTGCTGCATACAAGACTGTCATATTCCACCTTTATTAAACTTTAATATACAACCAGCTTCGCCCTCAAAACTGGTAACTATCAAATAATGACATCATACAAACATTACAGTCAAGTATATACACATATGGCATCAATTAATTAAAATATTCATAGATAACTCCATTTCTCTAGATAAAAAGGTGCGGGATAACTTGAACACCATGGGGCTCCCCCCTGACGCCGATATCTACCCAACTGCAACCGGCCTGGCCAAGAAGGTTGTAGACAGGCATTCTCGCGAACAGCCACTTAAGCTATACGCAGCCTGGTTTTGCCCGTATGTTTCAACTTTCATTTAAAATAGTGTAAAAGAACACCAGATCGTTCTTCATACGGTGGGTGCTTCTTTGATAGTTGAAAGGTGCTGACTCGAAAATAGGTTTGGTATGAGGATGCCCCTTTAGCCCTACAAGAACATACAACGATGACCAACAGGATTAACATATAGTAGTGCAACGAGTATGGGTTGTCCTTGAGGAGAAAAATATCCCGTATCAATATATTGAAGTGAATCCTTATAAGAAACCGGCCTCGCTTCTTTCACTGAACCCACGAGGCTTGGTACCGACACTTGTCTGTCCAACGCTCCGGCCGGATGGGTCAACGGCTGCTAAGCCCTTGTATGAATCTCCTGTGATCAATGAGTTTCTTGAAGATGCATTTACCGACCCAGAGCGACCATTGCATCCGGCAGACCCGTTTCAAAAGGCAAGAGGGCGCATTTGGATTGATTATGTGACCTCGCGAATCACCCCGTCTTTTTATCGTTTCTTACAATACCAAGGTGATGATGAGGGGTTGAATAAAGCAAGGGAGGAATTTATAGGCCACTTGAAAGAGTTCACGCTTGCAATGGATGAGATTGGTCCGTTCTTCCATGGAAAGGAATTCATGCTACCGGATATAATGCTTGCACCACTAGCAATTAGGCTATGGGTCCTTAACCATTTTAAGAAAGGCGGCCTGGGGGTGCCGGCTCCTGGAGAAGGAGGGGAGGATGAAATTATTTGGAATAGGTGGAGATTGTGGATGGCAGAAGTTGAGACAAGGAAGAGTGTAGTCTCGACGACAAGTGATAAAGAACATTCTATTCCTATTTTTAAGCGATATGCAGACGATGTGGCCCAGAGTGAACTAGCAAAGGCAACAAGAGCTGGAAAGGGGTTCGTACCTTAACTGATTCTTGGAAATAGGAATACCGTGTAACAGATTTATATATGCTATATATAAAAACCTTTATTTCCCATATTTCTTTAATAGCCTTCGCATCGTAGACATGGCAGATAACCCATATCCTCCACCAAAAATCGCATTATGATTCAGTTGGTGATATCTAGTTTATACAAATGTCAGCGTTTGTCATATAAAACTGAAATTATAATGGAAAGAGTAGAACATTGTCAACTGACAGCTCGTATAAGTCGATCCGGTCTTCGTATTCATCTTCTGGCTCGGTTTTTGGTACAATCCGGTGGTATTCCTTATAGAATTGACCTCCGAATCCTCCAAACATTTTCATGATCCCTAGTTCAAACTCACTGTGCGCGTAGCAGGAGGATGGATCGTATACCACATCACCCGCCGCTTCTTCATCTTGCTCCTGAGATACTCTGCATATCTTCCCCACATCGGCGTTCCCGCTCCAAAGATCCCCATGGACGATAACAGGAACAATCGGCTTTCCATTTCCTTGCTTGTCAAATCCAAGGTGCCCATCACCCAATAGGCGAGGAACTACTTCTTTGGCCGTCCTCTCTACTAGGTCTCGTAAACCTTTATCCTGTCCGTTTCTCCTTTCAGATTCCTCAAGGACGGTCCTTAGCCGTTGATTAGCGTAGAAATCGGCCCACGAACGCCGAAATTTATTGGGCTGCTTCACATTCCCGCAGAATGTGGGTACAGGGAACCCAAACTGAGGAACTCGATCTCCCCCCTTCCCCTCTGCTCCATTGAGCTTGAAATCTGACATTGAAGCCTGTTCAACTTCTTCAACAGATGGAGGAGGTGGCGCCGGGGTAGAATGCAATTTCCCCAGTCGAACCGCTAGAGAGGTAGAGTTTGAAGCTGGCCGACGTCCAGCGCTGCCACCAAGCTGCAAGAATTCCGTGACAAGGAACCAGTTTGACCCATTTGCCTTGCTAGTTGAGGGTATTTCTTCAAACTCATGGTCAAAATCTTTAATTTCACCCCATGCAATTGCCCTTGGACATAGATTTGGGACGGCGCCAGATATTGCATTCAAGCTTATATATTCGCCTCTAAACATGGCTCCTTCGTCTGGCAATGGGTCAGAACCAGATGATGAAGTCCGGGTTGACGAAGATATCTTCACAAAATAATGTTTCTCCAGTCCTGTGCCGCTGCCGTCTTTATCTGGTGCCGAAGCCTTCAAGTGGCCTGTTTGGGCGAACCCTGACCCCCCATGGAGAGACTCAAAGGAGGTTCCAGAGCCGTCTAATGGGAGTGAAAGGGCCTGAAGGATGGATCTGGGAGCTCGACCTGTGGCGCGAGGCATATTTATTCAAGGTTATATTCAAGTATCTGTCTATAAAACAGTCCACTCGTTCAAATAGAGGTAGAGTATATAAGTTAACTATTGATTAAGTACAACATTTGATAAATAAGAATAATATCTTGGCTGCGCTATAAATGGTTTGTAATATATTTGAAATGGCATCTGTCCTCTCTACCTTCTATTTAACACACTGAAAGCCTGATAAATCTTACCCTTAAGACTATTTTACTTCAACTAAAAGGATATACGCATTGTGTACTGCCTTTGCCTGTATCAAAACTTATTGAAGCTATAAATTGACGGTACAAATAAAACTATGGCGTCGAACTTGATTATCGGCATGTAACTTCTCTTTCCTTATATGTATATTATCTGCTCTTCATTAACAGATATTATCCCAAGTGCCAACCGCGGGATTGGGCTTGGATTATCCCAAAAATTCTATGAAGAAGGTTGGGTAGTATTCGGTTCCATCCGGCCACAAACCCGTAATGACCACCCATAAACGACGTATTGTGGCCCACTACACGCTGTATAAAGTATGGACCTAACTAATACTTCAACAGCTGAAACGATGGGCCACAAATATTTTTGAAATTGGCTATCGTGTCGAAGCTTCAATTTCAGGAGCCGCTGAACAGTACGGACCTGGCCCACTTGACTGCCTTGTTAATTGTGCTGGTGAGAATATATCAATATTTCCCTTCACACAGGCGATGTTCATGAGCTGAAGGTAGTTTAATTATCTAGGAGTTAGCAGGGGCCCAGAGCCATAGACAGCATATGAAAGCTCGCTTCTCACTGAATGGTTTCAGATAATGGTTATTGGGCCTTATCTAGCTACAAAATACTTTCAAAAAAGCCTCGAGGCGAGCTCCGCTGGTAAAATCGTCAACATCTCCTCCATTCTCGGTTCCATAAGTTGTAAGACCCATGACCTTGGAGTGGTTGTATTGACTGAGCTAACAGAAGCAGTAACTAGTACCGGCGAGAAGTTCGGCTATAGGTTGGTAAAGGCCACTCTGAACCAACAAACACGTATAATTGCCATGGTTTTCAAAGAAGACGAAATTAATATTACTATGATGTCAATTCATCCAGGCCCTGTTCCAACTCTCCTTTCTAGATTGCAGGAAAGAATTTCGATTGATATGCAACTTTCTTCAGAAGTTTGGTTTGTTCTGTGACACAATGGAATGCCGCTCATTATCTCCAACTTCGAACATGAATTGGCCTGTCAGAATGTCGGTTGGCCACCCCGCCCTCTTCAATGCCTCCTCAGCCACCTTGACGAGTGTCAGGTCTGTGCCTAAGGTATTATTAGCCGACAAATGTCATATTGTGTGGGTACACACATTGGGGTAATACCTGGAGCACCGACGAGTGTGCTGAAAATAGGAGCATACTCAGTTTGGTTTGATACCCTGGACTTGTAGGGGTTCTGCCCGACTATTGGAATATTAGTGTCATTACCTCCTGCCTCCATATTGGCCATTACATACTGGGAACAACGATTTGGGGTACACCTAGCATGGACGTAAAGAAGGTCGGGTCTCCTTTATAAGGGCCGGTATCCCCGCTTGATACGAATATTAGTATAAAGGAGCTATGCAGGAGCTATATTTCAGAGAGAGAGCTAACCTTGAGCTAGGTTCTGATCTACCGTCACGATAATTCGCCCCCGGTCGCCCGTGCGGAACTATCATGATGGTTTGACAAGTCCCATCACCGCTAACGGAAAATAATTTTTCGAGTGCCCAGGCACGGAAACGCGGAATCATTTCAAAGGCCTTTGATCGTCCTTCCAGAGTCTCAGCTTCATCAAGCTTCCTGCTAGTTGTAAGTTATGCAATCCATTCAGGAATACGCAAAAGCTAGTCTTACCATCTGTCTGTGTGCGCAGGGCTCACGTATGGCGGCTTTTGGAACTTCTGGAAGTACTGAGACCGAAAATCATCGAAATAGTGGTAGCTATCATAACCACCCAAAGTAACGGCCATCTAGACAGAGTGTGTGAGCCTCGGGAACTGGAAGCCACTGCATTAAATACATACATCTTCGAGGTCAACGAGGGATTTGTCTCGTAGGTCTTCCGGACCTGACTTGGACCACTCTTCCGCAAGGGATATCTGTGTATGCGTGACTCCTAGGAGAGTTTCAAGTGCGTTCACGAATGCGTGAGCCATGCGTTGCTGGTTGGCATCGTGAAGGGGAAACCATTCAGCCGGGTAGAGTATAGTTGTTGGCCACTAATAAGGCAGTTAACTTTAATTCTTATTGCTTAGGGGTCCTTAAACCTACATCATTGCTTCTCTGGGTAGCCCCTGATGTTTTGAGAACGTCCCTAATCTCAGTGGGAGTGCGGGCAAGGAGCCCAACAGTGTCGAAAGATCTACCCTATGTGTTAGACTCGGTGTAGGTAACGAGTAAATGAATGAACTTACGGACAAGATGGGATAATTCCCGCCCAATTGATACTATTCCAAGTGGATCGATGGCCCCAAACCCCATGACTCGTCGCAGGGTATCTCATGCTACCGGTAGCTGCATAGTGGGGGATTAGAGAGCTGTTGAGAAATCGGAAAAATGGTACGTACTATCGGTGCAAATGCTGAAGTCTAACCACATGTACCCTGCTGCTGCAGCTGCAGCTCCGCTCGAACTGCCGGAAGGGCCTTGGTAGCCATCACCGCGTGGATTCCATGGTGGGAAGTAGTCGATACATTGACAGGGGGGGACTTCAGATCCTGCAAACGCTGAGAGTTTTGTTTTCCCAACAATGACTGCTCCTTTGGTTACGAGATCTTGGATGAACTGCGCGGATTCGGTCTGCCTGCCATAGAGCTCGGCGTACGCCTTATTTCCAAGGCTCGTGATGACCCCATTTAGATGGATATTGTCCTTCACGGCAATTCTCATCCCATCCAATGGTCTCTCATCACTCTGCTTGAAGTAGAGGCGCGATGGGACAGCCACACTCGCGTCCGCTCCTGTGAAGCCCGAACTCTGTAAGGATCGAAAGGTCCTTATGATGTCAAAATAAATTTATCCAGACATTAAATACGCCAACTTACTGTGTGTATGAATCCGGAAAGGTAGCTATAGTGTCATCTGGAACTATAGTTGTCGAAAATGCTCCGAGAGTGTCAGGATAGAGACGCCATGCTTGATGAAGGGTTTGGCCCACGATAAAGTAAGGGCCTTCAGGCAGATCGAATTCCTCATCTAGTACGCACATGACTAGTGATCTTGACTTGAGATAGCTGGCCAGCTCTGCTGGAAGCGCATCTAGACTAAGGCATCCGGACGATATATGGTTAAGGGTAGCATCCCCTATCTTGGCACTCTGGCCCGCGATCGGTTTCGGGAGGATCAGAAATGCGTCCTTAGTAAATGCTTCCTGGAATACATCATCGATATCCAGGAAACGGTCGAATGTCTCCTGGATAGTTTTTGAGGACAGCTTTCCAGGCTGATCGTGGAGCACGACTGCGGGAACAACAGTGGAACTACAAGCAGGAAGGCCATCTGGTAGAGAGGCCTACATTATCAGCGTAATAAAATTAGGATTCAGGGGATAAAAAGGCGGTTATACCTCTACTCGGATTCGAACATAGTAAGAGGACTCGGGGTCGATTTGGGCCACCACTATTGGCTTGAGCCCTGGGATAATCCACTGTTCGGACATTGTCGCGGACTGAAAGGTTGCTTGTGGAATCAAGGGGATTTGACCACGGGGTCTAAGGGCCAATATAATACTCTTCAGTTGACGATAGGCAAGCTCAGGAATATACGCATTTTTACACCGTTGTATGCCTTCATATTCATTCAACCAATCATCATTCACTGCTCTCGCTCATATTTGACAGTTATGAGCCCTTTTTTCCGCGGCCACCACCTGGAGGCCCTAAGTCCGAATCTAGCTATATATACTCAAGGGGCCACCTAGGAGGTAGAGAAAGAAGGCTCCGTGGAATAGAATGATCAAAATGTAATCTATACATATTGAATGTAGAGGAAGATGATAATAAGTATGCACACGAATCTCATGACGAGGTATGAATATGCCAGGTGTTACTGTCCCAAGAGCGCCTTCATCCAATCCAAAGCCGTCTTGGTACGTTCTCTAACATCAGATTCACTATCGATCTCCAAGCTCCTCAGGCGTTCCATAACACCTAGACTCTTCAGCCTCATGGCCCGCTCTACTCGGCTTGGCCGATCGGTCTTATCATCGTCAAGGGTAAGATTTATCACAATCCAGACACAATTAGCTCGGATCTGCCAGTTGGAGTGGGTTAGAAGAGCCATGGTAAGCTTCAGTAAGTCTTGGTGGAAAACTAGGAGGTGACGGTGCCGCGAGAAGCCGGCGGCAATATGAATGAGGACATAAGTTACGGCACGAATGATTTCGGTAGGATGGAGGATTGTCTTTTGTTGTTGGGAGTTTTGTGATCTGTCTTTGAAAGCAGACATAGGAGAGGAAGGGCTGGTGGTAGGAAGGGGTTTTGGGCGGAGCTTATTCGCAAGGATGTCTAAAAAGTCACTTTGACCGAACTTCTGGAGTAGGTAGTCGATCATATCGGGTGCTCCTGGCCCACACATGATGTTCCGGAGTAGGTCGAATAGTTCCTCTTGCGCAAAGGTATCATCTTGTCGTAACTTCTTGGTCTGATCCAAATCTCCATTCAGAGCCAGCCTGCGTTTCCTAACACTCTCAGCAGAAAGTGCATCCATAGGAGATTTTGAGGCCAAGGAGCTGTCGGTCATTCGCGTGTCAAAGTCTAGCATGGCAGACTCTGATTCCTGGCCGCTAGTCATCAACATTGGATTGAGAATATCTACTTGTTCTCCGAATGAGTTCGACGTGCCCATTTCGATAAGTGCCGAGGGCAGTCCGCTCATACTATCGTCTTGCCTTCTCCTGTTATTGAGGGGATCATTCGGGTCGTGAGAGAGAACCTGCTTGATCCACTCGATACCAAGATCCTCTAGTATGTCCTTCTTCATCTTGTTCGGTACATTGTAAGAGATATGTTTGAGAGACCAGAGGGATTCTATTCTAAGATTTGCATTAGGTGAGTGGGAGTTTTCGCATAAAATTGGCACCATGTTTGCCTCGAGAAGTGCCTGTGGTAAGTTAGTCAAATTGCCACTATGTGTAGATTGAAAGAAGTAATAGAGTTTCAAATGTATACGAACCTCCTTCATTGGACTGAAATCAAGGGCCAAGTTACACATCACAGATGTAGCGGCGATCTGAATCTCGACGTTATTGGATTTCACCAAGGCGCATATGGGTACGGCGATCCCGGCGTCAATGAGGCTTGTTCTGAGCACACTGACTGATCGAGTCAAGGATCTAGCTGCGGCACAGGCGGCAAGTACAACTGGCGTTGGGTTCCCTTCCAACTCAACGATGCAAGTCTTGTTACCAAGCACGGTTGTTTCTGGACTCCAAGGTTTCATCGAATCGATGATGTGCTGTACGATGCCATGGTCGCATATGGCCTTTCTGTATTCATCCGTGAATAATGATAGTGCGGCTAATGCCTTGAGGATGGCTTCCCGGTACTTTATCTTGAAAAGGGCCTGGCGCGTGAACCCGGGTGGCCCCAGAGACACATCCGAGTCTGCTGGCTGGAATAGAGACGCAGCTTGTCTTTTCGTCGCGCTCCACATCGGGGTTCCGGCTTCCGAGCTTGGCCCAAATGACTCTTTCAGCATCTGGGCAAGCTTCTTGATGGCACCGCTCTCTACAGCGTATCTCTGTAGTTCTCGACTCTCCATGACCAGGGAAGCTAAGACAGCAGGAGCTTCCTCTTTGACGCGCAAGGTGCTTGAGTTCATATAGTTTTCAAAAGTTGAAGAGTCTTCAGAATGATGAGCACTATCGAGCATTCTGACCAAGAGTGGTACCAGGAGAAATCCCAGCATCGGGACACGGTGCTTTTTTAGTAGATGATGGCGGAAAAGCGTGGATAGGATACGGGCAGCCATGAGACGAACATATCCACGGTCTGCTCGGGCAACATAGAGCAACCATGATACCAGTACGCTCTCTGGCTCTTCTGAGGGCGGACTGTCGGTAAGGGGGGCCTGAGGCCCGAAGAATTGCCCTCGCTTGTCGTACTGGGGCTGCGAACCCAGCGGTGGGAAGTTGGACGAGCCGTTTATTTGCATTGGCACGGAAGGGAGAAGGGAGTCAATTGGATTCAAGAAGCTGCGTTTGGCAAAGCCATAGCCGGAGGAGGAGTAAGGGGATTTCCATGGCCCCTTTTTCGCTTCGCCGAGGTAGAGGTCACTAAATGATTTGGGAAACACGGTTACTAAGGCTGGACACGTCAAGAGGTGTTCTGCGCGTGCTGCAGACTGTTCGATAATAACGGCGATAGCGCGCAATATGGGGGTTAGTTTGGCGTTAGTGGGAGCAGGGTCTGGGATATAACCCAATGCGCCCGAACTGGTACAGGAACTCTCGGCACCTGGAAGAACGAAGCCTCCAGCGACGATGAATGTTGCCAGTCTGAGACCAAGGGCGTCCAGGACGCCACAGTCGGCTAGGATACTCTTCTGCTGTTCTCCGGTGCAGGTCTTCGATATAAGGTCTGCCACAAGCTCGATGCATGGCTGGGCACCGGGTGAGCTATCCGAGCGTTGAAGAATGTCCCGGAAGGTCGGTATGTATCTGCGGGTGAAGAGCAGGGCTCCCAGGGGCTGAGTCTGGCTGTCTACGTTTTTATATACTAGGGCAAGCTGGTCGGCAATGGTGTTGAGGGTCCGAAGAACGGCGAGGGCAAGGGACCGAGGACACGAGGGGGCCGATAGTATCGAAAGTAATGATGGAATAGTTTCCCCGGCAAGAATTGGAGCGGTATATGCTGGTCCACCTAGACGAAAGAGTCAGAACTACCAGTTCATGGCAAGAAAAAAAATAAAATAAATAAACCAGAAAGAGCACGGGGTAGATTCATACCAAGGGCGAGGCTCCCGACGACGGTGATGGCCTGGAAACACATCTCATCCTCCTCCGTCTGGTGCTGTCTCGGCCTCTGACAATCGACCTTCTTCCCCACGCCACGACGGCTCGATAGGACGTCTGAGAGGAGTGGCAAGATGCCCAGCTCCGTCCAAGCCTGCTTCTTCTGGTGATGGCCGATTATATCATTCTTGAGTGCGCGGAGGGCAGCAATCCGGCCGGCGGTTGAATCCGCATTGCGGACATCGTCGAGGAGGTGCGGGCTAACAACTTTCGTCATCCTGCAGGGAGTATCAAGGCAGACTGACGAAGTGTAGCCAGCCCGCAATACTATGGATGAAACGGCAGAGGGGAGAGCTTCTCTCTCTCTCGTTTGCTTTTGTTGATCAGGGCGGACAGGAAACGGCGTAGGACAGCAGACGAGACAATCGGGGCACAGCCGGTAGCAAACAACAAGGAGATGCGTATGCAGCAGGTTTCACCTAGATATCACCACTTTCCGGGGTTTCTCGTGGAGGTTCGAGAGAGCTTCGCTCGAGTCCGGCGGTTTATGGGAATGACAGGTTCGGTGAGTTATGTTAGAAAAAGACCCGAAGCTCGTGTGGCAAGTGAGCTTCTCGACTTCCCAACAGGCGTCTCGTAGTGTTTTCTTACCAGCTGTTCGCCCTTTATATCCCACAGGCATCTACACTCTCTTCGACTCTTTTCTCTTCTCTTTCTCTTCCTCTTCTCGTTTATGTTCTTTTTGTATGTTAGAAGTTTTTTGTTGCCCAAAAGAGACGTGCGCCGATCTTACCCAAAAAGGAACCGATGACATAATGCAGATGACATAAGAGAACTCCCCTAAACAGGATTAGCGTGGATCATCTTATCTAATCAAGCGTCAACCTAGCTTAAAAGCTCTAGCCAATCATATCCATCTTAGTCATCATATCCCCGCATCACATGACTTTCTTATCCCGTGACTGTGATCCGTGCGCTCTATCCACGTGATCAAACTTTTTTAGCAACTTTTTTTTCTGCCGTTCGTCACCGCCAAAAGGGGCTTTTTTATTGTTTGGTAAAAAAAAGAGAAAAAAAAAAAAAAAACTTCATCTTTTCTTCTTCTTCAGAACTTCGTTTCTTTTTTTTTTTTTGGTATCTTCTTCTTCTTCTCCTTCGTCTCTTTTCCCCCTTGTCCCTTTTTTTCTCTCCCTGTCGAGATAATACGATGCGCAGTTCGATGTTGCTGCAGCCTGCACGCCCGCCTTGCCATAGACCCTGTGCTACCCGCCCACGTGCGCCCCTCCATGCGCAGCAGCAGCAGCAGCAGAAGCAGCGACAGCAAGCATCATCACAGGCGGCGCGAGAGGAAGAAGAAGAAGAGGAAGAAGAGGAAGAAGAGAAGCGAAGATGATGACTTCGTCCCCAACCACAGCCGCGCTGCTACGCGCGTCGCCTAATCCTCCGTCAGCGTCGAGCTCCGCCCCGCGTCCTCTCGAAAACAACATCAACCCCGGCATACAGCAGCAGTACCAGCAGCACCAGCACCAGCACCAGCAGACGGAGACCGGCTCCTGTTCCTCGCCAGAGATAGAGCTGCTGCGGACGACGTTCAAGCGCCAGACGGTAGATGCCGGCACGCAGTATTCTCGACCTACGACGCCGTCTCGAGCGGTCTCCCTGCCCCCGTCCAAGGACGCTGCCGCTAGTGCATCCGGAGGTCTCGGCCAGCAGGCCAGCTCACACATGCCAGGAACCAGCATAGGATCCAAACGCAACACGCCAGATGTGACGAAAGTGCTTGCTGCTGCCCCCGGGCCCCCGTCCGGGCCCTCGTCCGCCCCCTCTCGGCAGCAGCAGCAGCAACATCCGCCACCACCACAACAGCAGCAACAACAGCAACCACAGCAACCACAGCAACGCCAGCAGAGCCAACGGCGGCAGCAATTGGAAGATGAGGACCGGCAGTCAGAGGGCTCAGCTTCTAAACGGTTGAGGCCCACCAGGCCGCCGGTCAAGTTGCTCCCTCGACGGTATGAGGCCGCAGACCCGCGAGACCTTGTCGTGCTGATATCCAGCATGATAATGGAGCTCATCCATTACAACGACCAGATTCCGCTACGGGACGGCAGGCTGACCCGGTTCCACTCCCGTTCTCCGCCCCGGATATCGGTGCAAGACTACCTGCAACGTCTCACGACGCACGCCACACTCTCACCACCCATCCTGCTCAGCATGGTGTACTACATCGACCGCCTCTGCGCCCTATACCCTGCATTCACCATCTCCAGTTTAACGGTCCACCGCTTCCTCATCAGCAGCGCCACAGTCGCGAGCAAGGGGCTCAGTGACAGCTTCTGGACCAACAAGACCTACGCCCGCGTTGGAGGTATCAGCGTCGAGGAGCTGGCCCTCTTGGAGCTCGAGTTTCTCTGGCGCGTCGAGTGGCGCATTGTCCCTCAGCCAGAGGTGCTCGTCGACTACTACCTCAGCCTGGTCGAGCGCTGTGAGGACTATGAGATCCAGCCGGAGGCTCCCCCGGCGACCGCTCCCGTCGTAGCAGAGACCGGACCTACTCGACCAGTACCTGCAACAGTACCTGCAACAGCACCTGCAACAGCACCTGCAACAGCACCTGCAACAGCACCTGCATCCACTGCAGCGCCGTCTGTAACACCCGCGCCAGCCACAGCACCTTCTGTACCGCCTACCTCGTCCATGCCAATCACACCGTCTGTACCAACCGACTCAAAGTCCAAGCCAAAGCCAAAGCCTGGGCCTGGACCAACGGCCAAAAAACCCGGGCCAGACGCTGTTCAGAGCAAGCCACCTTCTTCCTCATAACTCTCTAATATCAAAATCTACCAGATACCCCGCTGCCTGGGGAGGGCTCTACGGTCACCAGCTTTCCTGCTTCCTCTTTCCTGTTCTATCTCTTGTCCTACTAGGTCTGAGACCTCATCTTTGCTGGCGTACATTAAAGCATTTGGGTTTTTCGTCCTTTTTCTCCCCGCCTTCTCATGCATTATTAGATGATTTTAGAAACGGTTGGAGTTGCTTAGGCTTCCCCGTTCGGTCTTCAATTTATACATACAATAATAGTTCCTGCACAAAGAGTTATATACAGACGGCACAGCCCCGTGCTGCCTACTCCTCTTCCGCATCTCCGTTCTATTCCAGCCGGCATTGTTCGATTCCCCCTTTTGTGTCATGTACAAAGCTCTCTTCTTCTCCCGGCCCTGTCAGGTAGTGCCAATTCAGATAGCCGTTCAAAATAATAATGACTCTAGTTCTCTGCTCTAAACACCGAACGTAATATCAAATGTCTTCCCTTTTGCCATCCCTTAGGGCTTGGGCTTAGGGCAACCCTTGGCTTGGCGGCAAATTTCGACCTTCAAGAGCCCAACTTCGACCAGGCAAGATATTATCTTCATATTAACGGCTACCTTGACATTCCATCTCTCCGTCCACATGTCAAGGGCTGTAATAGGGACGGCCTACAGATTACAACATGCCACGGCGCTGAAGTGCCCTATTCTCTCACAATTAGTCGTCCGCCCAAAGGCAAGAGAATCCCCTCTATCCGAATATATATAATGTAAGCACTAACTAAACATGCAGCGCCATTACTGCCTTCAAGCCAGCGGTACGATGGTAGCGGAAGAACGGCTTAAGGGTATTACACCTCTGCAAGGAGAATTAGTTACCTTGCCTTCCGTCCAGGAACTGCGACCAGTCGACTCCTTTGGTGCGTCGCGTCCATTTAACAATGCGTTGTATAGAAGCCTATAGGACTCTAACACGTTCACAGAGGAAGCATACGTTGCAGAGATAGACATAAAGTCATCCAACGTGGTTGTGAAGCTGCTAGATACCCACTACCCTCGAAACCCGGAGGTCAGCCTTTCTCACCTGCGCCGACTCCTAAGGCCAGAGAACCTGCCAGAGCCACTGAAACAGGAACTCGAAGACCTGGGCCCCCAACAGAAACCAGTCGCTTCGATCCATGTGCTGATCCCGCCTCCGCTGCCGGAACTGTCAGAAGTGCAAGCCTTACTCGCTCCGTATACTCCCAAGCTACGCATTGACGGTGAACCCGATACATCTGGACCTGAACGCCAACCTACTGTCCGGATTCAAAGGACGCTCATATCTACTAAACCGCCCACCACAGCCGACGAAGCGCTTGAGTGGTCCCGGACAAAATGGTCCACGGTGTATAATCCCGCAGCACGATCCGCAACTCACGCTCCACCGCAGGTTCAGCTCGTCAGAGCCAAAGCGTCGATATCTCCGCGGGCAGGGTATTATATCGCCCTAGCGAAAGAGGTAGCCGATGAAACACTGCAATCCAATCGAGGCCGTGGCGTAGGTGCCGTTATCGTCGACCCCGAGCTGGCCACTGGCAAACCAGATGATGCAAATGACCTTTTGAACTCAGTGGTTGCAGTCGCAGGCGATACGAGATGGTGGAAAGCTTCCCTGGAACACGCTAGGCCAGAGAAAAAAAAAGAAGAATACAGCATAGACGACGAAGCCGGCCCAGAGAGCCATGCAGTTATGCGAGGAATATCCATGGTATCGCGAAAACGGAAAGCTTTAAATAGCCCTGTGACCGACGACGAGGCGGAATCACCACTACTACCAGAACTCTCGGAAACAGGGTCGGCGCCGTTGTCGCCCACCTCCCTTGAATCGCACTTCTTTCAACTACCTAATTTATTAAAGTCTTCCAAGGGAGGATACCTCTGCACCGGGCTAGATCTGTACATCACGCATGAACCGTGTATTTGCTGCTCTATGGGCATGCTGCTCTCTCGCTTTCGAAGCATAACCGTTCTGCATTCTGGCATGCGTCGGTCGGCGGGGAGTAATGCGCTTGACGCAGTGCATGGCTACGGGCTTCACTGGAGGGAGGAGCTGAACTGGAGAGCCATTGGGTTCGAGTTTTCCGAGTCTGCAGAGGGGGATGACAAGGCTGAAGATGAGTTCAATGCTTGATTGAGCTGTTTCCGTACAATTACGTTTCTCTGCACATACGGACGAGTTATATACCTGAGTGATATTTACAATGATTGGGCTATATTAAGTAGGAAAACGTCTATTACCCGAGGTGTCAAACACTTAGAGAAAAAGGAATAATGAATTACGCTGTTTCAGTAGTTTAAATATTCCTTATCAAAAACAGGAATACAAAAGGATACTAAACAGCAAAGTGAATTAAGAAAACCTTTTTTTGAGTATTTTTATACACAGCACTACCCGAAACATAAGAAATTTCCGCCTCCATTAGAATCAGATGGGTCATAATTACTGGTGTACATCATAATCCCAAGAGCCCGATTTTTGTAGGAAATTTCCATCCCCCCGCCGCCGCCGTAAGGCCGTTAACAATGTCACAAAACATCCCATGTCGAGAAATAATGATCATTATCATGGCCAAATTCAAGGAATAAAAAAGATAGTAAGAAAGAAAGAAAATTTGCAAGTGAAGTGTATTCTTGTCATCGCGTGTTCTACTCCTCTACTTTGCGTCCCTTAGAACGGCCGCCCATTCGGTAATTGGTGGGATTCGGTGCAAAAGTGGATCATTAGGAGATGTTTGTGCAATGGACATGAATAGTTCTTCGAGGCGCTGGATCAAAATGTCCATAATTCGAGGGGCTACTTCGCTTATCGCAGGGTCCTGAATATTTAAGTTAGACGAAAGTAAAATATATAATCATTGGATATAGAATAGCTTACTCTGACGTTGACAGAACGAAGGACTTGCTGGAGCCAGGTCAAGCGCTCCATGACATGAGTTTCCATGGATGATGTCACAGCGGCACTGACTGAGAGAGCAACGAGAGGTGATAAAGTAGCAAGATACGATGGATTGTAGTTGACAAACAAATCAGTGAAGAGCTCAGCCTGCTGGGATGATTGAAGCCACTATAAAGAACATAGTTATCAGTATCACTGAGTTTATTACCAAAAGAGGAGGTAGGAATGTATGAACGTACCCTAACAGACGCCTCCTCGTACTTTCCATCCGTCATAAGCTGAGCAATTTGAGCAAGCTCGCTATCCTTAGTAGATGGTGGTGTGATTTTGGCTTCATTTGAGCCAGAGAAGCCCTGTTCCAGTGACGGCTCCTGTTCATTTCTGGCAGAGATCTGATTATGAAGCTTGAGAATCTCATTGCCAAATCCATTCTGTGCTTGTGCAATCGTGGACACTGACTCAGCCATGTTTCGAACCAATGTAGTTAGTTCATCAATCTTAACGCTATCTTTGATTTGCTGGTCTTCAAGTTGCTTCAATTTTCCAGCAAACTTCCTTTCGACGTCTTTTGTATGTTTATCAGCAGCGCGAGCCTGTTCCTCCTTGAATGCCGGGATTATGGACTTGCTAACAGCGTTTGCAATTCCTTTCTCAATGCGTCCTGCAATGGAAGGTAGCATAAGCTCGGACATGGCGCGGACGGTAGCAGGAGCTTGCATTGCATGAGAAATTGCTTCTGGAAGGGCAGTCTTAATCGCTCCATTGATATGCTTATCAAGAGCTGACGCTGTGCTATCTTTTAAGGACGGAAGTACAGATTGCTTAATGTTTTCGGAAACAATGCGGGCCAAGGTTTTCTCAACATTTTCTGATAACGTCTTGGAAACCAGCCGCAGTACTTCGTCCTGTCGGAGAGTTGCGAGCTTATCTTGAGCTCGACGGTCCTCATCGAAACGACGATATACCGTGTCGAGTCCATCGTTAAGAGATGTAGTGAACATCGATGTCAAATTCTGTTCGATCTTTTGAACTTCCTTAGACAAGGCTTGCATAGAAAGGCTTGATTCAGCCAATGCTTCAGTCTCTACCTGTCGAGGGCGTGGCTGTTCAGCCGGCGTCTGTTTTCGTGCAATAACCGGCTTGATAGGCGAAGTGACTGGAGCATCAGAAGATTCTTCTTGTACCTTTGTCGCTTCCTTAGCTTTACCCACAGAATCCTTCTTCTTCCGTTTCTTGTCGGGCTTTTCGCCTGATGTTTGTTCTTGCTGCGATTGGGTAGCCGTAGACGCAGATTCAGCTATCGACTTTTTCTTTGGAGACCCGGGGATTGATGAGTTAGTAACCGATGTTGCCTCCTTCTTTACATCTTTTGTTTCATGGTTGGGGCTCTTGGAAGGTGTACTTCCGTCTTCACCCCGGCTGCTGTCCTCGGTTGGTTGCAAAGGCTGAAGATCCTTAATCTCGATATATCCTTTTTCTAGGGCATCTACAGATTCGATGATTTTGTTGTCAATATTCCAGCCTAAGTCGAGTTTCTTGATGCTGAGGCAAGTTACTCCTCGTGAATGCATAACATATAGCTCGAACAGACCGTTATCTTCTTCAACTCCACGGGCGCCCGCTGGTTTTGACAAAGGGAGAAGTTCAAGGCTTCTCAGCTGACCGCGTGAACCAAATGAGAGTTCTCGGATACCGCTCATGCAAGCGGTTGAATCAGGCTTCGGTAAATCGGGATCTTTGTTCGTCACAGCCTGGATAAAGGCAGCCTGTGTCATCGGGGGAAGAGCATATCTGGGAGCAGATAAATGAACGAAGTAGATCGAGTTTCTGGTAGGATGGCCAACCACGATAATTCCAGAGCCTGGATGGTACGCAATACTGCAGATAGCATCCGATTCATTGCTGTGAGGGAAGTTCAATTCCTGCACAGCCTTTCCAAGGCCAAGATCCCAGAGCTGCAGAGTGTGGTTCTGTTTCAAACCCACTAGGATATATCTTAGAGCTTGGGCTTTCAAATAAGGCCGCTGTTTGTCAATGAAGACGACAGAGGTCGGCCAGCACTTCTCGTTGGGGGAACCAGTAACAAGAGTCAGTAGCGGGATGCGAATATCGCACTTGTTGGAAGCCAACATTTCATCAATATCGCGGATATCCCAGAATCTCAACCTGCCGGTCTTATCAAGCGACGCAATGACGGTATCATCACCGCTGAATACGAAATCCTTTCCAGCTTTCCCAGTAGCAATCTTGAGAGACTTCTCCTTGAAATACTTTTCGGTATCCACCTTACCCGGCGTAGTAAAGCCATACTCAGCCAAAGCAACACGGGGCCGAACAATGTGAATAGACTTGCCACGACCGATAGCGAAGAATTCAGGATGGCGAGAGCTCTGTTTAGCACGGGTTTTCAACTGACCACCAGAGGTATTCTCATCCGATGTTGGGAAAGGTGGGAAGATTAAACTCTGACTTTCAAGGATGTCCGACTCGAAGTAGTCGTCATCTGCACGGGAAATAGTAGTCCAGTAAACAGAACCACTAACACCGATACCAAGGAATGCCTGCTCTTTAATAGCGGAACCAGGCGGTGCTTGGGACACAGAGACATTAAAAATTCTGTCATTAGTTGAACGGAAGATCTGTCGGTCATGGCCATCGTCCTGACGAATGATACGAGCCCCACCGTTTTTTGCAAGAGCATACACGATATACTCAGGAGTTGCTGAAGTGAGCGAGCGATCAAGTTGGTCAAAGCCTTTTTTAAGACGAGCAATGTCCATCACTCCATCGTCACGGATGCCAACAGGTTTCAAACTTGCTTTCCAAGTAATGGACACGAATGGTTTCAATGGGAAGTTGTAGACAGGAACTATGCGGTCGGTCTCCGCCTCAGTTTCCCAATTCTCTGCCACATTTTCGTTCTTAGCCTCTGACTTGGTGGGCTCAGCGGCATCATCACTACTTGTAACAGTTACAACTTTGTTGGCAGGTTTCTTAGCCTTTTCTCCTTCGGGGGCCACTTTGGCACTGTGCAGATTTTTGGAAGAGTCGCCTGAAGCCTTTTGTGGAATACTATCCTCGGGTGCAGAATGATCTAGTTTGGGTTTCTTCTCTGATGGTTGCGCGGATTCCTCCGCTTCAGCACCAGAATCAGCTACTACCGTTCCTTCAAGGCCTTCCGGGGCAGACTCTTCTCCACTTTGCTGGCTGGACGACTCTTTGGCCGCGGTTATAGTGGTTTGCTGTACCTGAACAGAACGTTCACCAACCTCCTCTGGGCCAGTATGGGGAGCTGGACGCTTTAAATCTTCGGAAGTGACCTTCCCTCTTTGATTCTCCTTCCCGGCTGCTGTGACGGCTCCAACTGAGGGGCTGGCGCGGCCAGAACGGGGTTGACTGTTGGGGGATAGATTCCTCGACGATGCCGCGGCAAGATGTTCAAAAGGATTGACATGGCTGAAGATAGTCGGCTTGTTTGTTCCCTTGGGTTGCAACGGATCAAACTGAGTAACATCGCTGATATCAGCCGTGCCAAAAGTTCTGACAGGAGAATTTTTACATTCATCCGAGGCTGGACGGTCATTGGTGTCCGTACTAATCAGTGGTTTGCTGGGGGATTTAGTTTCAGGAGGAGAGGCCCCCTTCGACTTTTGAGCAGCTGGCTGATTCAACAGTCTAAGCAGCATTTCCTGCGTTGCGTCCCCAGAGGGCGTAGGTGTCGCGCCCGGCCTTTCAGCTGGGCTATGTCTTCCCGGGGCGGCAGATAACGGTCCTGGGGCAGTAGAGGCGCCAACCGTTGACTGCCCGCGGAAAGACGCAAGGATGTCGGAAGCCGATATGGTGCGTTGGCCAGGCATACGATGGCCACTACCATTGGCACTACCGTTACCATTTGCCTCAACACGCGCTGGAACGCCGGATGGGAGTCCCGTCTCGGCTGGCGGGTTGGAGCTTTGTCCACCTGCAGGCTGACTAAACTTCAGCAAGTTCAGCAAGTTTGTGCGATCAGAGCTCATGGGTTGCTGGTTCTGCTCGCTCTGTGGGGTAGAGTAGCTTGGGCTGATCACGTCCGAGCCATGGTGGGGAGGATTAGACGGCAGTGGAGGGCTAAGGATTGGTGAGGAAGCGTAAGGTGAGGCATAGTTGAACTGCGTAGGCGATGTGACGCCAGGCGAACTCCCACTCCGCTGCTGTTGATGCTGAAGAAAGTGTCCAGTGTAAAACGGCTGCTGGCCCTCTGATTGATGTCCACCTGGGGACGGACGAGGTTTTATTCTCGCGAACAGAGCTTGTAAATCAGCAGGAGAGCCGGAACCAGCCATGGCAATAGCGACGGTAGCTCAAGCTACCCAAGACCAGGTTGTAAAGGAAGATAAAGGAAGGGGAAAAAACGAGACACAAGGCTGCTAAGCGAACGTGCTAATACAATTCGTATATGAAGAAAAGGGAAACGGAAAAGAGAAAAGGTGAAATGAAATAAGGAGGGTTGAAGAAGTGAAGTTGAAGTTGAAGAACCAAAATAACAATTTGAATATTTTTAAGTTGGCGGTTGGGCTGTTTGTCTTGTTTGCAGCATTTGCATGTTTGTCCGACTTCGCGGCCCTTTTTGGGCTTTTGAGGGATGACGAAGAAAAAGCCGAGGAAACTTGCAAGTCGCCGCTGGTGATCGTGTGAGAAGATTGAGAGATATCACCCGACTCAGGGAGAAGAAAGAAGAAGACGAAGACGAAGAAGAAGAAAGAGGGGAAGAAAAGAGAGGGTTAAAAAAAAGAGAGAGAGAGAGAAAGAGAGCCGCACCTCAGATGTTAGCTGAAGAGTTCACCCGGTTTTAAAGCAAGACCTCTGCTGGCTGGCAGCATCCAATATCCAGATATGTTTTGTCTTAGAAGGTACGCACCTATACGACCCTTGGAACTATGTATAGCTGGCCGTCAATATGACAACAGCTAACTTGTCTGCAAAGCTGGCTTCCCCTCCTTTTCATTCCGACGAACGCTAGTCCGCTGTTTATTCTCTCCTTCGTCACCCTTACCTACATCCTCCATCGGCCCTGTATATACTGCTCTGCCCTCCTCTTGATCCTGTTTATCTCGTCATGTCACTGGTCAGACCGCTGCTTCTTTGATATCAGGGCAGATTGGTTTGCCCCGCGATTCGCTCATTTGCCTGCAGCCACTTCGACGAATGCAACTACTACTGCTCCGGCTCTTAATTCTACTACAAACGAGCTGATCGAGTATGTCTTTGATACCGTGAATACAACGGCCACCGCCCTTATGGGAGCTGCGCTTGAAGAAGCGAAACGCTGTGTCATACCTAACGGTTCATCAAGTTCCGGAGAACCAGAATGGACTGGCATTGGCCTTGAGTGGTTTAGGAGCTTATTGGGGCGCAGGGAGTGGACTCTTCCCTGTGTTGATGTGAAGGTTAGATTATAAACAGAGGCAAGCTTGGTATATGCACAGGCACCTTGCTCCGCTTGTCGGTATCTCTATAACAACTGGACTGGCTAACCGTTATGATGGAATGACCTTCATGCCTCGACTGTTGCACGGCCAGCTTGAAGATATTTTTATAACTTTTTGTTTAGCATTCTTCATATTATGCACCCCTGCTACAAGCCATTTGAATGCATCCATATATTGATATTTCCATGTATTTTACGCATATTCATTCCCTTGTACCGACTGCACTAGCTGTGAATATGTATTCTATGCATTTTAATTGTTTCTCTAGCGCATGAAGATGGTATATTTCTGATTCTCAGCTCAACTTTACCTCGTATACAAAAATGGTTTTCCAGCCAACCTAGAAACAGCAATATTAAGCATGAAACTAGGCAACCAGGCCTTATTCCACGAGTTAGCGTGGTAGAAATGAAGAAGGTATAAAAGTAGAACGCGAGGCGCGTGTACTCATCAGAGGCAACAAGCTATACATCTAGGTTAGCAGTTAACATACAGGCACAATGGGCTTCTCACACGTCGGCCTAACAGTCCCAGACGATAAGTTCGAAGAGACTGTATCCTTCTACCTAGCTGCTCTGGCACCGCTGGGATACAAGGAGAAACTACGTCCTCATCCCAAAGTTGTCGGTATGGGCGTATGCTACCCCGAGTTCTGGATCGCTTCGTCTGCTGTTCCTAGTGCAAGCGCCAGTGAAGACGATACAGCCACCCCAGGCAAGGAGGTTGTGTTTGGAAGTACGCACATCGCTTTCAGTACCGGAAGTAAGTGGACTTTCCCGGGCATTGGTATCAGTTGGTTAAATGAGAGTGGGAATGGATATGTCTAAATGTACAATAGGTCGAGAACTTGTCCATGCGTTCTATGAAGCCGCGTTGAAGCAAGGAGGAAAGTCAAATGGTGACCCCGGGGTAAGACCGCAGTATACCAGGTTCTACTATGCGGCGTTCGTCTTTGATCCGGCAGGTAATAACATTGAAGCTGTCTGCCTGTGGCCTGCATGGTGTCATTGGAAGTACTGGTTTGGCATGGGTGTGTTTGGTCGACAGAAGTCCGAGTAGCGGGCGAAGGAAGCAAGTATATATAAGGAGGGACAGATATCAGCTTCATAAGTCCGTTTATTCTATGTACTTTAACTATACTAGGTGGCACAGGTACATACCTGGTGGTCAAACCAAGAAGAGAGGCAGAAAAAGAGAGAAACCAGGAGAGCGAGTAGGAGAGAAAAGGAAGATTAATAGCAGAAAAAAGGAGAAATCATCAAACGCAGAAAACACATCGACTGAAACATGGCAGGAACATAATAGAAAATGTAAAAACGTACAATAAACCAAGGTGAGTATCATAAAGCAGGGAGCAAGACAGGATGTAAAAGTGTGTAGGTGACATGGGAGGGTAGGTGGAGAGGTTAGGATGATATGATATTATAAGATTAACATTCCAGTATGATGTGGTATGGGGATTCGGTCATCAATTAGAATATTGATTAGTAGATGGGTGTGAAGGGTAGGGTAAAGGGGTAAATAAGGAATGATATGGGGGGGGCCATATAGAGAATCTTCCAACAAAAATAGCTGGTAGATATAACAAATAGAAAAAGAAAATCAAACGTTCAGTAATTAACCGGCGTTAATTTTTTATTTCCTTTCATCTCTGTTTTCAGCTTTCATGTCTCTCATAAATATTCTATTCGCACTTTGCTCTTTTCTTTTAGAGTAAGTTTTCTTAGCATCCTCCAGTGATAAGAGGTGCTTTTTTGCCCTTATTGTTGGGCAAGCAGATGCGAAGGATGTTTAGCTGTATCCTCCGCTAACAGGCATTGGCCAGTCGTCTTCGGTAATGCTGCTCCAGAAGACCCATACCATGATCACGGCACCAAGGTTGAAGAGGGTTTCAAAGAAGGCACCGTTGATTTTACCATCGGTGGCGTTGCAGAGGTGCGTGCTGATGACGAACTGGAAAATCTGGCTCAAGGCAAACAAAAGGGCGGCGATAGAGAGGTATACTTTTGGAAGTTAGTCTTATGTCTCTTGATGTCATGGATGGCGGTCTTGACTCACGCATAGGTCTCTTCTCCTTCAGCACCTTGACGACCAAGAAGGTCTCAAACACGAAGAATCCGACTATGCAGATTAGCGGGAAAAGGAGGTATAGGATGTAAAGCCCTATGTTCTGATTTGGCGCATGTCGGCTAGACTCAAAGCGGCCTGTCCACGTAAAGGCGGTGTCGAGGGCAATGTACCCGGTACCGACGAAGAGGACGAGGGCCGAGGTGACGAGCAGTCCAAGGGAGATGGCAGTGCCATCGTCGATAAGTTGGTAACCGACAATGGCGTTCAGAAGGAGTAGCCAGGCGGTGGCAGAAATGGCACCAAGATGAGCTGCGGAAAAGCCCTATAGGTTCGTTAATAAGGTGTAAATAAAAATGCAGAGCAATGTAAGTAAATACCTGTCTAACTGCGTCGCTAAGCGGGAAGGCACCGACTGAGAAGATCTCGCAGATCGAAATAATGATAAACCCGACAAGGAACACTTGCATCTCCCTGTTGTCAGTCAGCCAAGAGTTAACTTCAAGGGGGAAAAAGGCAAAATGCATCACCTTCTACCGACAGCAGCCCGTTTTCTCTCCGACCTCCATATTAGAAATAGCGTGGAGAAGATTGCGACAAAGCACAGTAGAATGGATCCTAATTGTATAGGAAGTCAGCATTCATCCATGAATAGTGTTAAATTGCCGTAATTATACCCAAGTTTCCAACGTTCCGACCACTATCAAGGTTGATTCCCGTCAAGGCACATCCGCCATACTTTTCATTTGGAGGCTGGTTATTCTTGACGAAGAGCTATCCATCTCTGTCAGTATTATGGTCCGTAATCGATAAGGGTCGACGCTTGGAAACGTACGTTGCACACCGGAAGTGTCGAATCTCGACAAAAGTTCTACATCACCCCAATTAACTATTAGCGCATGTCCCTGCATTAATCCAGTATCCGGAGATAGCCCAGGGATAACCCAGAACGAACGGAGAGGTGCAGCCGCGTACATGAAATTTGCCAAACTGCGTCGACCCCATGATTGGCAATCTTCTATCCTGCGAGCCTCACAGGCGATAAATGGTGTGGTTCCTCCCCAGTAAAAGTGTGCAGCGACCGCCTGATAACCGGACAATGGCTGTCAAAGAGCAAAAATCGATACCGGCCAAGCGGAGGGTCCTGGCGGCGCGATGGATGTTGGGCAGTAGCGGCTCGATAGATGGGATATGGGTATATCAAGCCACCGGCAGCCTGACTGAGGATGGGGTCGAAGGAAGATATCCGTGTTGAAACTGCGAAGGAGAGAGTGTCCGGAGAGGTCGAGTGAGGTCGAGAGTGAAGATGTTTTTGTGTGGCAGGGCTGGGGGGCTTGTTGACAAGAGAAGGAAAAATGTCAGATGAAGTTGTCCCTGGTGGAGAGAGTCCACTTCTTGTAACGCCACAGGCAAGCTCCAGGGCTCCCTCCTTGGTTTCTTTTTAGATAGTCAACGCTTAGACTAGCTTCGCGATCGATCGATCAAGGGCGGGAACATCGATCGCCTTGCCCCGTCAGCATCACGACCAAAGGGCAAAGTTGAAGTTCGACGATGTCGAAGTTCTCGGGATGTTCGAAGATGTTTTCTTGTTTGGTTTTCAGGGGACGAAGAAGAGGTTTTGTCTGTATCGCGGTTACTGCGTATCTGTGTATCAGGTATCGTTGTATCATGTATCAGGGAGCCAGGCACGGCTTGCATTGGCCAACCAGAGCACGTCCTGGTCCGAGATGGGCTGTTTTTCCAGGCAGTTAGTGGAGCCATGCCCGTCATGGCGTAAGATATCTGTCAGGCTGATACGCAACGTTACGATACGCCCTGGCCTGGGTTGAAATAAGCTTACGGCCTGCATACATACATGTATTTTATTAAGCGTGCGTAGTCAGAGTAATAACATATTAATGCTCTTGTTATATTCGGGGAAGACAAAAAGAGAGACAAAAAGGTAAGTAAGGGACATGGGGATATGGAGATGCATGAATGAAACAGATCCCTGTCAAGGTATATATTGCTAGTGCTGAAACATGAGCTTGTCCCTCTTGCTCCTTGGACTCGGTCCTGCCGCCTAGCCAAGGAGGGTCGCTTATATCCTTAATCTATGATATAGGTTGCTACTAGATGCTAGATACATGCTTAGCTTGATCTCTATACGAGAAGATCTAGCCCAGAGAAATCGTCAGGAGGTGGTATATATGGCATGAGATAGGTATGATTCTGGTGTATATAGATTAGCTTGGTGTCTATTCGACCGTTCTGCCACCGTAGGCATATAAAAGACTCCATGGTAATGTACCGCCAGTTGTTAGTTTGGGATAGGAACGGGTGTGGCATCACGGCTGTTGGTGGTCGCGACCCGAGGCAACTCGTCAGGCTCATTGGATTCGCTGGATGCATCAGAATCAGCCTCCTCCTCCTCTTGTACGTCCACAGCCCTAGTGTCAGTAGCAGAGTTAGACAGCCGAGTGTTTGCGGTTTCCACGAACTCATCTCGCTTCTCCTTGGTCCACGCCCGCGCATTCCGATACCACGTAGCGCCTTCACGGAAGGTGTCAATACCATCTGTCATTCCAAGTGATCGAAGTTGATGCATATAGTATTTGGGGCTGTCCGTAGGACCCTCAGGCTTCACAGGATGGGTGGTGTATAGCTTTAGAGTACCGTCATGATAGGTTGCCGTGATGGTATATGCATTGCCATCGTATACAGGCTCATCAACTTTATATGACTGCAGAGCCTGGACACCACGGGCTCCCAGTGCACCATAATAGCAGGCTTGTCTTTTGGCTACAAGCGCAGACTGATCGGGCCCCTTGACCTCGAGAAACAGAGTAGGCATGAGTGGACGGCTGGCCGTCGCCGACGGGACAATATATCCACTGAGTTCCTCTCGTATCTGTGGATGCAGCTGCTCGGGGTGACTTCCATAAAGGCGATCCGGCCAGGCGTTTGGGAGTGTCCCGTCTGTCAGCGGATTGAGGTTCCCGAGTGGGTAGTGTCCACCTCTGCGGTCCAGGGAATCGCCTTCGATCGCCGGTATCAACCGCAATGCTGCGTTTTCGATATCCGCGTCCAGTTCGCCGTTTTCCTTTTTAAACCTCATAAACGCGTCTTCCGTGAAATTATGCGGTAGGAGATCGTCCCGCGGCGTGCTCAATCTCTGCACGATATCGTCCCAGTTACTTGGTTTGTCTGGTGTCCGTCCGTCCGAAAACCAGTACTGATCAGGGTAAACGCCATGGTCTATAAGGTGCTGCTGGAAAGCACGGTTATAAGTACCACCACTCGAGCGCCCGGAAGAACGCGTGGACGTGCGTTTAGAATTCGAGGACTCAGACCTAGTTCCAGCTGCCGCCCGCTTTTTGCTACGGGAAGTTGGCTCATTCGGAGGCATGGCAATGTTGTCACGGCTCTGGGGGGGTGGATACTAGAAGATATCAGTAATGGACACGGTCGATGAAAGGGACTGAGAAGATATCTGTATATAGTCGTACACTTCTAAGGTCTCTAAGGTCGGGTCCACCGTATCTGGAGGTCTTCTTAATATCCTGTAGCTGCCGGGGCGAGCACCGTTGGAGAAATTCGACTGCGGACGATGGCGATGCTCGAGTATTCTTATAATATTGTCGCGTAACGGGGCGACGAACGTGAGATGTTACCGATCTGTTCCTCCGGTTGAATTCCTGCAACGCGTCCTTGGTCAAGGGGATTTTCGACAGGTTATCCCAGAATTCGGGAGGCCGTCTGGCTGTCCTTGGTGCTTTTATCTGCCGATATTGAGTATCATCCTCTGAGCTCTGGCGCTTGCTCAATGGACTCCATGGATCGGGCTGAATCATGAGGGGAGGGGGGGATTTCCACCGTGTTCAGAAATATTTAATGCAAGCGATGCAGGACTTTTCATCACCCTTGCATCGTGCATGGGGCCAGAGACGTGTCATTCTGCGTGTGTATGCTGGTATGGTAAGCAGCGAATGAGAGTTGTTGGAAGTTGATGCCATTGAAAAGCTTTGAAGCACAAAGATTTATTTGAGCCTCTCAAGAAAGCCAAAGAAAGGCTTGGCATGTTTTTTGCACATGACAAAGATGATTGCTCTGTATCTCGAGAAATAGATATTAATGGAACAAAAAAATAGCAATTAGAATTCCTCAGGTTTATATGGAGCATGCATCATAGTATTTATGAAGGCTTCAGAGAAAAACCATTGACCAGACATTAACAGGCATTTTCAACCACAAGCTTCTTTCCATCTCTCTCACCCAGCTCGACTTTCAACGTACGGCCGAAGACTTCGAACATCATTTCGGCACACACCTTTGTCAATGCAGGGTCATATCGGCCCTTGCTTAGTTCGTCCCTGATAAATGCATCTTTGGGATTGGTTAGCAGAGACCAAGAAGGCTTGCTTGAAGACACTACATACGCTGTGCCCAAGCAGCCTCGTAGAAGCTGAAGCACACACCCTTCTCATGAAGAGTGTTACGAATCAAATCTCGGCCCGGTGCTGGGACGTGGTTGTCATTCTTGCCGAATATCTATCAAGAGCGCATTAGTCTCATAGTCTGCCAAAAGGGTTACTGGTTCATCATACCATAACCAGCTCACCTTTGATATCTCCCGCCCTTTGAAGGCTGTCGTCTTGTTTCCCTTCTCCAAGTGAATGACTGTGAATATCAGTTGCAAAATAACAT